ATGGATGGGGCTAAGATAGATCCATTAATTTCAATGAATTTGCTTTGAGTAGAACTTAGTTGGACCTATGATTTTCTTATTAGTTGAAAAAGCACAGCCACCTTTGCACTGGTATAAAATATTCTCTCCTACTGCTCTCCTAGTCATTTGCTCGCTGAGAGCACCTCTGCTGGTCCATGGTTCCGTGAAGGAATTGGTGGTGAGGGATATGGATGGGAAGAGAGGACTATTTAATGGCCCCAGCCACTTGTCAGAATGACCCCCTGGCTGGATCCAGTTCCTCAACCCTGGTTTACGGTAAACCTTTCCTTTCTGTCTTCTTTTTTTTTTTTTTGCTCAAAGTTTTCCTTTCCCATGACTGCTTTTTTGTTTTGTTTTTGCAGGGAGGAAAAATAAGGGCACACAACAGCCAGCCAGCCAGACACCTATGATTCCTAGGCTGCAGCTGGCAGCTTCAGAGGCTGCTTCCTGTTTTAGAACAGGCAAGGGCAGAGAAAGGCTGCAAGCAGCTGCAACATTTGGCCCTAAGAAAAGATGTGCATTTTGAAAAAGGTTCTGAAATATGCTGAGGGGTGGATAAGTCAAGCGTTCTTTGTGGTTGCACTTTAACAAATTGCCTCTCCTGTGTTTTATCATTTTGCATTGTCTGGTACTGAAGACGTTCCTATCAGGGCAGATAAAATTGGGGGAAATCAGATTTGACCAATGGTGCGTGCCCATGGGTATCAGGTATCTAATTGTTCTCCTCACAGATGCCATAGCCACATGTAACACAGAGAGAACTCTGCTTTGATCTCTCCCTCCACTGCTTGTTTGGCTTTTGAGTCTCAGGAACTCTTCTTGAGAAGAGCAGATAAAGTGGTGCTTAAGGGAGACAGGATTTTTGTGGGCAGACAATGCAGGTGTTAAAGTAGAAATCCTAGATATTCATGATTGCCCATGGAGGGACACACACACATCACTGTTAAATCTTACCCAGACTGCTCCATGTTCAGATCCACTTTGCAGAATGCCGACAAAGACAAAAACAAAGTTTTTGGGGACCTGAGGAAAAGGTGAGCAGTGTAACCCAAGAACGCAGTCTTTAAAATCCCGCCCAGATGAATGGCAAAGTTCAATCCCTCATAAACCACGGAGGTGCCACTCTGGGTTCCTTGACAGGCAGAGGAAGATTAACAGCAAGATTCAAATAGCTGTTCTGAGTTAAATTTCCAAAAACAGAAGCAAAAAGCAGCATGTGTGGAGATTTTTGTGCCTACATTTTTGTACTGATCCTTACCAGAGATGAATGCAAGTGGTGTTCCCCTCCCTGCCGTCGCAGATGTAATGCCAGTTGATAACACTTGCTGGCTTTACAGGACTATTGTAAGAGTGGCTAAGTTTGTATACAATAATTGCTTTGAACACTCGAAATGTGCCATATCAATGTCCATCATTTAGTTACTTCAACAAAATGACCATTGTGTCAGAGACACATGCCTTGGAGATATCCAGCCTGCATCACTGCAATGTTCTCTACATGTGACTGTCCTTAAAAATGGCCCAGAAGCTTCAACAGGAGCAGAGTGCGGCATCAAGAACACTTGTAGGACTTATTAGCACACCTATTCTCTGCCAGTTGCTCTGGCCGACTCTTGGCCGCTGAGCCCAATTTAAGGTGCTAGTTTTGGCCTTTAAAGCCCTAAGCAGTTTGAGATGAGGCTATCTGAATGATCACCTACACTCATATGTACCTTCCTTGGCTTTAAGAATGCCATCAATCTCCTGGGCCAGGCTTGCTAAGTACCAGGGACAGCGCCTTGTTTGTGGTGGCCCCATCTATCTGGCCTGTCCTCCCCAGGGGAATTTGTAAACTCCCTGCCTCTGTTGTCATTTGGAAAACCCTAAAATTCCAGTCTGCATTTAGGTAAATCTGTAGCTATTATATTTAAGAATTAAGGATTTTAAATTTTTTTAATTGATTTTATTGCATATTGCAAGATTTGACTTTTGGGATTTTAACTGAATTTGTTGTAACCCACATTGGGAGGGCATGCAGTCTAAAAGGCAGACTAGTAATCCATTAAATGGTGTGGGGGGTAGCAGTAATTTATTTAATGAATTAATTTATTGTTACATTATATTCTCTCTTTCTTTCATGGAGCTCAAGAAGGAGTCCACGATTTCCCCCCTCCTCAATTTATCCTCATAATAACCCTGTGAGGTAGGTTAGGCTAACAGACAGTGACTGGCCCAAGGTCACCTTGTGAGCTTCAGGGCTGAGTGGAGATATGAATCCTGGACTCAACACTCTTTGCACTGCACCATTCCGGTCACTACTACAACATCACTGAGATTTTCTTACAATGAAAGATAAGCAGAAGCCTATTAGCATCAGGTAGGAATGATTCTATGGCATTTTATTATAAACACCATCATCATTCCCAGAGATGGCTTGCAATAATAAAAATTCAATAAAATTACACAGAGTACAATGGCAAATGTACATTATTCATTTTAGTTTCAAGCGTGAAAATTGACTCCATATTAGTTTCCTGTCAGAGCCTGATGTTTGTTAGACGCTCGGCATGTAAGTATATTTGTATGTGTATTTGACAGGTTTTTTTTCTCCTTTGCCTTATGAGCTGACAAAGATGTGAGCCTTTTGTAGAGCAAATCTCCTGAGTAAAGCTTCTCATACAATGGGAGAAATACTCCTATTAACTTGCCACCACTGTGGGGGTATACAGCGCGTGAAGGAGACAAAAAGACTCTCAATATCAATCTCTTTTTAAATGCAGAATTTAACTGTGTATCTACCTTTACTATAGCAACCAGGGCATGGGGCAACCCGAACATGTGGCCTTTTATTTGATCAGGGATAATAATCAACTAAGCCAAGAGGAAGGGAAGTAGATTTTCCTATTTCAACTGCTTACTAGAATCTTTCTGCTATTTCCAGGTGCCTATCTCAAGACCATTCTAAAAAGCATTTGGATGCTAAATAACTTGAATTCTAGAAGGAAGGTACCCAGCAGCTTGTAAAAATCTCATGTTCTCCTAAGCAGTTCCGTAGCTTCCTTGTTTTGTACTGGGAAAGTGTGACCTGCCCTGATCTCACCATTCTCCCCCAGCATCTAATGAATGGAGGTGCTAACACTTTCATCTCCTGGCCTCTGCAATACTTTCTCACATCCTAGCAAACTTATTCCACTGGTGTGAGAAATATTTAATACTGTTGGAAGATTGTTGTTATTGGAACAAGCCTACTGGGATGCGGTAGGATTATAGAGGCCAGAAAAGGATGAATAAGCCATCTGCCTCAGACTGGAAGTTGAAGGGGCATGGTGAGATGATAGCTGGGGCAGCTTGTGGCCATCATAGGACTTGTGTGATACTGGCAAACTCAGTCTGCAGAGATCCATCTCATGGTTCACCTCCCATTAATCTGAACAACACAGTCATTCCTTACACACACACACACACACACACACACACACACACACACACACAGGTGTTTCCAGGCCCTCTCTCCTTGGATCTCTCCAACACCCCCACACACCCCACACACACCCCTTATCATGATGATGACACTCCTTAGCTTGTACATAAAACCTCAAAAGATTCGGTTGACACTGATGGGCTAAGAACAGAACAGAGCATGGTGTTCAATATGTACTAGATGCAGGACTTAATTTAAAGCCTTTTAAAGGGGATTCTAAATTTAATGTTTTCAGAGCTAGGGTGATCTATCTTTGCAGCCTTACACTATGGATAAAACAGATGTGGTGCTGTGTGTCAGAACATCTGAGGATGTGGCAGTCAACAATTCATCCTCTGATCACATGCACTGCAGGTCATCAAGCAGGTAAGGAGCTTGCCTTTCTATTCTAATGCCAGAGATAGGCAGATGCATGTGCCAGCAGGATGCTGCTGTTTCTTTTCAGGGTAATAATAATAATAATAATAATAATAATAATAATATTTATTATCTGTACCCCGCCCATCTGGCTGGGTTTCCCCAGCCACTCTGGGTGGCTTCCAACAAAAGATTAAAAATACATTAAAACATCACACATTCAAAACTTCCCTAAACAGGGCTGCCTTCAGATATCTTCTAAAAGTCAGATAGTTGTTTATTTCATTGACATCTGGTGGGAGGGCGTTCCACAGGGTGGATGCCACCACTGAGAACACCCTCTTCCTGGTTCCCTGTAACCTCACTTCTTGCAGAGAGGGAACCGCCAGAAGGCCCTCGGAGCTGGACATCAGTGTCCAGGCTGAATGATGCGGGCAGAGACACTTCTTCAGGTATACAGGGCCGAGGCCATTTAGGGCTTTAAAGGTCAGCACCAACACTTTGAATTGTGCTCAGAAATGTACTCAGTAGAGAGGTATATACACATCACAACCATAAACTATGGTGATACCATGTAAGGCTACGGAAATATTGGCAAGGTGACTTAGGCATGGTTCAATGTGTTCCAAAAAATGCAGTCAAGATTTTAGACTCTAACAGTGTTTCTCAAACTTGGGTCCCCAGCTGTTGCTGGACCCCCACAATTCCCGCTAGCTAAGGATGATAGGGTGTCTAAGGTGACTAAGGTCAAAGGGGCCCAAAGGAAGACATGTAGAATGCCTCGTTTGGACAAAGCCTATATACCCTTCCTTTCATGCTCCATGTGGTAGTGCAGTTGAAAGATTCAGAAGTGAGGAATGTTTTCAGTTATGAAGGAGTTCTGAGATTTATCAGTCACCGGAACTGAGAGACAATTTAACACATGGTGGATCCAATTGTACCATGAGGGATTCAGAAGAAATGCTGAGCATGAAAAATGATGGCTAAAGATAATTTTTCCATGTGAAATATATGCTCAAACAGCCTGCCCTCTTCTGGTGCCCTCCACAAGTTCTGAAGTACAACTTATGATCCAAAACACCTAGTGGGCATCAGGTTGGAAAAGAGTGAGGTCTGAACCAATCGGAGAACAACAAAATAACAAATGAGGCTGCCACTTGATAGCATTTGAAATAAACCCTTTAATCCACAAGATTAGAAAATACAAGTTTGGTCCAGATAGGTTTGAAGGAATATAATGAAACGATGAACTTGTGGCTCTGCAGATGTTATTGGACTACAACTCCCATAATCCCCAGCCACTGCTCTGTGTTGTCTGTGGGTGATGGGAAGTGGAATCCCACAACATCTGGATGACTACAGGTTCTCCACCCCATTATAAAAAATGACCCTGTAAACATTTCCATAGGAGGTAGAACACATACATTTGACAATCCGCCAAACAGAATTGCAACTTGCAAAGAACTCTGCAACTCCAATAAATAAAGGTAAATAACATGCGTTAAATAATGTTTCTTTGCTTTTACAAAATAAACAAAATGTATGTATGAAGATACAGGACAACTGCTTTTTAAATATAAATTAGAGGAATAATGAGGCAGAGGAATGTTTCCCCCCACAATTCTTTGGAACTTATCGCTGGTTTTTCTTGCTTCAAAGACATGGCACAACAAAGCAGAGCAGAAAGACAAAAATTCTGGGACTTTAGCAACAAAAACAAATATTTCAGTGCTTTATGGAGAAATACTGTGGAAATTTCATCAGCTCACATGGATCAGGGACTGGCATTCTAATTTTATATATTGAAAGGCTGACTCATATGGTAGGTGTGTTCATGCACACAAGGGATGTTACACAGGCAAGCACTACAGTTCATGGCTGCTGTCACATTACTCAGGCACCAGATGTTTCACGTAAGTGCACCACTGTCACAGTCACACTGCTTCATGGGCTTTGTGGTGTGGGAACATAGGAAGCTGCCTTCTGCTGCATCAGACCATTGATCCATCTAGCTCAGAATCTTCTACTCTGTGCTGACTGGCAATTGTTCTTCAAGGCAGGGGTCCTATCCAGGCCTACCTGGAGCCAGTAGCGGGCAGAGTGGTGGGGTTGTGCTGCTCACCTGACCTCCTTCCAGTTCAGTTGCTGGGTGCCAACTGTGAGCAGTATGTACATGCTAAAGATAACGAGGGCCGGTGCACAAAAGCTAGCGGACCTCCAGGTGTAAAATAAAGCTACACTTCACTATGCATGCAGCAAATATAGATTACAAAGCACTTGGTGTAATACAGTAGTGAACAAAGTGCATATTGGCACATATCCAGTGCCTGTACAAAATTAATTAGAAAAAGGATGGTAACTCGGACATTGAAGTCGAACAAGAGAGTTCACTCTGATTATGCCTTCTTTATAGGTTGGAGAGCAGCAACTGCTGCCTCAGAGCAACACCAGAACTCTGTGATTTAGGGGTGTTGTTGTTAGATGATCTAGAACATCATAATGGTGCAGCAAAGCTGTTAAATCCAGACTAGCCAACCCATTGTCAGGTGTGAACCTGCACACTGTTGTAACCACGAGGTGGTGCATATGGTACATCGTGCATCAAGGGGCAGCAAAGTGATCACCAAGAAAGAACAGCATCCTGATTACATGGAGAAAAGCAAGAATATTGGTTATAATTGTGACAAGGAGAGAAAATGCAATGGACAATCTCTTTTCCTGTGTTTAAGACCAGAGACACTTGAGACAGGATGGACTCTGCAACCAGCTGTAGTTGCTTTTTCAGTGCATCGTAAAATCTTCTTGGTAGTCTTAAAAAATTATGTGTAATACTTTTTCATTCCTATTCGTCATCAAGTCCTGGGACTGAAGACTGGGTGCAGCCACTTCTGGAAGTCAGGTGCCTCCAGCAGCAGTTCCCATGAAAACAGTATTGATTGGTGGCAAGGTGGAGACCATCTCACTATTACCTTGCCCAGAAGAATCCATTGCTTCCTGCGAAGGGCATTGTCTAGAATGTCCATACATACATTGGGAGGAGGATGCAGATATAGCAGGCTGCAGATCTGAAGCTACAAAGAAAATGGCAACAGTTACTACTTCCAGTGCTTAATTTCTAGGGAAAAAAGGAGACATAGGCCATGGCTTTAGTTTGCTTGTGAATAGTACCCTCTGATCTGCAAGTTCCACCCTGCTATGGGAGGACTTGCTTTACTTAGTAGAGCAAAAAATACAATGTGCGTAAGTTCGGGAGCACTTTCATCTATTACTTTCAAGGTGCGGTCCTGGCCCTATGAACAATTCTGGCATAAATTAAGCCTTCTTCATTCTTCCTGCCTGCAAACATAGATTAAGTAAGGAACAGGGAGTTAACACTCTTGGGTGTGTGTGATGGTCATGAGGCCCTGTTGGGTTCCTCTGAACCCCAGCTTTTATTAAAAAGACATTTCCAACCAAAACAACATTTCTGAAGAATGTTCGTGAGAAAATGCCCAGCATTTCCAAAGGGGAGCCCCAGAGGACGTCTTTGAGCAGAAAAGTGGGAGTGGGTGAGATGCAGAGGAACCACCCTCCCACCATAGCTTTCCAAATCACATACGTAATGGGCTGTACTTAGAGCTTGGGGGAAGGGGAAATCAACCATTCATTAGTTGTGATTAATTTCTAAAGAGACGAATGACAGCATTTCAGCTTTCCTAGACATTACACCCTCTGAGCTGAAAGTCTTATGTCTGAGATACATGGAGGTGGAGGAGGAAATGTACAATGCCTCCATTCTAAAACTGGGGTCTGGCACTGGTTGTGGGTTTTGCAGCTGAGATTCCCATGTAAGTTAAAATGTAAACCCATTTTTCATGCTTGGATCTAAGGCTTGTATCCAATGCAGCACTAAGTAGGCATCCAGTCAGTGCAAAGGTTCTTCTACAATGGGACTCTCCCCAATCGCTTCTGGAGTTTTGGAGTTTCCCCGAAATTTAGGTGCAGATTTGGGGAGGGAGTAGGAAGTGTATGTGGGGGAGATGGGAAGTCCCATTGCCCAAGTGAGAATTCTTGAACTGATGATATGCTTACTTAGAGTTGCACTGGATACGAGCCCATGCGTGGAGCAAATGCATGGAGACAAAGTAAGTTTGCGCTGACCGACTCCATTCTTGTCCTCTACTTGTCTGCTGGCATTATACCTCAACTTTGGCATTTGGCCAAAAGTGAAAACAGACCCAACTCATATACTATTGTATGTGCGCAGGCTTTGCATGCACCTGTGCAAGTGGGCTCCACCATTCCGAGTACTACAAGTCCTATGCACATACAGCTGTGTTTGCACAGAACCTGTTCTCACTTTTGGTCAATGTGCATGGCCAGTCAGCACTATTCTTCTTCCCATCCAGGTGTTGGCCCAGTCCAAAACATGAGAAGATTTAGAGTTCTTGTTCTGCCATCAGACCTACTTACTTAGCGGGTTCTGACAGGCTATCGAGGCATCTGCATAATATGATGCTCCCTGTTTCCTTCCAGCATCCTCTAAGATGCTAAGTGGATCGTGAATGTCACTGTATGGAGGCAATGGTCGAATGCTGCTGATGCTGCTGATGACCGAAACATGCTGATCCACCATTGACCCGAGTCGATGGGATTCCGGGTAATTTATATTATTCCCATAGAACCCTGTTGACAGACAATAAGTGTATATTAGGTATAATAGACAACTGTTATATGAGTATTAGATCATCTAGAATGCTGCCTTATAGCACCCAAATAAAATTAAAGTTCCATGTCTACAGTGAATGTGCACATGGATATGGAGATATAGTTATGGATACAAGAAAGTCAAAAAGATGGACAAGTTGCAGAAGCCAAACAGCATCACCCAGCCATCTGGTAGCTGCTTATGTGAAGTAGCATCCCTGTGATTTGCAGCAGTTTTAACTAGGGAAACTTGTGTGCCCATAACTTCTAAATACTGGAGCAGCAATGGCTAGTGAGATGATTTGCTGGAGGATACCAGCGTCTGAATGGGGGGGGAGGGAGACCTGTTACCCTTACCAGAGGGTGACCAATGGTGGCAGAGAAGAAATTGGGCACAGGAGGCTAAATTAACATCATGAAGGTGTGTGGCTGTTGAGAAGCTACTATAAGATCACAATTGGGCATAAGATCAGAGAGCTGCACTCAATTATGCTAACCTCCAAGCAGCTGAATGTTTGCCTTCTCCATCATCTCATGATGCTGTCCAGTATTACCACCTGGTCCCCCTACACCATGCTGGGGACTCAAAGGCAGAGGCAGCATGCCTCACAGTCCCAACTGCTTGGGGACAACAATGGAAGAAGGTGATTGATTTTATGTCCTGCATGCTGGCTTCCTGGAGGAGGCTTTTGGTTGGCTGCTTTGAGAAACAGGATGTTTGACTATATATGGACTTTTGCCCTGATCCAGTTGCTCTCTTCTTAAATTCTTACTCAGCAGCAAACAGTGGTACTATCTAGAAATCTATCCTAAGAGCTCTTGCTGCATAGAAATCAGGGACCTTTTATTCATTTCTGTTTTGTTTTGAGCAGAGAACCATGAAAGAGAATTCTTGTCCTCAAAAACTTACTTTACAATACAAGCCTGGAAGATGCCACAAGACTCACTGCTGTTTATGCTGCCAGAGACTAACAAAGCAATCCAAACCACCCTTTATGCCAGGCTGGCTTGGACTGAGCAGAAGTGTCCCTCCCCTGAGCTCTGTGGGCTAAGATGGCCTCTTGTCAGCACTGCTCTCCCTCTTCCACCCAGCAAATGGGCAAGTGGAAGGTCTACTGGAAGACTCATTGCCACCAGGGCCCAGAGGACAACCCAAAAATGGGTCCCAGAGGCAGAGAAAAGATGGGGCTCAGCTGGACCAGGATCCACTGGACCCTGAGCTCACTGCTGATGCACAACTGTGTTAGGTCCAATCGTCTTGCCCCATGAGCAGCAGGGTTGCAGATGCCATGGTGGCCCCACCACTCCACAAAGTCCCACCAGCAGGGAGGTCAGGTTAAGAATGTGTCCCAACACTCCTATCGCTTCCAGAAGTTGTATTAGAGAGAATATACATAAATTGTGGAGCACTAGGGAAGAAGTACAGATCAATGGAAATCAATAATTTAAAAAATCGGAACATTTTAGTACCATTGGAAGCATTTGAGGAATATGATGATCCTTGACCAGAGCTAGCTGCTGGACTGTTCATGAAGTTGTAGCTCCCACTGTTCAGAAATTGCATGCCGTGCGCCTCCTGTACTGTCGAAGAGGACCCATAGTTAGGGGGTGACCTCGTGCTGTATGGAGATACAGCGCAGCTGCTGCTGAAGTAGTCTCTGGAGAAGCGCTGCTGCTCATTGCTGGCTGCAAAATGGCTGGCCTCTGCCCTGTGCTGATAGGGTGCAGAAGATGGGTGAGTCTGGGTCCTGAACATGACCGGGTAGCCAGCACTGACTCCATAAAAGTTTTGGTTGGTTTGTGGCACAGTCTGGTACAGGGGCTCCGGATAAGATGCACAGTGGGAATGAGATGACAACGGTGGACCTACACTAGGAGGCCTGCCTGCCATCGGTCCCTGGTTGATGACGCTTCCTCGGCCAACCATGGCTGGAGATATGGGCGGAGTCATGAGATGACCTGTGCTTTGAGAGAGCTCCGTTTGACCTGGGAAAACAAACAGAAGAGTAGAGGAATGGTTTGCATGGTATACAGCTCCTTTCCATAGCACTGCCCACTCCTACACAGGGAAAATATGAGGAAAGGATAAAGGGTGGGTGGTGGGGATTTGTTTCCTACCTGTTAGCTGCATATTTTCAGGGTTCCCCATTGAGAAAGGATTCAGACCAGAGGACATGCTGCTGTGCTGATTGGTTGGCAGAGGGAAATAGGCTTGCTCCACTAGGCATTCATTTTTCACTGAAGCATCACTGGAAAGTGTACCAGCCTTGCTGCGGTTTGCTAGGAAGCAAGAGCTGGGGGATGCAGTAAAAGCAGCTTTACTGGCATCTGGAAAAATAAGACGGGATTCACAACGTGTGAAATAAGAGCATGCACTGCTGTGTGTGTATACTGCTATATATTTATATGAATTATGAAACTGTAAGAATGGGTCGATCATTCAGGGATGGTTCTTAAATATCTGATGTGAAAGAGCACACACTTGAAGTGTACGGTGGGCAGTGTTAAGCGAGGTTTTCCCTTGAGGGGAGATGCATGAGCAACCCTGTGTCTTTGGGACTCAGGCATATCACCATAGAATCATAGAACTGTAGAGTTGGAAGTGACCACGAGAGTCATCTAGTTCAATCCCCTTCAATGCAGGAATCTTTTGCCCAAAGTGGGACTTGAACCCACAACCCTGAGATTATGAGTCACATGCTCTACCGACTGAGCTATACAGCTAGCAGTGAACCAGAGAGGACTGTGCACAGTAATCAAACGTAATAGGAACAGAGTTGTTGGACAATATAAACTGGTCAGGTATATTTAAAAAGAACCATATCGCTTGGTACCTGAATATTTTTTAAAGTACTCTTTTACATATCATATAGTACTTTTTCAGGGTTTACAATGGGTACCTATTCTCCTCAGGGTATTATTTAAAGGCTCAATATATCCAAGAGATAGCCTTCTTCTCTATGACCAGCTAGGATTTTCTTGAAGGTGACCTTTCTTGATTCATAATCCCTCTGCCATTTCCAAAAGTTGTTTTTGGAATCAGCCTCTGCAACTTGGAACTCCTCCCACCCCCAGGGGCTCACCAAAGCCTTAGCTCAAGCACCAACACGAAATTTTGTAAGACCTTTTTAGGGCTGGTATTTTGTGACGGAAGGTGAATTAATAGGAACAAGTGGGGAGCAATCTGTTTAAATTTTAGTTTAGCTTTATAACAGCACAGTCCTATGCATGCCTGCTCAGAAACGTGTGTCGACACTGAGTTCAGTGAGACTTATGCCCCAATAAGTGTGTTTAAGACTGCAGCCTTAATCTATCATCTATCCCAAGAGAAATTTAAATAAACAAATCACCCTGCCAATATTAGGTATGGAAGAATAGTTGTTTAAATATGTCAAAACAGCCAATCAGCTTGGCTACCATTGCCTAACCACAAACAAGTGTGAACATCATCAAAGCTTCAGAACTCTCAGGGTTATAAACGACCAATCCTAGTTACCCAGATTCTTCATATACTTGTCCAACAGATTCTGGAGTTCTTGTTCTTTGTCATTGTTAAACTGGGTCTCCATGGCAAGCAAGATGTATTCGTCTAAAAGCATTCGGACCAAATGAAATGAACCTTTGCAGCGGGAGAAAAGAGGAGAGAGAGTGTTTATGTCATAAAGTTATCTTGGTGACCATCTCTCAACACTCTATAAGAAGCAAATGAAACAAACAAATAATTGTTGGACTTTCAATGACCTGCTAAGACCAACAAGAAGCAGTGCTTAACTTCTCACTCTAATCTTGCTCTGCACTGGCCCCCCAAGCTCAATATGTTGACTGTCCTGTAGGTTATTTGGCCACTAATGACATCAAAGTACAACACTGATGAAAGTGAGATATGCTTGATATTTGAAGAGGGCATACATTAGAGTAAGATAAAGCTGAACTCTGTAGACAAGAGTTTGCTATATTTCAGTTTCCCTTATACTAAACAACAAGAAAGTAGTTGGCAGAGTCTTGCTAGCAGACCTCTGTAGAATAAAAGTAAGAAAATGAGCACATTGTCATGAAATCTTGACTCAACAACACTTTTAAGATCTAATTCCCAGCAGTTGCTAGGGGCTCTTTGAGATGACAGAGCTGTCATTAAAAAAACAAAAACAATCATTTATTCCTGGTAGGGATTGAAGGATCTATCAGGATTGGTTCTCTCCGTTTCCCATTTCTCCAATCTTAAATTCAGTTCTCCAGTTTTGGAGCAATTTTCAGTTTAAAAGTATGAAAAGTTCACCAGCAATTTCTTCTTCTAAACACGTTTATTCACAGTTTTTACTAACATACAAGCAATTTTCCCTAACATGATTTATTTTTGTATTTTATGTATTATTTGTATTCTTTTCACTAATATATTCATTTTTGTGCATACATTACATGCATTTATGCACCCAAATATATGCATTTTTTTTTTTTGTAAACGCTGGTTTGTTGCAGAACTGCATCACAACATTCAGGTAAGTTTGAATTTTGAAGGGTAAATGAATTGAATTTCTCCATCCCTAACTCCAGGGTTTGTATAAGAATTATAAAGGAAAAAGTGCCTGTGAACATGTAGAGAATAAAATGCTCTCTGAGGTGAAATCACCTCTTCTCTATAAACTTAGGTATATAGGGAATGACTGAGGCCCATCTTGGTTGTGAGTCCTGGAAGACCTGTTCCCTGCCTTGCAGGCCTTTTCCCACCTGGACTGGGAGGGTGGGGCTCTGACTGACTCCAGCTATAAAAGCTGAGGCTGCAGGGTGTTTCTTATGGCTGTTCACAGGGGCTTGTTGCTGTTGATAATTCTTTGTATCTTTATTTTGTATCTTATTATTTATGTGGAAATTATTCAATTGGGTTGTGTAACATTTGATGTTTTGTTTATTATTTATGACTACTTTTGCTATGTTTGTAGTTATTTTTTGGATATGTTGTAAGCCACCTTGAGCATAGTTTTAACTTTGGAAAGGCGGCTGTCAGGGAACTGCCATCGGACGGAAGGGAGGTGAAAGGGCTCACACAGGTTGGGAGAGACGCAGCAGCTGAAGAGGGAAACAACAGGGAGGTGAAAGGGCTCACACAGGTTGGGAGAGACGCAGCAGCTGAAGAAGGAACCAGCAGGGGAGGGGAGCTGAGCTGGAGGGATGGCTCAGAGACACTTCCAGCGAAACAGTGGGGAGGTTTCAGAACCTCCTGTAAGAACACCCACTCCTCGCCGGAAACTGTCACGCAGAGATTCCAGAAGACGTGTTTCCGTTAAGGAGCTTTTATGTTGGAAGCGATTACGAAAGCAACCACTGTCGGAATCTGCTAGTGACTAGAGCAGCCATGTCTGAGGGGCTCTGTCACAGACAGAGGTTTGTGGACTTGAACAAACTCTGAGGGAATACGATTTTACGCACAAGCAGCTCATCATCCCATCACAGCATTCCGACAGTCTTTGAAAGCAGCTTGTGCAGGAGAAGGCATCATGAGCAACCCAGCCGGAACTGGAGAAGCAGGAGCTGGAGCGGGTCCAAGCCTGGAAGAAAGGTACCAGATGTTGGAGGTCCAGCTAGCGATGCAGACGGCGAGGCTGGAGGAGAGGAGGGCTCAGGATGCAGACAAAGGGGGAAAGCCACCCAGTTCGCCAGAAAGGTACCAGGATTGGTGCAGAAGTTTGGGGGAGCCCAAAACTATCATGGTTTTCGGACAGAAATGCAATATGCCCTCAATCTGCAGTTTGATGAATTCCTGACGAGGAATCACGAGTGGCTTTCGTGATTGAGCATCTTGAAAAGGGGGCGAGAGACTGGGTTAGACCCCTGATGGCAGCGAATAGTGACGTCTTAAAGGACACGATGAAGTTCTTTCGCGCCATGGATCTGATGTTTTCCAGCGATATTGAAAAGGGAGTGGTGCGCAGACAGTTAATGGGTTGCAAACAGGGGAGCCGATCTGTCCGTGAGTACTGGACTGAGTTCACCATGCTTGTTCACAGATTGGGGTGGGACTTATCGGCGGAACCCATTCAAATGCTCTTTGAAGAAGGGCTTTCTTCGGCTGTGAAAGACGAACTTTCCCGGGCGCCCAGGGCGGAGTCTATGGACCAGCTGACCAAATCAGCGCTGGCCATAGGAGCGCGCCAGGAGGCGAGAGCATTGGAGAGGCGGGAAGGGAAAGGGGAACGTTGGAAGGAGTTCCGCATTCCAGACATTCCAGAGCCAACTTTCCCACCGGCAGAGCCGATGGAAATCGGAACAGCGCGCGCGCGCAGTTTCAAAGCCCAGTGAGGGGGCAAAGAAGGAGGGAAAAGGCGCCCGGAAATGCTATCTCTGCCAACAGCCAGGTCACTTTGCCAGAGTCTGCCCCCAGAGGAAAGAATGGCAAGGGATGGTAGGAGCTGTGGATGGAAGAGAGGAAAAATACCGGAGCAAGTAAAGCCAACGCCTGGCTGCCACTGTCAGGGCACAGCAGCCAGGCCAAAGAGCAGTGAGAGTGCCCACGCCAGAACCTCCTAAACCCGCCCTAGTGATAGAAGTGACGCTAGAGCTGCCAAACGGACACCCTCTAAAGATAAAGGCGCTGTTGGACTCAGGCAGCTCCTGCAATTTCATGAGCAAAGAGTTTGCAGCTGAACACCAGATACAGACAATCCCTTAAAGCAGCCCCCTGCAGGTTACCACGATCGATGGCAGGGAGCTGTTGGGTGGAGAAGTCAGCTTGCAGACCGTCCCAATGATAATGAAGGTAGCAAGGCACACCGAACTGATAGCTTTTAATGTGGCCACCTTGGGAGGAGCTCCCATTATATTGGGGATGAGCTGGCTAGCGTTACATGATCCGCTGGTGGGCTGGCATCAGAGAGTGGTTTCTTTTGGTTCAGCACATTGCTTAGAACACTGCAAAGAGGGAAAGGGTTTGGCAGGGGTCCAAGCCGCCCTAGCAGGGACTGAAGTAACAGAGAACGTGAAGGTACCACGACAATATGCAGATCTCCGTGACGTCTTCAGCGAAAGGGAAGCTGACCAACTACCCCCGCATAGACCCTTTGACTGTCAAATCAACTTACTCCCTGGAGCACAGCTCCCTGTAGGCAAGCTGTACGCCATGTCAGACAGAGAGATGCAGGAGTTAAGAGAGTTCATTGACAAGAACCTGAAGAGAGGGTTCATCAGAGAGTCCAGGGCGGTGGGGGCAGCCCAGTGTTTTTGTGGATAAGAAAACACGAACAAGCCGAGGCTGGTGTGTGACTTCAGGGCCTTAAATGCAGTGTCAGAACCAGTAGCCTTCCCTATGCCCAGGATTGACGACATTTTGACAAGGGTGCGGAAGGGAAAGATTTTCACAAAGCTGGACCTAAGGGGGGCGTACAACCTGGTACGAATAAGGAAGGGGGATGAATGGAAAACCACTATGTTCACCCCTTTAGGGGCATTTGAATATTTGGTTATGCCCTTCGGCCTACAAGCAGGCTCCGCAACATTTCAATCGTTTATGAACCACGTCCTGGGGCCTTTGCTTTACAAGAATTGTGTGGCCTTTTTAGACGACGTGTTGGTGTATTCTGAGAATGAGGAGCAGCATGTGAGAGACGTCAGAGAAGTGTTGAGCAGGCTGCAAGCCAACCAGCTGTGGGTGAAACTGGAGAAGTGTCAGTTTCATACCAAGGAGGTGGAATTCCTGGGGTATCGCCTGTCAGACAAGGGATTGGCCATGGATCCCGGCAAGGTCCAGGCGGTACTGGAATGGAAAACACCCAAAACAAAGAAGGATGTGCAGAGGTTCCTAGGATTTGGGAACTTCTATCGTAAGTTCATCCGAAACTTTGCCCACCTGACGGCGCCCATTACGGACTGTCTCAGCAGTAAGAAGAAGTTCGTGTGGACTGAGGAGGCGGAGCGAGCATTTGAGGAACTAAAAGGGCCTTCGCCTCGGAACAACAACTCCTGCATGTGGATTTACAAAAACCGATGAGAGTGGAAACTGACGCATCAGACAGAGCGATTGGGGCGGTGCTTCTGCAGCCAGGCAAGAAGGGGTCAGAGTGGAGACCGTGTGCCTTTTTTTCGCGAAAGCTGAACAAATCCGAGAGGAACTACACGGTGTATGACCGAGAACTACTAGCCGTTTATGAGGCGTTCCGGAGATGGAGGCACCTGCTAATTGGCGCACAACATAAGGTGCAAGTGTGCACCGACCACAAGAACCTAGAGTATTGGAGGACGGCACGAGTGCTCAACCAACGGCAAGTGAGATGGGCCCAGGAGTTCTCCAAATTTAACTTTGAGATTAGTTACGTGCCAGGCCCAGAGAACATTAGGGCGGACGCTCTCTCACGCAAACCTGAATATTTGGAGGGGGAGGGGGCACCCGAAGAGAGACATGTCATTCCAGAAAACCGCTGGGTCTGTGGGGCGGCATTGGTGGGACAAAGAGAACTGGTAGAGGAAACAGAGAATGATGAATACGCCCAGAATAAGCTCAGAGGTCTTAGGGGTGATGGAGAGGAACCAGGGGTTTCGAGGAAAGAAATGGAGCTTTGTATTACAAAGGGGCACTGTATATCCCTGAAGGAGAGTTAAGGGGGAGGGTACTCAAGCAGTTGCACGACAGCCCTACGGCGGGGCATTTTGGACAACACAAAACCATGTGGTTGGTCACCAGGGAATTTTGGTGGCCTAAGGTGAGGGAAGATGTACGTGAGTATGTAAGAGGGTGCGAGCAATGCCAGCGAGCCAAAGGGGAAAGGCGGGCGCCGGCGGGGCTATTAGAACCCTTACCAACCCCAGAACGACCTTGGGAGGCAGTGTCGATAGATTTTATGACTGATCTGCCGAAGTCCAAAGGGAAAACAGCCATCATGGTGGTGGTAGACCTACTAACAAAGATGTGCCACTTTGTAGCTTGCTCGCATGCAGTCACGGCGGAAGAGACAGCGAAGTTATTTGTAGAAAACATTTTTAGGTTGCACGGGGTGCCATTGAGGGTGGTCTCAGACCGAGGAAAACAATTTACTTCCAGGTTCTGGAGGAAGCTCATGAGCTTACTGCAGGTGGAGGTCAATTTTTCGACTGCCCGGCACCCTGAAACCAACGGGCAGGCGGAAAGAGCAAACGGTGTCCTCCAGCAATACCTGAGGTGTTATGTCAATGACAGAGAGAATGACTGGGTAGAAAAGTTGGCGCTGGCGGAATTTGCCTACAACAATGCCGAGAATGTGTCCACAGGGATGAGCCCCTTCTTGGCTAATTATGGGTGTCATCCCAGGGCTTTTCCAGGGGGAGAGGGGGAGAGATGGAGCGTCCCGGCAGCCGAACATTTTGTGGAAGAAATGGAAGCAATCCATCGTCAGCTCCAACTCAACTTAGAAAGGGCGAAGGAAGAATACAAGAGGCAGGCAGACAAGAACCGAAGGGAAGGTGAAACCATAAGGGTGGGAGATAGGGTGTGGTTGTCAACCCAAGGGATGCCGTTAAAAGGAGGTTGTAAGAAATTAAGACCCAGGAGGTTGGGTCCCTTTGAGGTCATTCAACAGGTCAACCCAGTGGCTTTCAGGCTCCGGTTACCCAACCACATGAAACTGCACCCAGTATTTCACAGGTCGTTACTGTCACCGTACGAAGGGGGACGAGAAGGGCTGGCCACTCGGGGACCGGTCGTAGAAGAAAGAGAATGCAGCAGCCATGTGGCTGAAATCCTCGACGCCAGGTGGAAGGGGGATCAGGTGGAGTATTTGGTAGCGTGGGAAGGAGAACCGGAGTCAGAAAACACTTGGGTAATGGCTGAAGATATCAATGACGAGGTATTGATAGAAACGTTCCATCAAAGGTTCCCAAGGAAACCTCAGCCTGTGGAGAGGTTCCGGAGGGAATACTTTGGGACCACTGATGAAGGGGAGGAGTTGGAAGGATTCCCGGACTCGGAAGGGGAAGGGGAGATAGACTCTGAGGAGGAGGTGTACTTCGAGACCAGGAACCGCAACAGGTTGAGAGAAGTGTTCGAGACATCGGAAGATGAAGGAAGTTCATTCCGGGTTTTGCCTCCTCACCGCCCGTAGAGGACGGGGGGAGAGGGGGTGAAGGGGGCCCTGGAGGGGAGGTGGATGTCAGGGAACTGCCATCGGACGGAAGGGAGGTGAAAGGGCTCACACAGGTTGGGAGAGACGCAGCAGCTGAAGAGGGAAACAACAGGGAGGTGAAAGGGCTCACACAGGTTGGGAGAGACGCAGCAGCTGAAGAAGGAACCAGCAGGGGGAGGGGAGCTGAGCTGGAGGGATGGCTCAGAGACACTTCCAGCGAAAACAGTGGGGAGGTTTCAGAACCTCCTGTAAGAACACCCACTCCTCGCCGGAAACTGTCACGCAGAGATTCCAGAAGACGTGTTTCCGTTAAGGAGCTTTTATGTTGGAAGCGATTACGAAAGCAACCACTGTCGGAATCTGCTAGTGACTAGAGCAGCCATGTCTGAGGGGCTCTGTCACAGACAGAGGTTTGTGGACTTGAACAAACTCTGAGGGAATACGATTTTACGCACAAGCAGCTCATCATCCCATCACAGCGGCATACAAATAAAACGATTGATTGATTGACTGGACATAGAAAAAACACAGTATATGGTTTGCATACAAAAGGTGACAGGTTTCTCCAGGCAGGGTTGGAAAATCCTCTTGCCTAAACCCCTGGAAAGCCACTGGCTGTCATTGTAGACAATACTCAGCTAAATGAACCAATAGTCTGACTTGGTCTAAGATAAATCCTATGTACACATATGTAGATAGGGAGGGACTTCCGTATGAGCGGTTGTGAGCACAAGTTCCAGACAAAGCTTAGTCCCATCACCTCTCATGTAGAAATTAAACATGGCATGAATCCTGGCATCTGTGCCTTTTAATGGAATAAATACAAACCCATTGCCAAAAAGCAAAAACATAAGTACACCAACAAAAACATCAAGAAAAACTTGCTTCTAGTTACATAGAGGTAAAAGAAAATCACTCAGCATCTCAACAACAAAATCACTTTTTTCTCTAAAATTAAAAGAATCAATTATATAAACCACACAGATAAAGACAAAAGTTTGATTGGAGCCAGGGCCTACCAGAGCCTAACATTAGAATTTATTTTTATTGCCATGACCTAGTCCTAGAAAAGCAGTGTAAGAACCACTGACTATGTGTAGAAAATACTTATCACCACTGAGTAATCACAACTAGTCTCTATGTATCTGGATTCGAGAGGACTTCTGTTTGGCTTCTGGGAAAATAGGCTCATCTGTGTGACTTTGACACCTCCTAAATGGACGTCCCACCTCATTTCATCTGGTGGGGCCCCTGGTTATACCTTGCCATAACTTAAATAGGAAAACAAAGAATTTGAATAAAATCAAATACCAAAACTTGATGCATTGTTCAAAGTGAGGGTGTGCATTACTCGAGCTCCAAAAAAGCTCCATTTGAGAAGAAAGTCTTGTGCCCTCTTCTTTAGCGATCGACCATTCTGCTTACTTGCCTAAACAAAATGGCAGGGAGGGGGGGTAGAGAGAGAAAAAAGAAATGAAAACCAAATCCACATATAGTGGAAACTATAACATACCCATCCTGCTGTGAAGTACAGTATTTCTGGAGACCAATGCCCATGCATCTTGCTTGTACAGTGGTACCTCAGGTTACATACACTTCAGGTTACAGACTCCACTAACCCAGAAACAGTGCTTCAGGTTAAGAACTTTGCTTCAGGATGAGAACAGAAATCGTGCTCCGGCAGCGCGGTGGCAGCAGGAGGCCCCATTAGTGGTGCTTCAGGTTAAGAACAGTTTCAGGTTAAGAACGGACCTCCGAAATGAATTAAGTACTTAACCTGAGGTACCACTGTAGTGAACTTGCTTGAAGACTGTGTGTTGACAACTGGCTTTATCAAAAACCAGTTATCGTTAGTATAGACCAGGGGGTGACAACATGGTTGCCCTCTGGATGTTGTTGGACTCCAACTCCCATCAGTCCCAACCAGTAAGGAGCCTATGGTCAAGGATTATGGGAGATGTCATTCAAAACATCTGGAGGGTACCATGGTCGCTGTGCCTCATAAAGGCCATAATTTTGTAACCTACTGCTGCAAGGTGAACATCAGTCAAGAGTGTATTCACTTGATGTTGGGAGAAAACAATGTTTTCTAAGAAGTGGAGAGCACAATCCAGGCCCCAAACCTTCAAGGCTGTGATCTTACACACGTTTATCCCACTGAGCACAGAGGGATTTGCTTCTACGTAAACCCCACTGCATCATTAAGGCTGCAACAGCCTAAGCACTTTTACACTCCATTCTAAATAATGGTTGCAGCATCACCGATGCACCTGCAGAGACACTTAATAGATATCAGGGCCTGCTTCTGTCTCTTGTCGTGCACACACACACACACACACACACACACACTTTTATTTGTATGCTACCTTTCAACAGTTCAAACCAAGCTCAAGGAGGCTTAAAACATAGCAAAAGCAGCCATAAACAATAAACAAAACATTTAAAAATACAAAACCAACCCAAATAAATCACAACAAAATCTAAAATAAAGATACAAAAAACCCACAGCAACAACCCCTGCCCAGCAAAACCCCACAATACCCCCGCAAGAAATTGTGCTATCAATCTGTCAGTCCTTTCTGTGTCCAGGCGTTGAAAGACGCTCTGACACTGCCTCCCTTGCCAGGACCCAGCAGCAGCTTGTGGTAACATGACGAGCTGCCCCTTTTTCAATCAGCAAACAAAAGGAAGCCATTTGGTGTGACGGAGAGAGGCCCTGCACTTTTAACTGAACAGAAGGTAGAGGGCAATGGAAGGATTACGTGTTCTGTAAATCATTACCTCTTACTCAGCTAATCTTGATTCATACAGTAAATTGTTCAGCATTTTTTTCCAGACGTGGGAGGAAAACACTGGAAACTATACCTGTTTGCCCTAGAACAATGTTCTGCAACAGATGCTGAATGGTGGACAATTCCACCCCTCCCTTGCTTCCTCTGTTTAACAGTGATTATCTAAAGATTAGCTAAACAGAGCTGAGAATGCCATTCTACTCTGCAATATTTCAATTCGTTCTTGAATCAGAGGGCTTAATGGTCATTTGAATTGTATAGTGATGGTATATGGATTTCCAGGCCTTAAGGTCTTCTCACAAAGTACAGGCATACCTCATTGACCCTTATGAGGATGCTGGTGCAACTGCAGCCAGCCCACCCCCCTGCTGCTGTTGCCCTCCTCTGGCCATAGGGCTGGAGGTGGCTAGGGCTGAAGCTGGTTATTCCCCCTCCTGCCCCTGCAGACAGGGAGGCCTGGCTTAATAGACTACAGTATAGTGCAAACATAAATTTATATGTACTGGGACACACACAAAGAATTGGGTGACTTGCTTTATTGAAATATTTGGTCTGGAACCAAACCTGCAATATCTCTGACGTATGCCTTACTTATTTCTATCAAGGTGAAGCCTAACAATACATTGGATTGTTCAGATGTAATAGTCCCAGTCCAACAAACTGTGACCTTGTGCGCCCTCATCCAGTGTGTCTTAATGCATTGCTTTCTGGTTTGTTAAACCCAGTGCTTCCCCCCAAAAGATGTTTAGGGGTACTCTCATTTTGGCTGCTCCCCATCCCCTTCCTCCCCCAACCCCCGGATGAGGGACTCAAGGTGGCAGCAGCAGTGCTGAGAGGACAGGAAGGCCCCCGGCAACGGCGGGGTCAGCTTGAGCGAGGAGGGGCAAGTGCTCACTGGCTGGCTCTAGCCCAGCAAGAGGAGGAGCAGCACCATTGCCTCCATTGCAGCTGCCCCAGACTCCCCTCCCCGGGCACTGGTGGGGAGAACGACGGAGCTCCAGTGCTACTGAGGAGACAGCTGGCATGTCGGTCAGTCGGTTGGTCAGAGCAACACAAAATGTTTAGGGGTATGTACTCCTGCATCCCCCCAGAAAAAAGCACTGGTTAAACCACAGTTTCCCATTGTATCCCCACCCCCAGGAAGGGAAGGTGCCAGTTGGGCACCATGAGAGGGAAGAATGCTGTTCACAAGAGGAATAGACTTTATCAGGAACAATTTGATTTCAGTTGGGGCTTACCTTGATAACCCTTTGCTCAACCACAGTATCCAGCCATTCAATAAAGGACTCCACAGTGGCATTCTTCTTTAAAAGGTCCTTCAGTTCTTGGAACACTGTAATAGAGTCATCTACCATGTAAAAAGGAAAACACGTAGTTGCATTCTACTCTGAACAGGAGAGAAAGCCACTCACCAGTCATTGATAGTTTTGGAGCATGTAAAGGAAAGGAAAAGGAAGAATTAGAGCTGCAGAGGTGAAATGAGAAGACAGCATCTTGAGTTCATCAAAATAAAGTCCATTGAATTGAATGGGGCTATTTTGAGTATGTCTTAGCTGGATGCAACCCAGTAGTTTTAGCTGTTGCTTGGAATACACCCTTATAGCAATTTTGAGAAACACAGGAATAAAATACCATAAACTCTTGATGGTTGAGTTATACCCAGTCTTATACCAGCTACCCTGACTAAATAGACTTTAATGCCTTGCCACTTTGGCATGTGGTCTCCAGAGGGTTTGTAACATGTCAGTGTGACCTTCAGGCCAAAAATGGCTAGGCCACTCCTCTTGATTTAGAGCAAGCTACCTCAGCAGTCAATGGTGGGGCTACATGCACCCTGTGGAATTTTTCTCCTGTGGATTAACCAGTCTTTTCCTGTCTCACAGCAATGATAAAGCTATGCAAGCAGAACAGAAGAACGGAGTAAAAAAAGAAGAGGAAAAGAAATGGCACTGAAAATGTAAACATGTCTTAAAAAGAAAAAAACATTACTTTAAAAAAGGAAACAAAAACCAGTTCATTAAGTCTGAAACTTATTATTCCTTAGTGAAGTACTTTTAACGACCACACAAAGATCACAGAGTGTAGCCAGACAAAAGGAAAAATTAGCCAGGTCATCATAACAAGCAATCACCAGGGATAAAATCAGGATGCCAATGATCCTGTAATGATTTCAGCAAAAGTCTGACATATCAAAAGTGGTGGTTCAGGAGTAGAATGAAGCTGATTTTTTCCAAATAATATTTTCAGTTGTATACAATCAGCTGCCTCTATCACATTCCCAAACCAGGTTCTTCAATATGCCACCATGTGCATGGAATGAGAAGGAGCTTCTCCCAACATTTAAATGAACTGAGAAGCTCTTGCTTCCATGCAGCTTCAGGCACCTGTAATAAACATCTACAGGTTAAGGCCTATTTTCACACATGAGACACAAATTACCTTAGACTTAAGTTGTTGGATAAAGCAAAATTAAAACTATATTGCCTGGGAATCATTTGATTTTTCTTCTGACTTGTCTCGGACATTATTAACATCATTATTAGTATTTCTTTCTTTCTTTCTTTAAAACATTTCTATACCACTTAAGATTTCAAAAATCTCTTAAGTGGTGAAACGATTGTTACAGGACAGAAAAGGTTTAAATGTGATTTTTAATGTAACAGATTTTAAAAGAAATTCCCTGGGTGTAGGGAACAGCAATGATTCCTCCCTTGACCAGCAACTTACATTCAACGTAGCCCTCTCCCTCAGAAACCATGCTTCCTGAGACTGTGAGCAAAGCCTGAGATCCAATGCTGTGCAGATCTACTTTCTCAATATCAGCAACCATGGCGTTCACTATATGTTGATCAAAAAGAGCTGGTCGAGCAATCTGTGAATAGGCAACAGGGGAAAAAACTATGCTGAAAATGCTAATGGAGATGGGTGGGGAGATGACACTACTGTTTCTCTTTATGTTTATGTTCAGAAGACCATACAGAATCAGTATTATTATTTTTGGCCCCCTTAATGCTTTCTGACATAGAAAAAAAAAGGAATGAACACTGAAATAGCAAGCACAGTTCTTATAACTGGTGTCTGCTCAGTTTCAGATGCAATGAAATTAGCTGGGGGTTAAGCTGCACCATCAGAAAGCACAGAGCAGGTCTGGGCTGCCTGAAAGCACTCAATCAGTGGCAGCAACTGTTCTTACCAGCTCTTGCTTGTGAATCTACAGCCCTGAGAGAGGTAGGTGGGTTGGTACATAGCAATGTGTTAGTGAACATGGTCAGCTGGCCAGGACCAATTCAGAGGGGAATGAGCAAAGAGGGCTTCCCTGAGCGAAGAGCACCTTCGCAACAATGGTTTGTTACCCTTTCTGCCTAGAAGTGTTCCTTCCTCTTTTTGCCATTATTGCACATTCACCAAATGCATGGAGAGGAGCAGTTCTCTCTTAACCTACAGATAGCCACCTCAAGCTTTGTATAGAATCCAAGCACAAATATATAATGGGTTGCAGGGTGGCCAACCTCTGATGTCTGCATGCTTCATAACACATTAAACAGAACACTACACATTAAAAACGTCCGAATACAGGGATGCTTTCAGATTTCTATGGAAGGTTGTATAATTATTTATCTTTTTGATATCTGATGGGATGGCGTTTCACAGGGTGGGCACCATTACTGAGAAGATTCTCTGCCTGGTTCCCTGCAACTTCACTTCTCGGAATGGTCTATCACCACTACTCAATGGATCTAAATGGTTTGAAGAGTGGTAGGGGATATATTATCCCATATGGATGGCCTTTGCTGATTCCCTGGTAGCCCACTGGAATGTGGAGTTAACCAGGGGCATTGACTGTCTGGCTCCAAAGGGCCCTCTCAGATGGAGCCTAGATGGAGCCCAGGTGGCCTCATGCTTTTCCCCAGGGCTGAGGGCAATGAAGCAATTGCTGAGACAACTAGCGCACCAGTGACAAAAACCAATGTCTCTTGTCAAAACTTTCAGGTCACTCTCTTCATCATGCGTGCAATGCTATGACCTTTATTCTAGATTTACCTGAGCTAAGTGCAGAAAGGAGGTTTGACGCTTCAGCGAAGATACAAATCTTCGTGCTATGGGTAATTTCTTTGTTGCAAGGTCTTCTGGTAGATTTTCTAGTGATGAAACAATCCAGTGTTCCCAGTTTTTAGCAAAATTTCTTATATCAGCCAGCAAACTAATGAAAAGGAAAATAGTAGATTGGAATCAACTTCTGTATTGATTTTTGTCATAATCAGGAACAGCTGAACAAAAATGTTGGACAATCTATGCGGCATACTTGATAAACCAACACAAGCCAGACTGGTTGCTTGAGGTCTCAAAAAGCACATGGCCAAAACTCAAGACCCATTGCATTTGCAAATAAATGCACAAGACTATAAACACCATGGGAAGCAACGGCAAGTGTCACATGGTGTTATTCTGCACCAGCATAACAAGATGGGCCAAATCTACTGTCCCAGCAGCCCAACTGCTATTGCCTGACATGGCAAAGTAGCAATGTGCAATGGGTTCTGGCTTTAGCTAAATCAACATTTGCCACTGCAATCCTATCCAATCAAAATATATTAAGCCTTCAACCTTACTTGATACTGCATTAAACAACAGGGAATGAAACAATACAAAACAATTCAGCCTAAATAAATATATCCAACAGACACCATTAAAAAAACTGTATTAATACTGCATATCACGGTATAGATAATGAACACTGAGACAGCTGTTTAGGAAGGGAAGGCTAAATGATTTTTTCCTTAGCTAGCAATCAGCATTGGCAAAGCTGAAAGTGTGAACTAACTCTTTGTTTTGTGGTATGTGTACAGTCCAAAACTAGCAAGGGGAAACTTGTGTACAGTCCTGTCTGCTGATGGAGGAGATTCAGCATAAGGAACCACTCACATACTGCCCTTTTGTACATAGAGAATTTGGTTGCCCTTGCTGGATGAGAAGAAAGAAATGCAACTGAAATTAGCAAGTGAAACATTGCTGTCCATCAAGCTGTTCCCTGTTCAACTACAATAATTCACGTCATTAGGTGTCAAAAGATCAACGTTTTTTAAAAATGGTAATTCCTCCCCCTCTTCCATATCAGTTATCAAAATGGCCACCTTTATTATTCAATCAACATCATCTTATGCAAGTAATTGCTCACCTTTCTGGCATTTCTTGCATAGTTGCAGGGATGAGTACATCTGTAAGGACCTTGAATAAAATGGCAGGAAAATGAAAAGTTCTCAAACACCAACACATTCCAATAAACTGGTGCTTACTAGAGCTTCCTTAAAATTGCTTTCTCTACACATAAGAGATTATTTCAACAACCATTCACAATCATTAAAAGTTAACAGACTGAATAATTTGTAGAAACTTTAACACTTCACTAAAAAGTTTGTAGAAACTTTAACACTTCACTTCCCTCCCCACCAACCATTACACTATAGGTGGTACTCCTGATAAAAAACTAGAAAGGAAGCCTGACACTCCTGTTTTCTATCTGCGGTGATTTTAATGATTTTTGTATGGAGGAGTATTCAGTCACATGAACCCTGTATGGAGACTGAAGCTTCTCACTTCAGTGAGGACTTAGCTTGGGACAAGATTTCCATTCTCCACTTTAGTTAACATGGAACACACCTTGTACAGTATTGAGTCGCAAACACAGAAGATGTCAATGATCACAGGGTTTTCAAGCAGGGGGAGGAGGTGGTCGGGCATTCCTTGCCAAAAATGTAATAGGAAATGTTGGATCTATGGAAGAGCAAGCAGAGCACAGATATGAATGACATGATGGCCATGACCTTGTACAGGTAAGTGCTAGGTGCGTACTCAAGTGAGCCTTACCTCTTCAAAGTTTCCATTAATGGCATTGTCGAGGACACACTGACAGTGGGTTTTGTACATCATGATAAGGGTATCTACCTATTTCAGGAATTAAAAAAAATAAAAATTAGAATCAAATGAAATTCAGAGACATAAGAAGCCACTTTATACTATCAGGCCATTGGTCCTTCAATCTCAGTATTGTTGACACCGAGTGCCAGAAATTCTCCTGGGTTTCAGGTAGGAATGCTTCCCATTCTTCCCTGGAGATGCCGGGACTGAACCTGGAACCTTCCGCATGTAGAGCATGTTTTCTACCACCGAGCTATGACCCTTCACACAAACTTTCACCTCTTCTATGGGAATTTAGTAAGTATCACAGTCCATTTTTGCACTAACTGTGAAAGCTAATCTAATACAAAATAATAATGTATGGAATTCAGCATTGCATTTAACATATATATGGGGTGAGGCAATCACTGAGTTGTTAATTTATTTGATTTACCATTTATGAAAGATTTTTAAAGTGCCTTGGAAGCCTCAGTTGCCCTCACAGCAAACCTATCCAAGTATCATAAGCACATAGGACATTGCCTTCTACTTTATCAGACCATTGGTCCATCTATTGCTAGCCTTGAGTGGCAGCATCTCTCATGGGCTTCAAACATAAATCTTATGCATGGAGATAAATGACTTAAGAAGGCTAAAGAGTGATTTGTCATGGCTAAGCCATGATTTCAATCCAGCACTCTCTACTGCAACACTCAGGCTGGAGCTAAAGCTTTGCCATGCTCTGTCATTCTGCTTCTTGATGTAATACAGAATAGAGTTAAAAGTATAGAGCAATAGTGTTTAACATGCCAAGATAAACTGTCCAATCAAAGTGACTAGCATTTGAAACTAAACATTCCAAGTTGGGTTCTTCTATTTCTGACTTTGATCTCCAAAGTGGGCATTTTGGTAATTGAATGTTATACATCATCTTGCTGTAAAGGTTGATCTGGACCACCCAATCAAATAGAATCATAAAGATTTTGTCAAAGCTATAAGATTATTTTAAACACTAATTTGCCTGGCATATGCAGACTGTATCTTCTACAACAAGGACATGTTGTATGCTTTAGGTAGAGCACCTTTCCAAGCTAAACTGTCTCAATAGAAACCAGTGTCTACATTTTCATGGACTCCTGTGGGATCCAAAGCATATCTGAGGCTTTTAATGGAGATTGGGAAAGTCTGGGAGATCCCAATGATCAAATGGACAATAAGCCAAAATTGTGAAACATTTTCAGTGAGATTGTTCATAAAGGTCTACATTTTATGTGATTGTTCACAAAGGTTTACAAAGAAATGAACCCAATCTGCTAGCTGAAATGCCCAGTGCTCTTTTCTGTCATGTAAACTCCACATGTACATAATTTAAAAATAATCAGTAAGTACAAGTGTGCTATCTTCTGTTCATTGACAAAACTAGGCAGGAGGAAAAATCCACTTAATAATTTGCCCCAATCGTTTGCTCCTATCTTATCAGTGCTAAATTAATCCATTGGTATTTGGAATGGATAGTACTCCTAACTATTTCTTTGTTTTGCCCTTCTTAAGGCAAATACCACCTGTTTGTAAAATATTAGGCAAGTTAATATGTAAATAATTTAACCACTTTCCACCGGAGAGCCAGTTAAAAGGAGATAATAGAGGTTTGCTCCCACTATAAATCAGTCAAGTTTGTTTGATTATAGATATTTCTACTTGTTTCATGTCACTACTACTGTGAAGCCTTCAAGGGAAGAGGCAGATTAAAAGGAGCTGATTTAGTTCAATATATTATCACTTTACATTTTTACCTTGTCTTTGGAGATGCACCCATCCAATACAAGGTGTTGGGCGCTGGGGAATTCTGGAAGAAGAGTCCCAGTTTTGGAGCTCAGTGAATATTTCCGAGTGAATCCACCCTATAAGATGGAAAACAATATTACATCTTCACGCCAACAACCAGCCGCAATTTTAGCAGGATAAAAGTTGGCCATACTAATTGGCATAAATTTACTGATCAGAATTATGAAGCTGGCATTATGAAACTTTTTGCTTTTGTTTTGATCAGTATTTTGTTTTTATATTTAGATTCCATTATTTTTATTTAAAGTATGTTTCTCTCTCTTTTATTTATTTGTACTTCAGATTTGGGTTTCCCCTCAAGTTTCTACTTTGCAAACCACTTCAAGATTGCTTATATTAAGTTGTGAATAAATCAATTAAATTAATAATAAATCTATGCATATGTAGACTAAATCAGAAATATATATATGGTGGTGCTTTAGCACACAGGAAAACACACACACACACACACAGAGAGAGAGAGAGAGAGAGAGAGAGAGAGAGAGAGAGAGAGATTGAATTACAATAATAAATCTGCCCAGGCATTTTCTGGATCAACCAGATAGCTCCAAGTTCCCCACCTGCCTATATTTCTACACTAACCCTAAGCATTAAAAGGACAGAAGGAGAGGGAAAAGGGGAACAGATTTTCTTTAAAAAACCCTGGATGCTTCTTCCTGAAATGATTCCAAAAACTGTGTTTTCTCTTTGTTGCCTTCTTTTTCATACCTGCCCTTTAAAATGTTTCCATTATATTTTAATTTGTTTTTCTTTCTTTCTGTGGTTTTTTTAAAAAAACAAAAGATTTTGAAACTGAAAAAAGTACTTTCCACAGCAAGGAAACTCATATTCTCGGGATACATGATCATAATCTGTATATTATGTGTAAATTATTCATTTTGTAGCTTTTGCAGACTTTTTAATTTGTAAGAGGGATTTGGGTGGGATCAGAGGTGGAAGGATTGAGAGCCATAGAGGAAGGCTCCCTTTGATTTCTGGGCCCTTAGCAGATGCTGGGATACAAGATTTGTATGGAGTGTGGGTAACTATGTGTTGGTAACTACTGAAAGCTAAATTTATTTGGATCCCATATTTTCGATCCTACAGTTTACAACATGGAACCAGGAGCACAGAATGTGAATAACGGCAAAACATTGAAGAAGTGCAACATTAGTCTGGCTTGAACATTGCATCCCTTTATATTTATTCCAGTGACCCCAGCTTTTGACTTTGTTATATATCGGCACTCTCAGAATTAGCATGCTGGGTGACACAAATCAGGCCATCTAACTAAGCAGTCTATCCATGGCCAATCTCATGATTCAAGGATAATAGTCAATGGATATTTTAAATCAGAAATTCCCAAACTGTAGTCTGAGAACCATCCGTGGTCCACAAGCTTCATTCAGGTGGTCCATGGCATGTCTGTGGATTTGTGGTTTAAGACAGGAGATGGCACATCCATCACATTAAATATTTTTATTTTATTTTTAATGGTTTATTATTGCTTCATTTACTTCTTATATTGTGTTTTATTGTGTTGCATGGAATTCAAATTGTAATGGCATAAAATGCAATATAAAAGAAATAAACAAATCTCTAAAAAGACCATTAAAGCATCTGGCACATTACGATTTCTACGAGAGGTGGAAAAATCAGGAAGTCGTCTACCAAGACCCTCAGCAATTTTCAAGTGGTCCATAGAGGTAAAGATTGGGGAACCATTGTTTTAGATTTTCAACAATTTAAAGTAAAATAAAGTGAGCAAGGATAGAAATATAGATAGTCAGGCTGCACCTCATCTAAGAATCAGGCTACACAAACACAGATAAAGAGCTAAATGAAAGAAGTGATGTGTGTTCACATTCTGTATTGACACAAACATTAGGTGGTTTAAAAGACTGTCATGAGTCAACATGGCTGCAGTTGAACAATTACCTGTCAGCATTTGGAGACTGTACCCATCAAACATACAAAAATGAGGGGCAAGGGGAGCTGAGGAAGGAGGTGTGGTGTTTGGGTTGTGTCGAATGCAGAGAAAATATTGGCATGATGAATTCAATAATGAATCTGAAGACTTGAGTCTCAGCTGCACATTTGCCATGGGTGTCTTTCACTTCGAAGGAACTCGTTGTAAGCTTGCTTAACGTGAGAGTCCATGACAGCAATTATTTGTGGCTCAATTAATCACAGAGTCTTGAATGGCACAATAAATGCTTTAGATAAAGGAGTTTGCTGATACTGCTGCCTTTGTGGTGGGTGAGGGGAGCCAACCATTTGCAAATCTGTGTGCTGCAGTGAAGCAAAAAAGGTTGTAGACGTGGGAGGCATGGGAAAGTTCTGGCTATAATCAATTAACATAATCTAATGAACATTATTGACTTAGTTCTGTAAAATATTCATACCTTATGTTACCTGGGGGACATGTTGCTAAACAATCTAAAATTTTGGTCCTCCCCAAACAGGGGGAAGCTGACATTGAGAAGAGCTTCGTTGATGCCCCACATATATGGATTGTGCTATTGTACAGTTTAGTTGTTAGGTCACCTTGAACTTGGTTGTATCTGTGTGGAGTCAAAAGTTTCCTGTAGCTGCTCTGTTCTTAAATCTCTAATTTGAGTTCACTTCCCCCTCTGGATCAAGAGTCTGCATTTTCTAGTCTTCTTACCAAGTATAAACAACAGGCCACAACTACATGAGGTTTTGAAGTAGACATCAAAAGACTATGGAACTTCTACTATGGGATCAGCAGGGCTCTGTGTATCTGATGTTCCCACCACATTACAAAAGCATATGAAATATTACTCACCTCATTCTTCAACTTGCTTCCAGAAAACCTTTGAAAACCAAGATATTTCACATTTGCATTAGGATGTAAAATTTAGGAAATGTTGAGAAAAGTACTACCACCCACTAGTTATCATGTTTCACAAAAGGGAGGGTGGTGCTTTTTTGAGGAGAGTGAAGCAACATCTATTTTCACTTGGTTAATAATAATAATAATAATGCAGATATATATTCAGCTATACTGAAATTCTGGTGGTGATGGAGACTGAAACATTATTTGACAACTTGCCCACTCAAACCAATGCACTAGATACCACCAGTGACTGCAGACATATAGAGGTCTGTTTTTCCTTAAGAGATTTTCTGCAGTCAGAGGAAATTTGGATTAAATGCAACAAAAATTATGGCCTGGCATTTTGATGTGGATGTTGCAAAAAGCTTCTGTGTATGAGTAGCAATGGTTCCACAATAAATTCCTGTCTGCAAGCAGCCTAACTCAGTCCCAGAATAGCTAAAAGTTTGCCACTTTTTTGATGCCTGTGCCTTTTCTGTGGTGGCTCCTTGCCTTTGGAATGCCCTCCCCAAGGGCACCTACTAGAGACCTCATTTCTCTCATTTAGGTGCTAGACAACACAATTCTGCTTTCCCAGGCATTTAAGAGCATGTTCCCCAAAGTGTCCCCAATAAGGGGTGTGTTGTAGAGTTATGCAGTTGTCCCTGTTGGCTTTAACCCCACCCACTATCAGGATGTTCCTCCCACACACAGACTGCCCACAAGGCAATGGGACCATAAACCAGTTGTTCTCAAAGGGTGTGACACGGCACACGGGTGTGGCAGGAGAGGGTAGCCATTAGTTATATGTTACTTCTATCATATAACACAAGTAGGGCCTGAATGCACCCCCCTCCCCTGTCCACACTTTGAGCATTTGCATGTTCAAGCAAATGCCCGATCATGTAATATAATAATCAAGTGGTGAAAAATCAAGTGTACATGTGTGAACTAGTCCAAGGTGATTTTTGAACATCATTCAACACTATATCAGTTATACTTCAAATGTTATTTTACCATACCTTGTCAAACCTTTTCCAGAATACACTGAGTGATAGTATGCACTGCTTTCTTTAATGCCAATTCCATAATAGTGATATCTGTAGCAGGGAAGAAGCCAACAAACAGATATAGAGATAAATAAATAGATGATAGATAGATAGATAGATAGATAGATAGATAGATGATAGATAGATAGATAGATAGATAGATAGATAGATAGATAGAGATAGATAGATAAATGATAGAGAGATATGCTGTTAAAAGGGGCACACAAAGTTGAGGATAAAGCAGAACTCAGACTTTCAAGTTTTATTTTTTTATGTTCATTAGGTAACCTTCATTCAGTAATCCTGTCCCCCAAGACAGGACATTATTAAAAGCTAAGATTTGAACGTAGGACCATGACTAGTCAAGGTGATGAAAGACCCCAAAGTGTTATCACAATAAGAAGTTTCACCAGTGTCCCTGAAAAGGTGCATGCCTTTCCTTAAGACTCATAAGCAAATAAGAGAAAAACAGGACAGTAGTTTATATGATGGCAACCATTTTGTCATTAGGTATTGACATTTAAGCCAGGAACCCAACTTATTTGGATTTTTAGAAACTGCTTATTTCCAGCAGTCTGAGGTATGCAGAAGCAAGCTCACTCGCCATAGTGAACTTTAGCTATTGAATAGTTTACTATCTGTAACATAAAAAGTAATTTGTTATATAAAATATAGTATGATAGAAGAGGGAGGATCAAGAAGAGGGAAACTGATTTATAGGATGGATAAGAGAGATGGGATAGGTTTATTTAGTGTCTAATTGTTTTTATTGTACTGAAAATAAATAAAAGCTGTGATGACAATCTTCATATATGTATTTTTCATCAAAATTTACTGTAAGAAGCAGAACAATCTCTCTCCCTCTATTTCTTCACTCTCCCATTTTCATGTGCATGGACATATGTTCCTGTGCGGCAAGTAGCCCTGGCCTGAGCATATGCTGACACAAATGATGGCTGATAAGGGCAATGATAGGATTAAGCTGCTCAGGCACTTGCAATAACTCATTATCGCAAGGCCAGCTGCCATATCAGTTTTATTAACCCACTAAATCACTTTTAATAAATAAGATAATGCCTTTCAGAAATGGCGCAGGGAAGCTAAGATTTAGCGTTGATCAAAGTCTACAAAGAAATTAAACTGTAACTCGAGCTCAAACAGCCCACAGCATCTGCCCTCCATGACACCTACACAGGTCATCCCTCAACAGGAACCGCAGCTGCACAGCAGACCTTGGCCTTGGTCCAGAGGAAGTTACTTGTGTGGCTAAAACCCTATGGCTTAATTTAAGCACAACTAATTTATCTGTCATGTTGATTTCAATAGGGCTTATGTCCAACGGCTTTCTCCGTGCTGGGCCATTTGTTTAATGGTTCCTACTAAGTTAACTGCCTGCGGGATTTCATGGACAACAGTTGTGTGGAAGGGCCTCTTCCTCCTGGGCTTTCCATCACTTTTGCCATTTCGCTACACTTACCCTAACCTCTTCCATCTTTCACTCCCACCTCCTCTTGTTCACTCAGCCCATTCATTCTGCCTTTTGTAAACCACTTTGTGGTTTTATTACAGTCAAGAGGCATAGAAATGTAGGGAGATAAATAAATATTTTTTTCAGCCTTTCCATCAAACATCAAATTAAATGAGGCTCAGTTATAGGAAATCAGTAGGAAATGAATCTCACCTGGCTCACACAAGGGTATTTATAAAAGATCAGACCTAGAGTACATGGATCTGAGTTTCTGGGCCCAATTCAAACTGCTGGTTTTGAGCTATAAAGCCTTAAATGGCTCAGGCAGTGGCAGAGAGCAGGCGGGGATGTGGCTGGTGTGCGTCCCGGGGGTGTGGAGCGTGTCCCGGAGGCCTGGTGCGCTGCCCGCAGGGGCATGGCATGTATCCTGTGGGCATGGCGCCCACCTCAGGATGGTGGTGCTGGGGGCGGTGCGCTCTCCCCGCCCCCCTCTTCCTCCGCCTGTGGGCTCAGGACTGCAATACCTCAAGGACTGATTCTCCCTATATGAACCAACCCAGACCTTGCGATTATCATTGGAGGCCCTTATTCTGGTGCCCCCTCCATGAGAGGTCCACAGAGTGGCAATATGAGAACGGGTCTTTTCTGTGGCGGCTCCCCATTTGTGGAATGCTCTTCCTAGGGAAGATCATCTGACACCATTTTTGTCTAGTTTTAGGCACTAAGCAAAAACTTTCCTTTTTACCCAGACTTTTGTCATTTAATCTGAAGGTTTTTAAGTATTTGTGGCCTTTTTTAGTGGGACAGGGTCTGTCAATGATATGCTTGTGAATCATCCTAAAGACATTTTGATTTGCTAATCTGTTGCACCCCAGCATTTTCCATGTTGATGTCCTGGTTGGTTTTTTTGTTTTCTTCAGACCTCATCTGTGCATATTTTAAGAATTGTAAAACATAATTGCTGTAAGTGTGGACAGGACAAGTGCTACTGAGGCTTTGAGGGGCCTTTTAATTAATAGCTTTCTTCTTGGGGGTTGGACCCAGAGCTATCATTCTATCATTAATCTTCCCCATCAATAATGCCCAGTTCCACAATTAGGTTTGGAGAAAAGCCTCCTATCAGCTCCAATAGGAGGCTTTTTTCAAACCTAACTGCTGTGTGTGACTGCGGGTGTGTGTGTGTGTGATTATTTTGGCAAGTGTGGCTAGGACCTTTGGCCCTGCCTGCTTTTTATTTGGCCCTATCCATGCAGCCCCTGGAAGATCAGCCACAAGAATATATGGCTCCATGTCTGAAATAGATTCTGCACCCTGTTTTAGAGACTATTTATTAATTCATCTCATATGAGAATTCCCGTTGTCTGATGAAAGATTTTATGGCTTACCACACACATTTATAGATTGAGAAATCACAGCTCTGAAGCGCTAGAGGAGGAATATCTCTTACTTTGAGTGGCCTCTGGTGCCCAGCCGCCTTGTGGTGAGAAGAGGAAATTTCTGACGAATAGTCTAGAGTGAAAGATCAGAAATTAAATATCTATAATGGGAGGGAAAAGGCTGTGGCATTGTGTTCATCTCCCCTGCTGCTCTCATTTCCCACATTATGAAACCTGAATGTAAAACCTCCATAGCTTAAAATTTACATCTAGGAACACAGGAAGCTGCCTTATGGCAAGTCAAGCCAATGGTCCATTTTGCTCAGATGTGTCTACAACAGCAGGTAAGAGATTTCCAGGGTTCCAGGCAGATAAATCTCCCATCCCTACCTGGGGATTGAACCTGGGACACTCTGCACACAAGGCAGATGTTCTTCCACATTCTGTGTCACAATAACAAGAATCAAACAATTTTGGACAAGTGGCACAAGAAAAGCCCAGTGTCACTTTTAGCATCCCATGTAAATTGCCCTGGAAGCATCAACAAGACAACTGGGCAATATGAGTAGCTGGAAAGTTACCAAAAAGCCAGGTGGGTTTTAAAACAAGGGGTTTTTTTTAGCTTGGAGAACCAATTTATTCAATGCGGTTTGAGATAAGGATCTCTGAACTTGAGATGTGCCGATACTGGGTTGTTGTTTTTCAGTTCAGCAGCATAGCTAATCTTGTTTTGAAAAGGCCCTCCTTGGAAGTGACTTCTGCAACGGCACAACTGAGGGTGAGCCAAGCCGCCAAAAGTCACAGACACCACAGCTCAGCAGCCAACAACAGAGCAAATACCCTGGAGCCGGAAAGCCCTGCATCTAATAGAAAGAGATAATCCTACTGTTGCCAAAATTCGGAAAAGGAAGTAATGCAGTTGGGGGTAGGAATTAAGGTTAATTCACTCTTGTTGGTAGTGAAGTCATTTAATATCATTGGGAGACATGGACCCTCTCCCCCATTTCATTAAACTAATGTGTTTCAGCTCCACAAAGCAATTGGGAGATATCATGGGTGTTTTTTGAACTCTGAAGCTTTCTTGGTATTTAGTTTCACCAGTTCCTAGTAGTTTGGATTTAATTTGGAAAGCCCACGTCTCACTTTGATTAAATAAGTTCAACATTAAAGCGTGGGTGGATTTTTGTCAATTGGGGGTAGGAGGGAAGAGGAAAGATCTGCCACCTGCAACCCTATCCTTTTCAATCTCTTTCATTAACTGTGCCCTGTTCTCACAGTAATTATTACAAAAGTTACATGCCTTTCAACTTTGCCGACTCCAGCAATCCTTTTCCTCTACCCTGCACCTCTTCAGGTGAAGGACTGATTCTATCCTCCTGCAAATCCCCAGCTTCTACTACTGCCCCTTCTCAGTCCCGTGTTGCAAAACAAAGAAGGACATTGAACATATCCTACCAGGAGTAAGATTTAAAATAACATTTCACTGAAAGCACAGAGGGCTTTGCTCAGTCCTGTTATCATGGGAGAAATCAGAGGCTCAAATTAAACGCCTCTTGAAAAAAATGAGGGAACTGGTTTTGTTTATTTCAAAAAAGCAATGAAATGAAAACAGGTGAATCAAATGCCTTATTTACCTTCCCAAATGTGGCAGCACAGGCAGGTTCAAGTTTCTCCTTCCTGCAGAAGTCCAGGTAATGGGCATAGAGGATGCACCTCGGCAAACAAACCCCTTCACATACAATATAATTCTCTTCCAACCTAAAGGTGGAAAACAAGCCAATAACACGAAATACTCTGTCCTTAATCCTAGTTTATCTACTTTTCTTCTTATTATTATTACTGACCAGCCCAGAAATTAGAAAAAAAAAGTCCTGGGCCTTTTGTACTGTGTGAATACCTCCACCACTTTCTTCCAATCATTTTTCCTAAATGCTAATAGCCGTGTCTCTGACCTAACCCTAAGCCAAACCATAGCCTAGCATGAATGCAGAGGTGTATTGGCTTCCAGGGAGCATATAACAACTGCCTGGCTGTCCTTTTAGCTCAGCAGGGCACAGCAGTTTGCTTAAGCTCTGGTTTAGTGTGCGCCACCTGCATGCAGGATCGTGGTTAAGATCACTCATCCTCAGCCATGATTTGTAACCAAGGTTTGTTTAATCACAATCCTGCGTGTGAACGACATGTGAAGCCAAAGCTTGGATCAGCTGTCACAATGAGCTAAAAGCCACCCAAAGAGCCACCCAGAATGACTGGGGCAACCCAGCCAGATGGGCAGGGTGAAATAATAATAATAATAATAATAATAATAATAATTACTATTGCAGTCCTGGTAATCCATATTTAGGCTTACAATGACATGGAAATCACTCTAGCCTAAAACAATTAAAAATGGACACATTAAATGGGGGAAAGTAACACTGTGTACACAGCATGGAGCACTCTAGGTGCTTGGACTGCAGCTTCCATAAACCCCATCCAGCATGGCTGATGGGCAAATATTCTTGGAATTATAGTCCATAATATCTGGAGGGCACCATGTTGTATACCCCTGGAGTAGCAGGAAAGGGGCATTGCGTGTCTACTCCAAAGCCATTGAGTTTAATGGGTCTCACTCCTCAGTAAGTGTTCAGAGTTAACCAGCACTCTGGCGTGGCCACTGGTCTTACCATTGCAAGGTGAGCTGCGTCTGCTTCTTCTTATCCTTCATCGTCTGAGTGATCGTTTTCTTTGGAGGTGAGTGTTTGTTCAGAGATTTTATCTTACTTTCATGGCTCTTCCCATCTTCCTCTTCCAAGGAAAGGGGTTCACGGTTAAAATGAATTTCTGAGCACAAGGGAGTTTAAGAAGAAAATACAATGAATCAAAATGAACTGTGGGCTGTTGGTTCATTTTATTTTGCTATGCCTGTACCTGGGAACTCCACACAATTTTGAACTTGGATTTCTTGGATGGGAGCTTTTCCCTCTTGGTGCAAATCAGAGCCACATGGGGAGAAGCCTAATCCAGATCAGGTGTGTTGCAAAGGCAAAGAGCCACATCGAGCACACACACAAACACACCCCATAGTCCCAATGCAACAAGAGCAACATCCCCATGGCTGCAGCGGATGACTTCTAGTTTTGTCTTCTTATCATAGAGCTATACAGAGTTTTAAAAGGTGTGAAAAGAAGAATGTTTGGTAGGCATACGGGAAGAGGTGAATATTTGGTCCAATCAATGCTGCTGTTTTAGCTATTATATTCATATCTCACATGCAGACTGTTGAATTTTGGGTACCTCGGTAACAAAACCCCATGCACCAATAGAAATTACTCCAGTAAATGTTCCCTTGCCAATTTGGAATCTGTAGATACCCAGCTGAGGGAATGTCCACCTCAGACTTGCAGACTTTAGCACCAGCAAACACTACACCACTAAAAGACACCACCTTGCACATCTGTATAGTAAACTGAAGCCAAGCTCTGTGACTGTAATTCTAAGAAGCCCAGCTAAAATCAGGGAGAGATTCGCATTCCAAGCCTATGTATTTATTTAGAAGGAAGTCCCGCTGAGTTCAAGGGGACCTCTTGCAGCCTTTCGCTTTCTGTAAATATGTTTAGGATCTGGGTTTCAGAGAGAGAACGGCAGCGAAAGGGAGGGAATTCGGTGGGAATGAAAGCCTTTGTAGTTTTCTCACCAAACTGAGGGGGTGATGTGGGGAGGGGGGATGACCTGTGCATCCTTTTCACTGCGTACTTGGAATGCAATGGAAACGAGAAAAACTCCACTGCAATTATTTGGAAAGACGTTCCCTTCGCATCCGTGGGCGGGAGGGGAAGACAAGGAGTTTAAACCCAAGCATTCTCCATCCTGGTCTCTGCTCCCAGTGCCAAAGGCATACAAAGGGGAGCACGGGGTGGTGACAAATCCCCGGGGCTGGTGCAGAGTGCGCAACGGCATTGATCCCAACCCAGCAGGAACACACGAGGAAGGGCTCCCGGATCCGAGGCTGCCCCCACCGGCCCTGAGGGATTGTGACCCCCTCTCTCTGGGCTACCCCTTCCCGCTGGCCGGCGTGCAGCTGCCCCCTCACCTGTCTTGATCCCCGCGCGGAGCCCCGGCTCGTGGGCCCCGCGGCGCCGTCCTCCGGGCAGCGAGCCGGCCTGAGGCGCCTCGTCCAGCAAGCCTTGGGCCAGCAGCTCGGCGTAGCAGTCCTCGTCCTCCTCTTCGTCCTCTTCGTCGTCGTCCGCCTGCTGCGGAGGCTGCGGCTGGCCCGGCGCAAAGGCGCCCCGGGACGGGAACTTCGCCAGTTTCTCCATCCTCAGGGCGCGGCGCCCGCCCCGTCCATGAGAGGTCGGGGGCGCAGAGGGGCTGGAGAGCACGCGGGGAGGCGGCCACCAAACCCCACTGTGGCCCCAAGGCGGGGTGGCGAAGGACAGGTGCGCGATCTGGAACGGAGCAGGTGCTGGTCAGGTTGGCACAGGCGGAGCCGAAGGGGCATGAGACGTGAAGGCTCTCTCCAGTCAAGCTCCTTTATGGGGACAGGAGGAGGAGGAGGAGGGCCGTCGAGAACAAACCGCTCTCCCCCTTCAGCACCGCCAGGCCGGGGAGAAAGGAAAGCCCTGCCCACCCATTGTCACGCACTCTGCCCCACGTCAGATTCGCGACCTCTTTCCCTTTTCCTTTTAAGCCATGGGCAGGTGCCCCTGCAGCAACTCTTCTTTGCTCAGATACGGCTCTCGTTTGCTCTCCAAGGCTCGTCCCCAGAGGAAGGGACGTTCTGATAACGGTTCTTTTGAGCGCGTGCAAAGTGGAGTCACCGTAGTCGCCTCCTACAGATCTGGGCACTAAGATCAGGCTTCCAAGCCAGAGGGCGCGATTTCATAGAGTTGCAGGGGACCCTGAGGGTTATATAGTTCAATACCATGCAATGCAGGAATCTTTTGCCCAACGTGAGGCCCACGGCCCCATGATTAAGAGGCTCTTGCTCTACCGACTGAGCGATCTAAGGGCCAAGGCTCCCGGGCCGGCAGTTCTAACTAAAGTAAGGATGCTGACCTCTGATGAATTAAAGTGGGTCGGTTGATGCTGGATCTTTGATAAATACCGGGAGCAGACAGGTGATCCCCAGGCACTTTGTAGACAGGTGCCCTGCAGTGATGTTCACTACCAATTCAGAATGGGTGGGGGGACTGTATGGTCCACTCTAGAGTGTCCATTGCTGGGGGACATATTTTTAAAATATAATGTCCCCCAATATTAAAAGCAACAAGCAGAACCCACCACCCACAACTATTTGCCTGCTTTTGGAAATCCAACCAGTACAGTGGTACCTCGGGTTACAGATGCTTCAGGTTACAGACGCTTCAGGTTACAGACTCTGCTAACCCAAAAATAGTACCTCTGGTTAAGAACTTTGCTTCAGGATGAGAACAGAAATTGCGTGGCGGCGGCGTGGTGGCAGCAGGAGGCCCCATTAGCTAAAGTGGTACCTCAGGTTAAGAACAGTTTCAGGTTAAGAACAGACCTCCGGAACGAATTAGGTTCTTAACCTGAGGAACCACTGTACTAGATTTTCATCTCTTTGAACATTATAACATTCAAATATGCACCTCTTTACCCTCAGTGTGGGAAGCTGCATAATTAACAAAGGATTACTACCCCCCACCATGAGGTGCTGCACAGAGAGTGCAGCTGCACCTTGCTAGATCACCTGCAGAGAACAGGTGGGCTCAGGTGTCCACAAAGACTTTAGGCTTCCCACCCTCACTGTATATTGTGATCTCTTAGACAGGTGCTTAGTATGACGCACAGATCATCTACAAAATCTCTCCCAAATCAGTGGGGAAGACAAACTCACCACAAAAAGAAAGACCTGCAGGAAAAGAACTATAAATGCTTAGCCAGGTCCTGTTAATAAAACTCCATTGCTGTCCACCTGCCAGGAGGGTAGGAAGAGAGATGAACAATTCCAGTAACCTGTAACTTATGCAGGTAGTTAGGGAAAGTTCAGAAGTTAGAACCGCCTTTTTAAATTGTTCATTTAAATTGATTATAATATCACGTTCTATATATTTTATTAATTAAAAAACGGTTTCATTCATCTGCAGCTGGTACAGTCTGATTGCCCCAAGGAGATTCAAAACAGCAGCAGCAGGAGGAAGAAGAAGAAGAAGAAAGAAGTAGATCCTATTTCATTCCACATCTTTGCCTTGGAACTTTTTGCCAAGCTTCTGTAAAGTCCGACTGATATCCCACTTTATCACTACCTGAAGGAGTCTCAAAGTGTCTAACATTCTCCTTTCCCTTCCTCCCCCACAACAAACACTCTGTGAGGTGAGTGGGGCTGAGAGACAAGATCACCCAGCAGCTGCATGTGGAGGAGCGGAGATGCGAACCCACTTCACCAGATTATGAGTCTACCACTCTTAACCACTACACCACCCTGGCTCTTCAGGAATGAGCTTCATGAATGAGTGGGGATTCGAACTGTGGTGTCCTAGGTTCTGAGCCAACACTCTAATACATTCTAATCTTTGGTGATCACTCATAGCCAAGTAAGATTGTCTTCCATAAACATGGTTTTATCAATGAGTCCGTAAGTGACTGTGGAGGCCAATTCTAAACCCACACATCCTTCCACAGTGGGGACATTGGTTCCTGGGTGGGAGTGAGTGGGCTTGCACGTTCCTATGACCCTTGTGAGCGAAGCTGTAGGGAATCTGGTACTCCCAGCAGGGTCACCCAAGATGGTAAGGTCAAAGGGAAGGAGCTAGACAATGAATGATCCAAGACATTCTATTACACCCTGTTAATTGGTCTTCCAGGAGATGCCAGGGTGCAGGGAGAGGTCAGAACTCTCTCATCACACCTTCTAAGTAACATAAAAAATACATTAATCATATCACTCACAAAATGCCAAATATAACAAGTTGCCAGGATCTGCCCCCACAGGGCAGCAAAATATAACTCTCTTGTGAGAACAAAAGCAGGCACCATATGCTTTTTCTGCCTTTCCTCCTATGCACTTCTTTCTGACATATGTTAATAAGCACTGGATCTGATCATATTAGGGGCTTTGATAAAGATGATACCAGTGGCCACCCGCAAGGAAGTGGGGAGTCAAAGAGAAAGGCAAGAAATCTTTTTTTATTCCTTCCTTCCCCTTCCTTGTTAACTCTGAACCCAGCCCCCCCTCCCCAGTATTTTTGACTCTGAGCAATGCTATTATGGGGGTGGGGTGGGGTGGGGATTTTTAGATGTGTTACTCCACTAACTTCAAAATGTGGCAATCCAGCCTTGCTGCATTTGGTGGCATTTCTGCTCAACCTGGTGAATGTGAACCTGGATGTCCCCAAAGTCTTTCCCAACACCAGAATACAAGAAGAACCCTACTGGATCAGGCTAGTAGTCCATCTAGCCCATAATCCTGTCCTCACAGTGGCCAACTCCAAGCAACTGACATTCAAAGGCATACTGCCTCTGGCAGTGAAAGGAGAACATAGCCATTATGGCTAGTAGCAAATGAGAGCCTTAAAGGTAAAGGGACCCCTGACCATTAGGTCCAGTCATGGCTGACTCTGGGGTTGCGGCGCTCATTTCGCTTTATTGGCCGAGGGAGCCGGCGTACAGCTTCCGGGTCCTGTGGCCAGCATGACTAAGCCGCTTCTGGCGAACCAGAGCAGCACACAGAAATGCCGTTTACCTTCCTGCCAGAGTGGTACCTATTTATCTACTTGCACTTTGACATGCTTTCGAACTGCTAGGTTGGCAGGAGCAGCGACCAAGCAACGGGAGCTCAACCCATCGCGGGGATTCGAACCACCGACCTTCTGATTGGCAAGTCCTAGGCTCTGTGGTTTAACCCACAGCGCCACCCACGTCCCTAATGAGAGCCTTATTCCCCCTTAATTTGCCTACTCTTCTTTTAAATCCATCCTGATGTGAGTACTGGTTCAGTATCCCAATGAGTGTTAATTGAGAAGAAGGAACTGGGCTCAACAAGAAGATGCCGGTAACATGATCCATTGGGTGGTGATAATGTGGTTCAACTTTAGGCATTTCTCTGCTCCTTCTTCATGTCCACAAGGGTAGGCAGTGTCCTTTGCCTATAGGAACTCTCTCCAACTCTGCCCCTTCCTCCCCTGCTTTTTTACTCCCTGCAAAAGTCAGCAGGCTACCATGTTACTTTGAAAATACATTCTATTAATGGCAGTGGGTTATTCAGGCTGCAAGCCAAAGCATACTTAACAGGGATTCTCATTGAGATTAATGGGATTTATGTCTGAGTACACCTGTATTGGGTTCATTGTGCTATTGATTTTGAAGGAAAATATCACCAGTAGATGGCAATGTTCAATGCTGTTTCTGTTTACTTCTCTCTCCAAGGGAACAATTTTTATGGTTCCTGAAGGAAATGAGATCTGTTAATAAAGGCCTGATCCAGAATCTGCACTTATGAGCAGATTCCCGCTGTCCTGTGAGTCATAAAAAACACAACAAATTTAGTTTTGATTTTTTGGAACAATAGTATATATAGAAGCTGAATACATATGCCTTTGTGGTATTTACTTATTTTGACAGTACGTTTATATATAACTATTGTTGTTGTTTAGTCGTTTAGTCGTGTCCGACTCTTCGTGACCCCATGGACCAGAGCACGCCAGGCACCCCTGTCCTCCACCGCCCCCCGCAGCCTGGTCAAACTCATGCTGGTAGCCTCGAGAACACTGTCCAACCATCTCGTCCTCTGTCGTCCCCTTCTCCTTGTGCCCTCCATCTTTCCCAACATCAGGGTCTTTTCCAGTGAGTCTTCTCTTCTCATGAGGTGGCCAAAGTATTGGAGCCTCAGCTTCACGATCTGTCCTTCCAGTGAGCACTCAGGGCTAATTTCCTTAAGAATGGATGCGTTTGATCTTCTTGCAGTCCATGGGACTCTCAAGAGTCTCCTCCAGCACCATAATTCAAAAGCATCAATTCTTCGGCTATCAGCCTTCTTTATGGTCCAGCTCTCACTTCCATACATCACTACCGGGAAAACCATGGCTTTAACTATACGGACCTTTGTTGGCAAGGTGATGTCTCTGCTTTTTAAGATGCTGTCTAGGTTTGCCATCGCCTTTCTCCCAAGGAGAAGGCGTCTTTTAATTTCGTGACTGCTGTCACCATCTGCAGTGATCATGGAGCCCAAGAAAGTAAAATCTCTCACTGCCTACATTTCTTCCCCTTCTATTTGCCAGGAGGTGATGGGCCCAGTGGCCATGATCTTCGTATTTTTGATGTTGAGCTTCAGACCATATTTTGCGCTCTCCTCTTTCACCCTCATTAAAAGGTTCTTTAATTCCTCCTCACTTTCTGCCATCAAGGTTGTGTCATCTGCATATCTGAGGTTGTTGATATTTCTTCCGGCAATCTTAATTCCGGCTTGGGATTCATCCAGCCCAGCCTTTCGCATGATGAATTCTGCATATAAGTTAAATAAGCAGGGAGACAATATACAGCCTTGCCGTACTCCTTTCCCATATAGAACCATATGCATATTTATAAAACCCCTACAAAAGACAGGTTCAAAACACTTACTAGACATATAAGAACCAGTTCAGCTTTTCAGTGAATATTTTGCTCAGCTTTATTAAAAGCCAGTTAGAGAACTCACAAGCTTCATGACATTGGGGAAAAGTTCGGAATCAGAATCAAAAGAAAGCAACCAAAAATACTTTTCGTTATTTGTTTTTAAGTGGAAATTCCTTCAGACACTTTAGACACAATGCATCAAACATTAGATACAGATTTCTGATTATTATGTTAACGTCAAGGAAAATTGGTATAGCTGGTGCCTAATTTTTCCTGGAATAGCAATGGTTGGTATTACAAGGCGCATTTCCTAAATGGATCTTGCTGATATTTGGATTCCCAAATCCAACATCATATAAAAAGATAAGGCATTAGTTACCCTAGATGGCGCTATTTTTTCATAAAACACCCTGGAGAATACTATGGTACGTTGATACAAGTTTGCAGCAATTAAACCAAAGTCTATCATTTTTGGAGTGTATGATAAAAATGTAAGTTCAAGTTAAATGTGACAAAGAAGCTGTTGCGCACATGGGGGAAGGGGGAGAGATATTTGCATACATCCCTGCCCCCCTTTCCCCTTTCCTCTACACACTTAAATTTGTTATGCTAGTGCTTTAGCAAAAACCAGCTTCAGCTTGTCTGTTCATTTCATCTGAACTCTGCAAAACTTTCTAAAACACCACCTGCCCTGTCTAGGAAGTGTTTTGCAAACACTACAGAACCTTTTGCTATGTTTTTCTGTTCAACAGACTATGTGAGGTGGTGCGTTTGCAATGGACAACTGCTTTTCCTAACAGCTCAGTGAAATCAGAATCCTGAATAGTTATGAAGATCCTTCAGTGTTTCTGTTTCCTTGGCTCCTGTTTGAAAATGTTCTCAGGAGGACCTCTATAGGGGATTTTCTTTCATGGTTTTATGGGTCTACAGAGCAGAGAGATGCCATTTTTTAAAAGCCAGTGTGACTGAGTGGGGAAAAAACAACAGGGATTATTATTTTTCACAAGGAGACGTCTTGGAATGGTGGGGGATTTTACTGGGTGTGACTTGTTAATAGTGGTGGCTGTTGCATTTTGGGATTGGTAGGGCAGAAGACAGGAAGGCCAAAAGCAGGTGAAGCAGATTCAATGGCAGGCAGAGTCACTCCTTGACCGGTTGCAAAAAGGCACACAGGTAGGGGCTGGCTGATGGCAGATTGAGGTTGGTGGGCCAGTGCCCTATTGACCACAGTGGGCCAGGCTCTGCTGCTTGATGAGCAAGATTCAGAAAATCCCACTCATTTAAATTCACACTTCTGCACACATTTTAAAGTTCAGTTCTTTCACATTTGGGTCAACCTAATTAAAGGTCTTCTGGTATGACAATTCTCAACAGCTACCTATTTTTTTTAGTGCGATTCAATCTCATACCTGCAAATGAAAGAAGAGCTTGAAAGAAGAATTGGAAAAGAAATGATAGATGAGTAAAAAATACTTTGTGATAAATGGGAATGGGAGGGGGGAAATAGAAAAGAGCCTCACTTAGAGCCTCCAGATCAGCAAATTCTTCCTGAAATGGGGAAACCGAGTCACAGTGTTTCCAGTAGCTGCACTGAGCTTGAGGAAAGCTGAACTATAGAATTCATTTCCAGTAGGAAACTGCTGTGGCACAGAATCTAGCAATTTCCCAAGATGGATTAGATGCCAATAGAAAGTGGTGTCCACAATTGCCAGCTGATTGTGCTAAACTGCCTGCATGTGCTTATTTATGTATATCCTGCTCACCCTCTCATTAGAGTGATAAAAAATTTTTTAAAACACCATAATAACAATTCTAGTGACAACAAAAGTGATGCCAACTAAGAAAAATCTCAGAAGGCTTGTTGAAAGAGGAAAGTCTTCAGCAGAGGCTGAAAAGACAAGCAAGATGGTACATATGTAACACTGGGGAACAATTCCCCCCCCCCATTTTCTGTTGCATGGGGTTTTTCAACTGTTCTTATATGTTCTTTCAATGCTGATTTCAAATCTGAAATCGATTTTTGTGTACGGTACATGCTATAGTTATCTTGCAATTTCTGACTTTTGCCGACATATCGGCATGCAAAAGAAAATGAAAAAAAATTGTTCCCCAGTATACTGTGTATCCCAAGGGAATACATTTTTTTGCATATCTCCAACTGTACATAGATATACATATCATTTTCAATGCTATACATGTCATGTTCAATGCTATAGTCACTTACATTTATACTCATATTGTACTACTTTGGCTGTGTGTTTAATAAAATATTGAATTCTTGCATTGTGAAAAACAAAGATTATGGTGAAAGTGAAAAACATGAATTGCAAAAAATCCTAGAGCTTACAGAACAAAACCAACTTCAGATATGAAATCAGCACATCAAAATTAGGTTAGAACAACAGCAGGTGTCAATGCAACAAAAACATTGTTTCCCAATAGACAAGAGGGTTATATGACTGGTTCTGTCCCCGCACCTCCATTTTGGTAGCCCTGTTTGGGGAAGTTTTTAATGTTTGACGTTTTATTGTGTTTTTAATATTTTGTTGGGAGCCACCCAGAGTGGCTGGGGAATTAATAATAATAATAGCAAAATTAAAGGTGATTTGGTACTCTTGCATCACACCTCTGAATACCTGTTGCTGAGAATCACAGGTGGGCAAAGTGTTCTTGAGCTCATGTCCATCTTGCAGGCTTCCCAGAGGCATTTGGTTGGCCACTGTAAGACCAGGATGCTTGACTAAATGGGCCATTAGCCTGACTCAGCTCTTATTGTCTAGCCTCTGCACAAACTTTATGCATATAAATTGGGATTAATGCTCAGGAAGTAGGTCATCTGGAAGCAACCATAGCTAGCAGGGTTGCTCGTTCTTAGTGTCACAAAACTGGCTCAGAATCCATCGAGCCCTTATTTCCAGGGATGGATTTATGACATGTAAAAGGAGTATAGTTTATAAGTTGCATTTCTCCTCATAGAAGTACTCCATGTGACATACAAGAACCCAATGAACTGATGAAATCTGAGTCATTGTTTCTCCTATCAATTAGAATTGAAGAAAGATATACATTAGCTCCAGTCAATAATAAAAAACAACAACCCACCCATAGCACTCTAAAGAATGAGCTGTGGGAAACACTTGATTGCCTAATTGTTTGTAGGATCTGGAGAAATGTGTCTCAGGGATATTGCATTAGGTAAAACATGCCCTAAACCAGAGAAGGGGATTTAAAAATACAGCAAAGACATGGTCTTATGAAATGCCATGTATATGATATATAGCAGGCATAGGCAAACTCGGCCCTCCAGATGTTTTGTGACTGCAACTCCCATCATCCCTAGCTAACAGGACCAGTGGTCAGGGATGGTGGGAATTGTAGTCCCAAAACATCTGGAGGGCTGAGTTTGCCTGTACCTGATATATAGTATAACTCTGAAAGGAGTTTGGTGACCTGCCTTTGGCAGATCAGCAAAGTTCTTTCCAGTATAAATTGATTCTGATCCAGTAGTCAATGATTAAAAACACACCCCAGTACAACAACATGGGGGCTCCTGTCTACCTTGCCTTGGTCTGAGAATGAACTATGGGGAGTGGGGGGGCCTGGAATGGGGCATTTTGGTCATGGTGGCCAGGAAAGTGCCTGCACCTGTGTCATGGTGGCTAGAAGTTCTGTTTCAACTTAGATTTTAAAATTAAGGTAATTTTAAAGTGAGGTTTAACCGGAAGTTCTAGCTACTGCTGTGTCCTGCAGAGTCTTGAGCAGCTCCCTCAGAATGCCTCGCTTTGAGGAATAGTCCCCTAGCCTAGGCCTTCTCTCAGAGTGAGGCAGGGAGAAGGAGAGAGGGTGCCACTAGTGTGGGTGTGGAGAAATAGGAAAAGAAAAAATGGGAGTGGCGGCAGGCAAGGAGAGGAGGAGCAGGGAGGCAGCACCAAGCAGGAGAGAGGAGGAGCACAGTCTTCTTCTCCCTCCCTGCTTATTGCTAAAATTTCAGAGGACTGTCTTTCACCTCCTTACCCTTTTCAAAGCCTGACCATTACATCAAGAGTGTGCTCTGACAACGTTTGCTCTCTGCTTTGTGTTTTCTTTCCTTCACTGACTGATGTAGTGATGGCCTGAACACATAGTAATCCAACATCTAGTTTATATATCTAAAAAAAAACCACACACAAAAATATTATGTATGCAAAACACAATATGGTTTTCCATGGCCAGTATTACAGTATTTCATTCAACTCAAGAAGTTTGGAGCTGTTCTGAAGCTGACAAAAAGGGTAAGATGCACAACTGACTCACATTTCCTGCTCTCTGCCACTTATCATTGCATCTTAAGTTAGAACATGTTTGGACTCTTCCTTACAGGTCTGCTGCATTGCTGTTTTCTCCTATGGCTGGGAACCAAACGAAAATTGGATTCCCAGAAACAGCAGTAAGAATTGATGTAAACAGCCGAGAGTGTGAAAAGACGGAAGCCATAATGTGATCAGAAGAGCAGATGGCAAAGCTTCAAGTTGCAGAATGAACCCAGCAAAATGATGTTCCTTGAATTGGAAATCAGTCTGTGAGGTCTGCTACATCCACCATCTTCAGACAAAACTGAAAACCTGCTTCTGTATCTTTGGCCCATCAAATATTTGTACTTTTCCCTTCCAATGTAGAAAATCCACATGGGGCAAAAGAACATAGATCTTAAGGCACCTCATCCTTGACTGGATGGCTTCTGATTTCCCAGGGAGATGGGAAATAACCCTGGAAATAACCCTAAGTGCCAAATAGTGACACCTGAATGGCTGCATTCAGCCCCTGGGTCTGATATTCCTCATGGCAGTGTATGTACATGCTGCCCTTGCATAAGGTAAGGTCCCAAATTCAGTCCCTGCTAGAAAATGGTTGTGGGAAGCAGGACTGGCAAAGATATCTATGAAGACCTAGGAGAGCACTTGCCAATTGGAATAGACACTAGTATACCTGAAGGAGCGCCCCCACCCCTTGTTCAGGCGGGACACTGAGGTCCAGCCCCCAGGGCCTTCTGGCAGTTCCCTCACTACGAGAAGCAAAGGTGCAGGGAACCAGAAGGGGCCTTCACAGTAGTGGCGCCTGCCCTGTGAAACACCCTCCCATCAGATGTCAAGGAAATAAAACTCTCTGACTTTTAGAAGACATCTGAAGGCAGCCCTGTTTAGGAAAGTTTTTAATGTTTGATGTTTTATCGCATTATTACTATTATTATTATTATTCTGTTAGGAGCTGCCCAGAGTGGCTGGGGAAACCCAGCCAGATGGGCGCGGTAAAATGATGATGATGATGATGATGATGATGGAATGGATGGACTCAGTGTAAGGCAGGTTCACATGTCCACATGGCCAAATTATGTTGAGATCTGCCCTGAGTTCTGTAGATGAAGGGCAATATACAAATTAAATAAGTAAGTAAGTGCCCTGGAACAGAGTGGTAATGGTCATGCCAGTGCCAGTGTACCTGATACTGGCACTGCTGCGGCTTACCTGGATTGTGTTGTTTTCTCTAGAATAAAATTGGTTAAATTGTTAAATGTAAGTTATGGGTTTGAATGCACACCCTGAAGGAAGGTATTCATGGTGAGACTATGATAATACACTTAAAAAAGCAGTTTGAAAAGAAAAAAAATAAGAAAGAAAGAAAGGAAGGAAGGAAGGAAGGAAGGAAGGAAGGAAGGAAGGAAGGAAGGAAGGAAGGAAGATTACAAGGCAATCTAAACCCCTTTCTCACTCCAGCTGTATTCAATCATGGTTTACTGGTGAGTGTACCTGAATGATATACATTTTGCCAACTCATTCCTGTTCTTTTCACACATAACATTATTTGCTCATGAATCAAAGGGTGGAGGACAAGAACCTAGAGGTCAAGCCAGGACTTTTCCAGATGAGGAATGACCTTCACAATCAGGGAACCTGGACAGGAATGTGCCATCCTCACCTCCGACTTCTCCTATATTCCTAAAGCATGTCATCCAGCGATCATAACCCTACCAAATCCTTTGCTTGTTATGCTCAGCACTGCTTGTAAACATAGCAGGATGGTAAAAATTTAGCTCACAAAATACTGTAAAAGCCAGACTGAGAACAGCATTGCACAAGCCGCCACAGTCCAAGAATTCAAAACATAATAAACAAAGGGGAAATATGCACATATGGGGTGTCAACTCACAAGCCCTTATCATGTGCTTTGGCTGCCTGAGCTAGCTCTTTCAAAAGTTATCATCGCAGCAAATCAGGGCACTAAATGCTTCTTCATGTGATCAAGCACACAAACCAGATACTGTCAATACAGAGGAGGAGGGAAGTGAGTAACATAGGAGATTTTGTGACGCTGGTGAGCTGCCGCACTGGCAGGAGCTCTCATTATTTCAGTATTGCAACAGTATTTTCTGCTGATCTATATTCAGATGCCATTGAAAAAAAGTTTTTTAAAAAGAGGAGGAAAAAGTGGAGGAGGGAATCTAATATAGGACTTCAACTGCAGAAACTTTGGCTCATATATCTGCTCAGCCATGAAATAAATCTGATAATTTGAAATGCTTTGTCACTTGAAATAAGCCATGAAACACACTGTCACTTCAGAAGAAAGCTAAGCTCTGGCTTAAATTATTTTAAAGGGTTACTATGCAGATGCACTGCTGGAACCTCTTTGAAGTCACGGTAGGATGAAAATCCGATAAAATCATCATTCTTTCTAATAGCAAAACTGGTGGCCCCATGGCAATCTGTTTGGAAGTCAAAACAAAGCAGAGGTTTCTTCATATCCAACGGATCCTGATGTATACAGAGTTTGATGTATTTCTGCATTAAGTCCCCACAAAGCAAGACTCCTCATGCATGTGTGTCACAGCCTCCCTTTTCTTCAAGGCTGTTCACATTCCCCGAGTTCTGAGTTATCACACAAAGGAGGGTGAATATCATCCTGCACCCCACTCAAGGGCTGGGCCAGTCCAGAACACCTCATGACAAGCAAGAAGTCATTTCCCTCCCAATTCTCCTGCACACAGCCTCTCAGCTGATGTTCATCCAGGGTCTGAGAAGCTGGGAAGCAGGAGTCACAAAGAAACAAGCCTGGCCTGGCCTAGGACTTCTTTCTACCTGAGGTGAAGGGCAAGGCAGCATTTCTCCCTTCCCACATTTCATGCAGAGAAGCCAACTGAACTGAGAGTTGAATCTTACTACAATACAGGGAGTAAGATAATATCTTCCATCAAATCTGAGGGCAGCAGGTTTGTTATGGACAAGTTACATGACTTGGAGCAGCGGGCAGTATCCAGAGCTGGAGGACAAGGCAATTCCAGCCACCTAGTTCTTCTGCAAGACAGCTGGCTTGGTGATGACAATGTTTGTGGTGGCTCTAAATAGAAGGCAGGGGTAGAGTATGTTTGGATGTGTGGAACTACAAACCCCCATCATCTATCAGGAACCGGATCCTAGACTGCATCCTGATATGGCAAATGGGGATGCAGGCTGGGACTTGGGCTGTGCCATGGGGTGGAGCCGATGAAACAGGTAGGATTCCCTCGGATCCATCCCTTGTCCATTTAAGCAGCCTGAACCTGGGGCCCTGACTGTTCGTTCCCTTGCCATTTTTCCCTGCCCGCCCACCCTCGGTTTAAGCTGATAGTCAGTGACTTTGCTGTGGCTACAGTGGTCACCGTTCTTTATTGGGGCTGGGTAGGAATTTGCCCACTGGGCTGATTGGCACCAACCTGGTGGTTTTGCCTACCTCATAGCAGTCATCACAACAGGTTGGCCATTGGGGCAATCCTTTGTTTTGGATGGAGGGGAGGTTGTAGTCTCTGCCTGTCCCTCCAAACGCTGGGGTATCCCGTTAAAGGGATCCGGGGGGAGTGGCCATGTCTGCGTGCCCAGGTGGGGCCAGGGCCGAAGGCAGTCTCCCAGACAGCGGTCCCTGCAGGGGTCACCCTATTGGATGTAAGTCTTAGGAACCCCTGCCTGGATTGACCACGCATCACTTCCAGCTGGTGGGTGGGCAGGCTGGAAGTAGTTAGATTACCCCATGCCCAAGCCAACCCTCTTTCATCTGTATTCAATAAAGTTGTGGCCTGTTTTGACCCAAAACCAGTCTTGTTGGTCTCTTATTTATATGGGTTGGGGTGTGGTGAGCCTGATTCTTGGTCCTGCAAGTGTGCTGCTAAATGACCACTACATCTGTACTCTACAAACTTTTCACAACTCAAGCAGATCCTGCAGAATAAAAAGGATTTTGGGGGGAATCAAGAACTGCCTATAACTACAGATAAGCAGTGCTTCCCAACAAGGGCTTAATGATAATATAAAAAATAGATTTTCCATGGATAGGGTAAATCCGGATTAAATGGGGAAACTTGGGGAGTGGCACTTAGATGCCAACCAAAAGCTTGCATGCATGAGGAGCAATAGTCAACATGCATCTGGAAGCTCCCAGACTTCGGCGCACCTTTTCCAGTCTGTGAACTAAGTTCTACATGATGGCGGTAATATAAGTCACAGTTTTCAGAACTTGCAAGACAATTATGCTTGGGCAGGGTTCTTTTTACTTAGCAACTGGTAAGAGCTGGAAAACCTGTCTTGGCTTGTGGCAGCAAGCTTGCTTGCTTTAAATAGAATTATAAGATTTAGATAAGGAAATCCTTGGGCCTTCACATTGGAAATGGAAGTTGACAGAATAAACAGTAGCTATAATTGGTACATAATTGGCTGTTATTTATGGAAACAACAATCATTTGATGTGAGGAATAATCTTATGTGTTTGGAATTCTTTTGCAGTAAGAGAAAGCATTTAAAAAGACAATTTGATTAAACTGTGTGTGTGTGTGTCTAAACTTTGTGTGTGATTGTGTCCATCTACTAGGGATTCATTTTTGCTTAGCTTTAGGACTGTACCTGTATAAGTGCAAAGCTGAGGTATGGTTAACTGTAGATGGGGATCAGTGGGTTCTAAGCAGTGTAATCACAGAAGATGGCATCTGCTCACTGGTAGGAATGATCATGGCTGAATGGTTTATCTGGTTACACTGCTTCTGCCTTTTCCCCTTTGCTCCAGCTTCCTCCTCCTCTAGCAATAAAAGCTGGAACAAAAATTATTACTAGCGCCCATGCACGCAAACTCTACATTGGCTGAACAATGAGTATACAAGTTGGGTCCAGCAACCAAATGTTACAATGGGTCTCCAGTCCCTAGCAGCAATGTTCCTGTTCAGCACTTCAAACAATCCATGTAAAATCCATTTTTTAATATTATCATTGAGTCTTTGTTGAGAAGCTCTGCTTATCTGCCTAAGGCAAAGGAGCATGATAATGGAAACTCATGTGAAAAACATAAACCTGTTGAAGAATGAATACATTCAGCAATCACTTTGTCCAAGTGATGTTGTTGTAAGAGTTAAGATAGAAAATGGCGTATAGGCAGTTCTTGATTCCCCACAAATCCTTTTTATTCTGCAGGATCTGCTTGAGTTGTGAAAAGTTCGTAGAGTACAGATGTAGTGGTCGTTTAGCAGCACACTTGCACGACCAGGCGTCAGGCTCACCATATCCCAACCCATACAAATAAGACACCAACAATCAGAGGTGCGGGCTGCTTAAATGGACAAGGGGTGGATCCGAGGGAAGCCTACCTGCTCCACCCTATGGCACAGCCCAAGTCCCAGCCTGCATCCCCATTTGCCATATCAGGATGCAGGGTAGGATCCGGTTCCTGATAGGCGATGGGGGCTTCTGCCCCCACCGCCTACCAGGAAAGGCATGGCAGTTCCACACATGCAAACATATTCCACCCCTGCCTTCTATTTAGAGCCACCACAAACATCGTCATCACCAAGCCAGCTGTCTTGCAGAAGAACTAGTGGCTGGAATTGCCTTGTCCTCCAGCTCTGGATATTGCCCGCTGCTCTTAGAACTTTAAGAACTGGTGCCTGAGCTTGTTGTCCTCTCATCCCTCAAATCCCCTTTCCCCTCATGTGTTATATCTTTTTCAGACTGTCGGTCTGAGGCAGTGGCAGAGCATAGATTGCTGGTGCTTGGGGTGGGCACACCAGCACCAGGGAGACAGGGCACAGAGGGTGGATGGAGCCCACCGTGCCAGCCCAGCCCTTATTGCCAATAGCACCAGGGGGACGAGCCCCGAGGCACACAAAATGCAGCGCATGACATTGTCTCCAGTTGTCATGAAATTGCCAGGACCTTTGAAAAAACCCTTAAGCCATCATGGCTTCTCAGTTCCATGAAGAATCCCAAATTTTTAAATACAACCCTTTCCTTCCTCCTGAGTCCCCTCAACCAAACTCAAAGCTCTCTCAGCCTTGGGCATGATTCAATGAAAAGAAATGGATATAAGGATGAAGACAAGAGCAAAATAAGAGATTAAAGGGAAAAAAGGGGGTGGAACCAAGGCTGCAAACAAAGCATATATTTAACCCCCCCCCAAAGAATCCTGGGAACTGTAGTTTGTTAAGCATGCTGGGACCTGTGGCTCTGTCAGAGGCGAACTATAATTCCCAGTGTTCTTTTGGGGTGCGTGTTTCAAATGCACAGTGTGTGTGCGCAACCCAAGAGATAAGGCACAGAGAAAGAAAAGTAGGTATCATGGGGTGCACAGGGGCCAGTGGGGTGAAGCAAGAGTCCGGGGGATAGCTATAAAAAGACAACAAAATAATCTGGACTCCTTGGAAGGTTTTGAATAAACATCCACAAATTTATTAGTTGAATACATGATAGATAAGGGAAGGATATGTACAAATTTGTAACATGCAGAGAACAATTTGTGCAAAGAAATCAAAGAGGGGAGCTGAGGGAAGTCCTTTTTTTTTAAAAAAAAAAGATATTTATTAAAGTTTCAAAGAAAAAATTACATAGCTAAAAAGAAAAGAAAAAGAAAAAGAAATAAAAAAGGAAAAAATACAAAATACAAAATACAGAAAAAAGATAGAAAACACTTAAAAAAACAACAACACATCGATCTTTCCATAACTTACATTTCATTTCCTTACTTCCCTGACTTCCTCACACCTCCCTTTTTTGTATTCCAGTTCTATTAGTTAATTCAGCAATTCCTTTCACTCTTTGTTTTTATCTTAATCCTTTAACTTAACATATTATAACTTTAGATTCTCATCTGTTAACAATCCATTTGTACATACACCTTTATAACATTGCTGCTAAAACCACTTAATTTCATTCTGACATCATTCTAACATTCATTAATTTTGCAATATTTCTGTAAATAGTCTTTAAATTTCTTCCAATCTTCTTCCACCGACTCTTCTCCCTGGTCTCGGATTGTGCCAGTCATTTCCGCCAGTTCCATATAGTCCATCACCTTCATCTGCCATTCTTCCAGAGTGGGTAAATCTTGTGTCTTCCAATACTTTGCAATAAGTATTCTTGCTGCTGTTGTGGCATACATAAAGAAAATTCTGTCCTTCTTTGGCACCAGTTGGCCGACCACGCCCAGGAGAAAAGCCTCTGGTTTCTTCAAGAAGGTCTATTTATATACCTTTTCATTTCATTATAGATCATCTCCCAGAAAGCCTTAATCCTTGGGCAGGTCCACCAAAGGTGAAAGAATGTACCTTCAGTCTCTTTACATTTCCAACATTTATTATCGGGCAAGTGATAGATTTTTGCAAGCTTGACTGGTGTCATGTACCACCTGTATATCATTTTCATAATATTCTCTCTTAAGGCATTACATGCCGTAAACTTCATACCTGTGGTCCATAACTGTTCCCAGTCAGCGAACATAATATTATGTCCAACATCTTGTGCCCATTTAATCATAGCAGATTTCACCGTTTCATCCTGAGTATTCCATTTCAACAGCAAGTTATATATCTTTGACAAAATCTTAGTTTTGGGTTCTAACAGTTCTGTTTCTAATTTTGATTTTTCCACCTGGAAGCCTATTTTCTTATCCAAATTGTATGCCTCCATTATCTGATAATAATGAAGCCAATCTCGCACTTTGTTTTTTGGTTCTCAATGCTCTGCAATTTCAGTCTATCTCCCTCTTGTTCCAGAATTTCCCAATATTTCGGCCATTTGGCCTCCATATTGAGCTTTTTCAGAGCTTTCGCTTCCATCGGTGACAGCCACCTGGGAGCTGAGGGAAGTCCTGGGGGGGTGGAGGGATGGGGAAAAATAATATAATTGATTATTCAGACTGATATTTTGTTATGTTGAAATTGTTTAATAAAAATATTTTTTTTAAAAAGAGTGCAGGGGATAGCATGACAGAGAATGAGATGCAACAGAAGAGTGTGCAACAGTATGCAGAGAAACAAGAGGTGGAGATGCAGAGACAAACAACAAAAAACGACAAGAAGTACTCTGAATGTGGGTACTGAAAACCTACATAAAAGAGTGGGAGCCAGTGTGTATTATTAAGAGGACCAAAAATATAGAGCTTCACCAAAATCCTTCTCCAGTTAATTTACTGATACAGCTCTCCTGAGTTTGTAAAAAACAGTGGCCCTCTGGAGTGATTTGAGTTGTGCACTCTTATTTTATACACCCCTCCCCCCCAGTTTCCCCCAGACCTCTCCCTCCCTCATAAGTCCTCCAGTGGTATCAGTTAAACAGCATGACCCGTCTGAGCTGGTAACCAGCATTTGGTTAAGGCGTGCTTGGCTCCCAGAACAGCCCTGTGCCTTGCTGATGTTTACAGGTGAAATAGGAACTGTGTTGTTGGCAGGGCTGCTTACCTAATTGACTGAAGGCAACTAAAGATCAAATGAAACAGAAACATGGCAATATTTGGTGTGTTGATGCCTTTGTTCCTGATATGCTTTAATATCGGGCAGTCTTGCCGGAATTCTGATGACTTTGTGGGTGCCAGCTCTCCGGGAGATGTTGTCATAGGAGGCTTGTTTGCAATTCATGGCAAGATGTTGCATTCAGAAGAAAACCCCCTCAAGCCAGTGATTGCCAATTGTGCCGGGTGAGTAAGAATATCAACTGTGTCAGGAGAATGAAAAGAGCAGCATGACATGGACATGAATGGAGTAAATGAGAAAAGCGGGGGGGGGGGGACATTTACATTTTTGGAATCTTTAAATCACTGTTTCTTAAAAGCGTATCAGCAACGAAAAGTGTGTGTCTGATATGCCTGGGTAAAATCTAACATGAATGACTGTGAGAGGCTGCAATTACTTTCTATCTCTTATGTTGTGTAATGTTATATGTACTTATCAGGAAGGTGATCCCATTAAATGTAATGGGACTTTTGAACAGGCATGCATAGGATTCCACTGTTAGTGTCTTATTGACTTGCACCTCTTTTATGGTATATAACCAACCCCTGCATTTTTATTACCTCCATACACCACATATTAATATGGCATAAAACATAGTACATAACTGGAACCCAGTCTGTATATTGGATTTCTTCTGTGTTATACCACAGTATCCAACTTTTACACTTTGGCCATGCTAAAGCCTGACAATGTACACCTATAAATGTCTTCTCATGAGAAAGCCCTACTAAGTTCAATGGGACTTACTCCCAGAAAAGCGTGGACTTACCTTTGAGTAAATCCCATTGAACTCAGTGGGACTTACTTATGAGTGGAAATGTATAAGCTTGAACTGAAGTGACATAAAATAATAGAGAGCATTTTTGACACAGAATGTGAGTGTTTTCAGAAAGTACAGCTGAACCTCTTTTTCTATCATTCCATGTCAGTCCTTTGTAGACTTTACATTGCATTGATGTGTCAACATTTTGACAGTGCCAGCCAAAAGGCAATTAACCTGTTGTCCATAGACTGTTTACATTGATGTTACCCAAATGAAACTGATGTGACTACTCAGTAAGAGAGTGTTTTCAGGATTGCAGCATAACTGCTTTTAGGTTGGCTATATAAGTAATCCAGAAATGTATTCAACACATAATCACAGTTTACATTTAATGTAAGTTGTTCTCTTTTAGTTTTAACAAACAAATCAATTATATCTCAATATAAGTGTGTATCACCAAAACCACCACATAGATACAATATTGAATTACTGACTGATGCTTGGGATAACAGCTTAGCATAACAAAAAACTCCAACTCCTATTGTGAAAAGGAAAGGCAGTTTTTCATAACTGCTGTATATATTGAAACATCAGAACAAGAAAGACTCAAAAGTAAATAGGTATAACCTTCATACTCAACCCTACTAATTAAAATGTTTCCCAGTATGTAATTAAAATCACCTCTCCCCAGTTAAATTGTCAAAAGCTCTAAATGGACCAGTTGAACTAAAGCTTGCAGTCTAACATAGTCCCAGTCATGTACTGTATGTAGGGGGAAGGGTCATGTATGCCACGTGGGGTGCCAACTTGAATTATTGAGGGGGGCAGGTAAGCCCTGCCCTACATAATCACAAGATGCAGCACACAAACATTTACGGTAAATAGTAACACCAATCAACTTTGGGTGCCCCCAGCCCCCTCAAATATTTTTTGGGGGGGCCAAAGAGACCTTAGCTCCTAGGAGTTGGCTCCTATGTATGTTCCCCAGTACCCCTTGAAGGTAGGGCAGAAGAACGCTAGAGCCTGTTAATTGCGTAAGAAACAGGTAAAGCTTTCAGAATTACTGTAGGGCAGTTACAGAAGACTCCTGAGGATGCAGCTCAGTGGTAAAGCACAGTAGTTCAGTCCCTGACCTCTACACCTCAAGTAGAGAGAGTGCTGCTGTTGACGTTAAGAGAGATGAATGGTCTGACTCAGTCTGAGGCAGGTGCCTTTGTACCTTCTGTTTCTTGTCCCTTCCCTTATTTAAAATGTAGGGCTCTGTGGGGCCAGACAGTTAGCAAGACAAATCAAAATTGCCCCCTCTCAACAACATGCAGTTTGAAGAGCCCTTCCCTGGATTCCATACAGCACAGCTTCATATGCGGTATTGTGAGATTTGGGGTTTGGGTAGGAGAGTGTTGTGTAATTGGCCCAGAATGACTGCAAATGCTACTTGATAGCTGATGACAAAGTTTCAAGGCGTATCTTCTATTAGGGAAATTGGTGGTAAATTGCCCAAGAGGGTTAAGAGATGATTGGAGAAGATGAACTCATTCTCATTCTCTTTCAGCCAGAGGGAAGGGACATGTGAGATATGAGTGGGAAAACAACAGAAGCATATTGGACAACAGACAACAGACTCTGAGTGGGGCACACAGAGAGAACCAGGGAGACAGCAATGTCTGAAAAGTGTGTTTTTGGAGGGAGGTGCCCCTCTCTGGAAATCTGATGTGGGGCAGTGGATTTGGCTGCCTATTGGGATGTTAAGCCGTCCCTCTACCTATGTTTGACCTGTGAATTTGAAAATAAACTCAAAGAAAAACCAAACCTGCATTAGCACTGCAACCCAGGAACACTGTATCACTTGGAAAAATCAAAACTGGCACTGGCAGTGGGACTTCATTTCTTTGGAGAGAAATTCTGGGTTGGTGTGGTTCAGCCATAATGAAGCATGTAGCAGCGGTTCAAGTTGTTTCAGCAGCAGCAGCAGCAGCAGCAGCAGCAGCAGCAGCAGTACTAGTAGTAACAACAACTTCACATTGACTTTAAGGTAAGCATGAGCAGACAGACTGGAGGTCTCCCAAGTACAACCTCTAGTCTAAGCATCATATAGAAACTCAACATGAGAAGTTTAGTGTTGGCTGTTGCCAGGGTAGTCAGGACATATTCAGAAGCCCAGCAACGGAGTAGGCAGTTAGGCATGGATAAGAGGAGGGTGCAGGAAGCATATGAGCTGGTGATGGGCTTAACTGGGAAGATTTGCAGTCTGTAGCAAAGAACCAAGAGGCTTTGTCTGTCTAGGATCCTGGAAATGGTGGCAAGAGGGGGCAAGGAAATGGAAGAGAAGTCCCACAAATGCAGGGAGGGGAAAGAATGTGCAGATGTTGATGCAAGGTTGTGGGGGTACAGTGCATGATGGAAGTGAGAATGAATGGTCATTTGCAGATTACTGTTGACAGATTCTTTTTTCATCCCATTTGTGCCCATGGAAGAGAAAGAGCAGGAGGGAAAGCTTGGAAATGTTTCTGCTGGAAGAGCAGCCATTGTGCAGAGACCTGGGCAAGGAAATATATTTTATTGACTTCTTTACCCCATAGGTGTCTCACAAATGTGTTACTGGATGGGATAAGGCCCCTCCAATTGGTGCACCCTAGAGGCATGCTCCAGCAGTGAGATTAAGACAGGATCTTACAAATTACAGCAACAGAAGAGACTGGGATCACTTCAAGATGACAGCTGTATTGAGCATTCATCCCAATTTATTTCTAAGGAGATTAGACAATGTCAACTATTTATTAAAAAAGCATTCCATTTTGTTTGTGGAGAGTTCATACGTAGGGATGGGCAAATCTGTCAGTTTTGGTTTCTCACACTTTCTCATGTTTCCAGTCTTGAGTGCAGTTCTCCACATTTCCGTGTCAGTTTGCATTGAAAAAAGTCAACATGAAATTTAATAAGCATTCCTCCTGATACACACTTTTTGTGTGCAGTTTTGCCTAATATATGTATTTTTGTAAAACATATTTTCACAAATATTGTTATTTTCACAAATATTGATATTTTACCCAATATAATGCATTTTGTATGTTACTTTCACAATCGTATTCATTTTTATGCTTATTTTACTGTAGTGCATGCATTACACATTACTTGGCAGGGAGATGCATTGAAAAATTCAGAGAAGTGCAAATTTTGCAGGATGCCCTGTTTTTCAGTTCTCATTGTTTTGTGTGAATTAGGTAGATTCACCTTTAAAGGCAAACTGCAGAATTGAAAATGGTTTTTAAATTTATATGTATTTTTATGTATCTCAACATTTATGTGTTTAATGTCTATGAACCTGCTCATTTATCTTGTACAGAAAAAGCTGCTACTGTTTTAAGAAAAGTATGAGCTAGACCAATTTCTTGATACTGTGTGTGTGTGTGTGTGTGTGTGTGTGTGTGTTTGTGTTGTGAGATGGAGGAGGTGAGAGAAAGTTAATGAGGTCAGAATGACTGCAGATGCTCCTTGTCACCAGTGGCAAAGATTCCAGACACATCTTATGTTAGGTCAATGGCCCAAAAGGGTAGGAGACAGTTGGGGGTGTGACTCATCCTTATTAAGCTGTGAGTGAAAAAAAACAGAAGCAGTATGGAGGAGAAAGACACACACAGAGAGAGAGCTGAGGTTTGGGGCAGTGTAAGCTAACAGCATTGGGAGGGGCGCCATCTTTTTCTAGAGATCTGACATGAATTTCAAAGACTACAAAATGTCATAACCTTCCCTGGTGGATACACTCTCAACATATGCACAGTGCACATATTAATTTCATATCATGTGAAGTGAATTTGGGTGACATAACGATAACGGACTTTATGTGTTTCTTGACAGCTTTGAAGTTCAAGTGTTTCTTCAGAGCCTTGCAATGGTCCATGCAATAGAAACAATCAACAACTCTACACTCTTACCTGGAATTAAATTGGGGTATGAAATCTATGACACCTGTGCAGAGGTCACCAGGGCAATGGCTGCAGCTCTGAGGTTCCTGTCCAAGTTCAATGCCTCAAAAGACCTCGTGGAATTCAGGTGCAACTATTCAGACTATACGCCCAGAGTCAAAGCTGTCATAGGTGCCACCTATTCAGAAGTATCTATGTCGGTTGCCAGAGTATTGAATTTGCAGCTTATACCACAGGTAAGTCACTATGCAAAAGAGCTTCTTGCTTTCAACAGGAGGAGTGTTTTAATGAAATTATAGGACTCTGAATATAATTATAAGATGGCTTGGATGGTGGGTATATAGCAACATGGAAGGGACAACATTCTAGAGTACTAAATAAACAATATGCTTATTTCTTGGTTATCATATTTTAACATGGGGTAAAGAAAGAAGGCCACAACTTTATTGCCATGAATTTGGTGTGATATGGATCGTGAGACTTTGATGGGAATGACATACCTTTGGTGCTCAGTGGAATCACCCAACCTGTTGTTGACTGAGCAGAAGTTTCAATGACCTAAGACAGCACACAGAGTGAGACACCCTGGCAGTGTAGCTTGCTTCTGTGTAATTGTGCACTAAGCCTTAGTCTTTGATTCAGATGCACTGTGCTTTGCAATCTCCCTTTTGGCCAGTTCTTTACCTGTCCCACACCAAACATCATATGTATGATGTCATATTTGACAGGTAGATATGGCTTGGCCAAAATGGCTGGGGCGGGGGCAGCTAATTAGGCTTGCGGGCTAAAGAGACCCCACCACTGCTTTAGAATACCAGGGGACTGTCATCGTTCTGAACTGGAGGAGGAGCCAGCTCAAACTGAGGCTGGTGTGCCACCCACCAGCTGGGAGTCAAAGCAGGCTCTTGATGCTGGTGTTCCCTTGCACATGGTCAAGATCCTAGGCTCCTCCCCTGTTGCACTGCTGAATGTCAGAAGGTATGTTTATTGAGGTGAGCGACAATTCAACGATGTGATCTCCACAAGCAATCTGACAGAAAACAACAGGGCTGCGTGCCAACAACATTTTTGCATCTTCTCACAAAGACAAGTCATTTGGCACCACAGGTTTTTGTTCATCTTACTTGATTGTTTTATCTTGATTCACCCTGGTGCCGCAGCTATGTAGCTGCCAAGAAGGATAGCAAATGTGTGCGTAGGCAAACAAAACAAACATCAAACCCACCCCCCACCATGCACACACACATGTAGGGATTAGCAGTAAGTCAGGCTTGAATGACTTAATATCCCATTTGCAGTAATCAACCTGCCAACTGATCCCCCCCCCCCATATACGTGGTTGCGAGCTGTTTATATTTCAGTGAACCGCAATTCTAAAAGAAACACAAAACCCTGGATTGAAAGACTTAACAAAACCATATAAAGATTTATGAACATAAACATGTTTTAAGAGTCTCCAATACATCACAACTGGCAGCCACATACTGGTTCTGTCATGTGCTGAGCTGTTTATATGCAGCCCACTATCAGATCAGGAGACTTTACCCCACAACAAGATATCTGCCCTCCTAGCTGCCTCAATGAAAGCTTTGAGAAAGTTGCACAGTCTGTAAGGTGAGCCGCTGAATAGAGATTTCTTGCCACCACATACCACATGTTGCAATTAACAGCAGCCGCCGCATGGCAGCTGCCTCGTGTGTTCCTGCTTGACTTGGGGGGGGGCATGGGCTGAGTGCTCAGTATAACTTCAAAGTGCATTTGAAGCACATTTCCCCCCTCAAAGAATTTTGGGCGCTAGATTTTAAGGGTTGGTGGGAATTGCAACTCTGTGTGGGGTAAAGCACCATGCACAGAATTCTTCCAGTGGGGAAATGTCCTTTGGATGTGCTTTAAAGATATGGTGTGTGCACAGTTAATCTTCAAACTGAACAGAAACTGTAGCGACAGTATGAATGGTATGTAGAAACAAAACACTGCATTAGCCCAGATGTTTTCATTCAATAGAATGAATGCGTTGTTGTTTTTTTCAGATGACCTATCCTTGGGTAACCCTTTCCATATCTCTTTGAATGTCAGCCACAGAATCTCTATGTGTTGCAGAGGACTCTGTGGTGTTGGTGTTTGGGGTGTGTGTGTGCGTCATGCAGGGTACTGGCTGCCAGCCATGATACCAACCCTCACTCTGACCTGCATGAAATGAGTTAAAAAAAGCAAATGTAGAGTTTCAAGAAGCAGGTTTTGAAAATCCTTAATCTAAGAAAACATTTCTATCTGAACGCGAACTCTACTGTTCACCTGGCGAGATGAAGTAATATGTTCATTTGCGTCTCCAGGCAAGTGCAAAGTCTTGCTACCAGCCTAAAATACAGCTGAAGTTCAGTTAGAAGAAATTTCTCTTGGATTCAGCCCACCATGCAGATAAGGAGAGTGGTGCATGCTCTGTTGGACATCCTTACTCTGGGATATGCATTTTAAAGATAGCGGAGGATGAAACAGCCTATTTCCATCCTGTCAGTTTTTCCTATGTACAGAAAGAATCTATGCTACCCCATATATAAAACCCTTCAAATCTGCACAATTCTACTAAAAATAAAAACTGGGTACAATCATACCTCGGGTTACAGACGCTTCAGGTTGCATGTTTTCAGGTTGCGCACTGCGCCGAACCCGGAAGTATCGGAACAGGTTACTTCTGGGTTTCGGCACTCACGCATGTGCAGAAGCGCTAAATTGCACTCTGCGCATGCGCAGAAGCACTGAATCGCGACTCGCATGTCCGCACACACGGCGCTGTGGGTTGCAAATGCTGGGGGTTGCGAACGTGCCTCCCGCACTGATCACGTTCGCAAACCGAGTGTCCACTGTACTTATGATGGGGTTAGAAGATTGTCATTGTTCTTACTTTCTTTCTTTTTAAATAATCAACTGCTTAGCACAGCTAGTAACTTTACCATGTTTATCCAGTTAAAAAAGTATTTTTAAATGCTCTCAGGATGCAACCATATGTTATAATGTCCATAATGTAATGTCATTGTATTGTTGTTAGGTTGTTGGACCCATGTGTGTATCAGCTCATAGATTATGCACTCTAATTCACATTTCTGTGTCCAATCCATGCATGGGTTGTTGTTTTGCAGGGATGTGTGTGTGTGTCAGGTAAGTTTCAAAGGTAGAGCAAACCAGAATCCTCCAACACCCTTGTTAGAGGAGCGCATTGCTTGAAACCAATGAGGTGGCTGTGTAAGGTTGGCTAGTGTGAAAGCAGGAAACTGGACTAGCTAGGCCTTTGGTTTGATCCACCAGGGTTCTCTTTTCAGTCATGATATTCCCAATGTTGAAATGGTGGTAATGCTTTGGGGGTCCTGCCCAGAAAATGTGTTGCAATGGCCCATAAGTGGAGAAGGCTATTTCAAGCAGCTTTTGGTGGTGTCTGTGGCAGGTGGCCACCATGCTGCATTTCACTCAAACTTACATATATCTGTTGGAGCGTAAGAGCACTTACCGTATTTTTCGCCCCATAGGACGCACTTTTCCCCCTCCAAAAATGAAGGGGAAATGTGTGTGCGTCCTATGGGGTGAATGCAGGCTTTCGCTGAAGCCTGGAGAGCGAAAGGCATCGGTGCGCACCGATCCCTCTCGCTCTCCAGGCTTCAGGAAGCTATCCGCAAGCCTTGCAAGCCCGGCGGGAGTTCCCGCGGGCTCGTGAGGCCTGCGGGCGCGCAGGCCTGCAGGCCCGGCAGCGTGTCCGCAAGCCTGGCGCGCCTGGCGGGAGGTCCCGCCGGGCGCGCGAGGCTTGGGGCGGCAGCCTGCAGCCCGAAGCATGCGGAGCCCTCCAGAGGGTGCCCCGTGCTTTGGGCAGGTGTGTGCAAGGCTTGGGGCGGCAGCCGCAGAGGGGGGGAATATATTTTTTTTATTCATCTCCCCCCCCCCAAAAAAAACGAGGTGCGTCCTATGAGCCGGTGCGCCCTATAGGACGAAAAATACGGTAGATAAAAAAGGAAGCAGGAGTTGAGAGAGTGAATTATAGCCATCTCGGCTTCCCCCTTTGCAACAGCTTATTTGCTGCTTCTAAGAACTTGAACCCTGTGTCTATAACGAAGCATCCCTGTGTCTATAACATAGCTGTTTTGTCATCTCCGCAGGTGAGTCACGCTTCAACTGCAGAAATCCTTAGTGATAAAGTCCGCTTCCCGACTTTTCTGCGCACCGTGCCTAGTGATTCTTATCAGACGAAAGCAATGGCACGACTGATCCACAGGTCAGGGTGGAACTGGATTGGAATCATAGCCACCGATGATGACTTTGGACGCCTCGCTGTGGAGAGCTTCGGGTTACAGGCAATGGCAAACAATGTCTGCATTGCATTTAAAGAAATGCTGCCAGCTTATCTCTCGGACAGCACCATTCATGGCAAAATTAATCAAGCTCTTGAGAAGATTGTCAAGGAAACCAGGGTAAACGTCATTGTTGTCTTTCTCAGGCAATTCCACGTAATGAGATTGTTCCGAAAAGCAATTGAGAGGAACATAAATAAGACCTGGATTGCAAGTGATAACTGGTCAGCAGCTGTCAAGATTAGCACCATTCCAAATATCAGTCGCCTGGGGAAAGTGGTTGGATTTACGTTCAAAAGTGGCAACATGTCATCTTTCCACGACTTCTTGAGCAATCTACATACAGCCCCCAATGGAAACAACACGTTCTCAATGGAATACAACACTCTTATGGCAGCATGCTCGCATATAAATGATCAAGATTTGAGCAAGTGCATTGGTAATTACTCTGTTGAGAGAGTTCTACAGAACCGCACTAAACCAAGTAACCAGTTTCGGAGAGAGGAATTTCTCATTGCAAACATCGAACCAGGATTTATCCATAGCACCATGCTAGCTGTGTATGCAATTGCAAATGCGATTCGGAATCAGTGCAGGGCCAGAAACTGCAAAGACCCTTATGCTTTTGCCCCTTGGGAGGTATGGTTTAAACATATTTTTATTACACATATTTTTCCACGCTTTTCATCTCTTCCTTTCCAACATTTCCAAGCACAAACCATTGGGCATTACTTCAAGAGGGTATTACTTGAACAATTTGATATTTTCATTCTCGTTACTCTGCCGGGGTTGCAGCAGCTTAAAGATTTGATACATTTGACTTAAACTTTAACATTTGTATAAATCACTGCCAAAAAGTCTCAACAAGATTTTAAAAATCTTAGCTGAAACCTATCCGAGCTTAACCCCTGAAAATGAACGCCAGTTCATACAGGTGGGTCATTATGCTTCATGAACAAACTTTTTGCTCAAGAATAGAAAAAAAATTAGTAATCAACTTTTCAGAAAGTATTGCATCCCTTATTTTATATTCCCTCCCAACAATCCTGTTATCTTCTTTACAATTATTTCTGCTTAATCTTGGGGAGAACTGGATGTTGAGATAAAATTGCAATCCCAGGGCAACACACCTGCTGAAACCTTACTGAGGCCTGTGCTGGTTACTGATGGCAGCTTTCCCCATAACTTCTTTAAAAGTTTAATTTTCATACAATCATATATTTGTATACCTGTGAGGGACCCTGAGGGTTCTAGTTCTACCCCATTCCATGCAGGAATCTCAGTTTAAGCATCCAAGAGAGATGTTAATCCAAGCTCTGCTTAAAACCCCCCAGATGAAGGAGAGTCCACACCTTCCAAAGTAGTCCATTCCATTGCTGAACAGCTCATAACACCAGAAAGGTCTTCCTAATGTTTAGTTGGAATGTCCTTTCTTGTAATTTGAATCCATTGGTTCGGGTCCTACCCTCCAGAGCAGCAGGTTGTTCCATCATCCATGTGACAGCCTTTTGGATATTTGAAGGTGGCTATCATATCACCTCTGAATTGTTTTGTACTGGCTGTTAATGCTGCTGGGTTTATTTTATTGCCACTGTTTTTTCAACTCGTGTTGTAAACTACCCTGATGTTTTCACAATAGGCAGCATATAAATATTTGTAATAAAGAAGACCACATCTGTCCAGAACAAACCCAACCAGCTGGTTTTGTTCCTTCTGCAAATCTCCTCACCTACATTTTGACACTGTTTGAGATACGTTGATCCGGTGAGCGTATTAATATGCATGAATCTCTGGGTTTTTGAGTCTTCATGCTGAAGGGTCATGTGGGGTCTGGGATCAGACATTGCTGCAGTGCTGAGACTATATTGTGGTAATCAGAATCTTTTGCTCTAGTGTTGACACACAACTAATGTTGTTCTTCTTTACCTAAGTATCCAGAGGACATTCTTAAAATCACATCGCTACAACACATATATTGATATCCATTTTATGAAAATGTTACTGTTATGGCTTTCCCAAAACATTCTGGGTTTTGTGTTGTGTGGTGAGGGTGCTTTCAAGTCTCCCCACCCCACCCCGAGCTTCCCAGATCCCTCCATGTGAAGAAGATCTGTCCAGTATTTCCGTTAGTATTATACAGTATTGCAGATCTCCTCCCACAGCATATTCAGTCTGAGTTAGGGATGGAGGAATAATATGTTTTCCATGGATCTGAGTGAGCATTGTCCTGCACCAGACCTCTTCCTGTACTGGGTGCCCACTTATGACCAAGCCACTTGCGCAATTCAATGTGAAATCATTTGCAAAAAAATCTGCACAACATATTTATTTCACCAAATTTATATAATACCTAAAAGTGGTTTACATAGATGAGTCAACCCTCCTGTGGAACTATGTTTTTGAAGCATAATTTTGTAAGCATGAATACATCAGGATTTTTATACATACATACATACATACATACATACATACATACATGTGTTTGTGTGTTGCTTTCTTTAGGAAACCAGGAAAGTATATGCATATAATATTATCAATATCAGAATGCATATAACGATGTGCAAAACAAGGCTGGCCGGGGACACGGATTAATTGTTAAACCACTGCGTGAATTGTACCTCAGACAGCAGTTGTTGGGGAAAGGGGCATAGTGGGATTCCCAGCCATTCTCCTCTGTTGGGAATGTACAGCTATGAGTGCCATGGGCCTGTCCTGTGAGCCCTAAACTAGCTTGCTGTCCTCAGGTACACTGGAAGAGACATTTCTGTTGCTATTGTTAAAGTAAGATTTAACTGCTAGTCCAGTCAGTTTCTATATGTGGAATGAAGGGGTACCATCTTGCCCTTGGCCTTGGGCAGAAAAATGTATTGGGCCTGGCCTGGGAAGCGGGTAATTTTATTTGGGACCGTGGGCTGTGGGGAACGCTAAGCACTCCATATCCCCTCTCTGCCATCCCCAGCTGCAATTTAGATGGGAAAAGGAGATATAAAGGCAATGCTATTTGGAAAGGGAAGTGTTAAACTGGTGAGGTTGATTCCAAGAGAGGACAGACAGGACATAGAAAAGCACAATCTGAAAAATAGAGCGATCCAATTGACCAGAATAGAAACCGCACAGCTTTTCTATTGATTTAAAAAGAACTCTGATGTTCCTAAGCTCTGAAAAGAAATAGGGGAAAACATGAAAGGGGGATATTTTGTTCATGACACTGTGCAGGTGCCCCATAAAAAATGAGTGAACGAAGTGTGTCCATTCCGCAGTAAATGCCCAATGTGGAGGCAGCCAAAGCTAGAGAGGAACATTAGGCAAATAAATGAGAATTGACCGCCTTTATCTAGGGACCTGGGCAGCAGTACTCTCTTCTACATTTTTTACATAGTTAACCAACGTTTATTTTAAGATAAACAAAGTTGAAGCACCATGACTGCATGTGACCCTTTAGCTTTCTTTGACCTTCTGTGACTGAAGAAAGATTTTTGTTGTTGCCTAAACTTCTTTTTTCAGGGAAAGATATACTAAGGGGTAGAAGGATCTATCAATTTCATTTCTCTCAGTTTTTCATTTTTAAGAAAACTTTAATTCAGTTCTACATGTTTCTGGTGCAATTTGTGATTTATTTATTTTTAAAATCAGCATCAGTATGGACTTTTCACTAATGTACATATTTTTGCAAGCAATTTTCCCTGATACAATGCATTTTTGTTATCTTCACTAATGTCTTCATTTTTAAATGCACACTTTCCCCTCATATATACATTTTTTGTAAACATTATTTGGTTGGACAACTGCATCGCAAAATTCAGAAAAGTGCAAATACCCAAGGATAGCTGTGTTTCAGTTCTCAGATTCACCTTTAAATGAGAACTGAATCTAATTTCTCCTCCACTCCCAGACCACAAGGTTACATTTTTTTAGCAGAGGAGAAATGAAATGTCATACACAAATAGGAAATTTATGAAACATTTGGATACATTTTTTCTTCATTTTGAATGTCTTCAATTTTAAACTTTTGTTTATGAAATTAGACTTACCTCTTGCGCCTTGAAAGCATTAGCCATAGGGCAATAACAGTAGACTAGTAAATGTGAATATTCAACACTTTGACAACTTCCCCCCAGAATGATCCTTTTCCCGCTCTACTTTGTTAATGGGAAAGCAGCTTCACAAGTGATTCTTAGAGCTGCTTTTCATGCCCATAATAAACACGATTCCAAATTGGAAAATGGAATCTGGACATTCTAAAATACTCAGGAAAGATGAATCTGGGAATAAAACATATCAGCAAAGAGGTGAGATCAGTCACACCGTGATCAGTCTGATAGAGATTAGTCACATAACAAGTAATTATAGAATCATTTTTTTATTGGGAATCCTTTCTGCAAACTGATAAAAATCAAGTTGCCCAGATACGACTATAATGAGTGAAGTGATCTGACCTCTGGAAGCATTTCTTTTTCTTCTGATATATTTTTGATTTGTACTGCCCCTCTATAAAATGCTACTATATGCCATCTCTCTTCCCTAAGCACTGGTTTGCATCACTATTCACTTTTATCCCTGCAGTTGCTTGAAGAACTGAAAGAAATCAGGTTCACTGACAATGAAAGGGAAGTCTATTTCGACTCTCACGGAGACATCAACACAGGCTATGATGTGCTGGTTTGGAAGGAAATTGATGGGCGGATGGTGATTTCCAACATAGCAGAGTACGACCTTGAGAAAGATGACTTCATCTTTGCAGATGAGGAAGATGAAATGGAGTTCCTGAATCTAAAGGTATTTAGAGGCACACAGATAAAACCAAAGGTGTTTTAAGCCCTTCTGGATTTATCCTCTTGTTTTCAATTTTTTTGGTTGAAAGAATGGAAAGCAGCAACTAGGGAAACAAAACAGAAGAGGATGTCATTACAACTGACTTATTGAACAGAATGGTATTAATGTGATGGTTACACCAACAGCATTTTATCCAATGTCAGTTGTGATGAGCTTGTAATTCTAAATAGGCAGGAATTGGTGCAAGCTGCAAGTGGATGCTGTGTGATTCGCAAAATACAGTGTGCATGCTAAATGTACACCCAAGACCCACAATTTGCATATGTCATGCATGCTTAAACTTGGATCAAGACTTAGTCATGATTTGAGTAGACCCACTGAAATCAATGGGACTTAAGCTCAACATGACTAATGAAAGTTCCAAGCTTTCCAAAAGTTTGTTTATGCAGAGTGCCCGCCCCCATTTCACCGCAACACGGGAGAGTGCACTGACAACCTTTCAGTGTATGGCCAGTGACTCCCCTCCAACTCAGCCCCTTTAATGGGGGAGCCAACTGTGTGCTGTCAGGTAGGCTCCACCCCTTTTAACTACGTGAAGAGCTCCACCTCCCCCCACCACAGATAGATTCATTAGAACTGAGATTTGGCTGGAACCTCAAAGGGCTGTGACATGGGGAGGTGGACCAGGAACTTCTGCCGTTGTCTCAGGGATTGGGGTGCTGTGCGCGGCCACACAAAGGGTGCCCTCCGGTTGATGGGAGAGGGTCATTGTTGATTATTTTAGAATGCAAGATCTCCAGGTTTCGTTTGCCTCTTTTGTTTTGCAGAACATTCAGTCCAAATGCTCCAGCAAATGCAGCCCAGGACAGGTGAAGAAAGTTTCCGCAAGCCCACATACCTGCTGCTACGAGTGTATAAGCTGCCCCGAAAACTATTACACTAATAAATCAGGTGTGGAATCTGAATGAATTTAGGCTTTATCAGAACAGAATGTTTGCTTAAGAATAATAATTTTAATGTATTTTTCTGTGAATAAAATATATTGTTGATTGTTTCAGGAGCCATAGAAATTGTGGGGTGGCAGGTGGGGGGCAGACAAAAGCACCCTGTATTCACATGCACAATCCAACTAAAGTACATTTTCTGAAAAAGCACTGAAGTGAAGTGCCCTCTATTTCTAGCCATTGTGACTCAGTTAAGTGGCATGGGCAACAGTCCTCTGCTGGAACACCTGAATCCCAGTTCCAGTTGAAAAGGCCTGGCTTCGGTGTGACTACATTAACTTAAATCAGGGGTACTTGATTTACCTGAGGGCACATTTGGAAATCTAATAAACTGTTGTGGGCACCACAGAGCACCCATTTCACAGGGTAACAACTGGTGATCCTCAGACACCACCTCAAAATCATATGCACCCCTCAAAAACCAAATAAAAAACAGGCAAAACCCCCTCCAAAAAATAGGTACCCCCAACACCACAAAGACCAAAAACCCCTCAGTTAAAACAACATTGGGAAATGGGCTTTAGAAGGTGCCAAGAGATGCATCTGAGGGTGCTGTGGTACCCATGGGGAGCCCCATGTTAAATACTGAATGTAATGGATCTAACATGATTGTATTATTTTTTCTATATGCATGTATATATTTTTACATTGCTCACAAAGATAGGCTATTGATCAGTCTATAAATGCAGTTGTTGTTTGCTAATAATATGATTTGGCTCTCAAAACAAAATGAGTTCATTATAATGGACCACAATTGTGCATTAAATTGCCCTAATCTCTTCAATATGATGCACAGCACTGCTAGGGGCTAGTTGTCAAGAAGTCTCTTGTTTCTCTCTGCACAGATATGGATTACTGCATTTTATGCAACAACAGGACACACTGGGCCCCTGTGAACAGTTCGAGGTGCTATAGGAAGATGGTTCAGTACCTCAACTGGAATGACTGGTTTGCTATTTTGTTACTGGTACTCTCTGTCCTTGGAATTGTGTTGATTTGCAGCATTATCATAATATTTACTAGAAACGTGGACACTCCTGTTGTAAAGGCATCGGGCGGCTTGACTGTCTGCTATGTCATCCTCCTCTGTCATTTCCTTGCTTTTGTGAGCACAGGCTTCTTCATCGGCAAGCCCATGGCGTACAAATGTAAAACCCGGCAAGCTCTCTTTGGCATCAGCTTTGCGCTCTGCATTTCGTGCATTTTAATTAAGTCTCTGAAAATCCTGCTGGCCTTCAGCTTTGATCCCAAGTTACAAAAATGGCTGAAGGGCCTCTACAAGCCGATTCCCATCGTGTCCTTTTGCACGGGGATTCAGGTCATGATTTGTGCTGTCTGGATCAGCATTCGAAGCCCTTTTGTGGATGAGAACTTCTCCATCCGGAGAGTTATTATCCTGGAATGTAACGAGGGTTCGGCTGTAGCCCTGGGGATCATGCTGGGTTATATAGCTCTTTTGGCATTCATATGCTTCATATGCGCCTTCAAAGGTAGGAAGCTACCTGAGAACTACAACGAAGCCAAATTCATAACGTTTGGCATGCTAATCTACTTCATTGCGTGGATTACATTTATCCCCGTCTACACAACTACTTTTGGCAAGTACTTGCCAGCGGTGGAAATCATTGTCATTTTAATATCCAACTATGGGATCCTGTGCTGTACATTCCTCCCCAAGTGCTACATCATACAGTATAAGCAAGAGACAAATACCAAGTCGGCCTTCCTAAAAATGCTTTACAATTATTCGTCCAAAAGTGCAGGGAGTCTAAGCGTAAACCAAAGTTCTCTGGACTCAAAAAGTGAGACGCCTCCAATTCCCAGTGCAAATGCTTGTTGCAAAACTAAGGGTCAGAAAAATTGGGTGAATGGCAGCTGCCATTTCCAGGCATCTGGGTACAGGGAGATCAGGAGGGAATTGCAACCCACAAATGCAGCAGGGCCCACCATCCCAAGAAGAAGACTCTCTAGCATATGAAGCAGTTGTGGTAGGAAATGTAGTTTTCGGACAAGCAAACCTTCTTTGATCTCCCCATAAGTCAGCCTTCCACAACCTGTGGTCTTTCAAATGTTATTGGACTACAGATCACATCATCCCCAACCATTGGCTATGCTAGCTGGGGCTGATGGAAGTTGGAGTCCACTTCCAAAAATAAATTAAATGGTTACACATGTAGGTTTATTTTGCATGGCAACTACACACAAAAATGTCCAAAGAAAGCGTTCAAATGATGAAGGTTTATGGCATGTCCTTCGACAATAATTGCATTCCATACATGCTTTCATCCCAATGGAGAGGCTGAATGACAAAAGTTAAGGGGAAGATGTATTTTATTATACAAATAAAAGCCAAATGACAATTATGCTTTGAAGACACCTAGCGCCCAAAGGTAAAAGACCTCATTATAAAGTTTATGGTGCAAACAACCATGGATCAAGTACTTCCTTGTCATTTGAATTGGTTGCACCATTAGCCCTTAGTGTTGCTGGCTGATTAGCTTCCAGTACAAGATTTCCCACAACTGCACAGATAACTTTTGTATGTTAATCCTGATTTTACTTTTATGTGTGTAAATCGGAAGTTGAACTCTTTGTCAAAATAATCAGGTCTATAATTAATCTCACAGTAATTCCATTTATAAGTAATTATATGAGAAAACACATTTAAAATGCTTAGCAGGTTGTCTCTGTCACATTTGCTTTTTCGTAGTGGATTTGGGTTCACATGGCTGGAATCACATATCATTAGACCACTATTTTCTTCATCAGTAACCCTATATATGGAACCATAGGGTGAAACAGCAACCTCCTTGGAGCAAATGAGAACTTCCATTGAACTTTTTAGGGGGCAGTTCCACACCCATTATTCTTGCTGCAAAGCCACACATTATGTGCACGTATATGCACCTATTTAGGAGCAATGTGATTCACAGAAATTAAATTTGTATTTAGAAGACAATCCTGTACCTACTTACCTGGGATTAGGCCACAGCAACCTCAGTGGGGCTTACTTCTGTGTAGGCTTGGATAGGATTGCACAGTACCTATGTGTCTGATCTCTGAGCCTTTGGGGAAAATGTGTGAAGATGCACACACACACACACACACACACACAACCACTTGTAAATATTTGTTTGTAAATGCTATTACCAATACCTCAGAAGTCCTCAGTGTTAAGCATTTTGCTGTTGAAAGCTGGCTGTGTTTGTGGCTTTACATCCATCTGAAAGTGACAAAACTATAACATTTTAATAAAATATCGACTTTTTTCAGCAGCTGGCTACTTACAGCATTGTTGAATGGATGTATGTGTACTGGGATCTTCTCATTATAAAGGAATACAAATATACTGCTATTAAAAATAAACTTTTAAATTTATGTTCTTCCTGGACATTTCTTGTGAGCAATCAGTTATTTATTGATTGATTGATTTATTGCACTTATGGAAAGCTTTCCATCCATAGATCTCTTCATAATCTTCTGACATGTACATGAATGATTAAGAAAAGAAGGAAGAAGTAAAGATTCATGGACAGTCTAGGCTGCTTTGTGTGAACTGTGAACAAACATTAGCAAGACTCATCTGTGGGTTGTGCATTGCAGGGGAAGATTTGCAGTGGTTGGAAAGCTTTCTTTCAGGGAAGTTTGCTTCCAATTATTGATCTCGCTGATCCGCCCTGATAAGGTTTTTGAAGAGGTCACAGTTCCCACAGAACACGGTTTGAGAATCAGCATGTTAGGTTAACAACTGAATTATTATTATGATTCTCTGTGGCAGCCCCTAGGTTGTGGAACTCCCTTCCCACAGAGGTGTCCTCAGGTTAGTGCTATTTTCTTCTAATATGCACATTTTTACATTTCTTTTACATAATAGTAATATTTTGCAAAGCAATTTCCTCTATTTGAACACATTTATGCATTTTTATTTTTATTTTAATGTGCATTCTTATGCACCATTTACTCTAATATATGTATTTTGCACATATTACTCACCTGGAGAACTGAACTGCAAAATTCAGAGAAGTGCAAATTTCAAAGGATGGCTGCTGTTTTGGTTCATGTAGTGTTTTGGAAGGTGCAAATTCAGTAAGTTTGCCTTTAAATGCAAGCTAAATCAAATCTTTCTCCCACCCGCAGCAGAAGGTCTCAGGCTTAATTCCTGGCATCTACAGGTAGGGCTTAGAGAATTCATTGTCTGAATCCCTGGAAAGAAACTGACAGTCAGAGTACACCGTAATGAGCTAGAACAATTAACAGTCTCTGTAGCAAACAGTTTCCTATGTTCCCCAAAATACTGTATTAAAATACAAAATAACCCCACTAATATAAATGCAACAAAGACAATAAAATGCAGCATCAACCTTGTTTTCTAGCGAAGGTTAGGGAAACCTGGAAAGGGATCCCTTTTTAATTTTCATTTGGAACATGGAGAAACACAGGAAAAGAGGAGGAGGAGGAGGAGGAGGAGGAGGAGGGGAGGAAAGGTTGGCAAATGATCAAGGAGACTGGAAAACGCTTCTGCTGTTCCCAGGCATGGAGAGGCGGTTCCAGAGATGATAAAGGCAGATGCTGAGGAGTTGGATGTCATTTCTGGGTTGTTTTTTTTGCAGCTTGGACACTACTCGTGGGAAGCAAAGGGTTTGCTTGATTTCCTTCTTCACTCAAACGGGCTGCCCTCGCAATGCTGGCTGCAAGCGGGACCCGCATCCGCGTCCAGTTTGGGCGGCTCCTGGCAGAAGCGGGGCAACTCAGTGCTCCTGTGCGCCGGCCTCTAGGACCAGGGCTCCTGGGCTCCACAGCATTGTCCTGCACGGATCAGAACAGAAGCTCGGGGGCAACGGGTTCAAGTGAGTAGCTGGCAAGGACTGTTAACGCACCACCCTCCAGTTTGATTTTGAGATCCCATCAGTGGTGCAGTTAGACGATTTTAGGCTCTGACCTTAATGGCAGCCCTGAGGAGAGGGAGGTCTGCCACCAACACTCTCCAGTATCTGCTGCTCAAGATGGCTCCCTCATCTTGTCTAATGGCAGGGCTGGCCCTGATGTGTTGCCTAAAAGTGCACTGGAAGAAAGAGGGAGACAGGATTCTATTGATCCTTGTGGGAATTCTCTGTGTGCAGGTGCAGATTCTCTCTCTCTCTCTCTCTCTCTCTCTCTCTCTCTCTCTCTCACACACACACACACACACAGAGAGAGAGAGTTATGGTTGATTTTAATACAGTGGTACCTCGGGTTACATACACTTCAGGTTACAGACGCTTCAGGTTACAGACTCCGCTAACCCAGAAATAGTACCTCGGGTTAAGAACTTTGCCTCAGGATGAGAACAGAAATCGTGTGGTGGCGGCATGGCGGCAGCAGGAGGCCCCATTAGCTAAAGTGGTGCTTCAGGTTAAGAACAATTTCAGGTTAAGAACAGACCTCCAGAACGAATTAAGTTCTTAACCCGAGGTACCACTGTATTTATTACATCCGAATTAGAGTTCTTTGTATTTATTGACTTGAAAAGCTTTGCTTCAGTTACTGTGCCCAGCTCAGTTGCAATGATGGTTTAAACCTTTTTTGGGGTTGAATGTTTTGACCTGGCATAAGCAGCACCCCACTATAAGCATACAGAGTATATATGGGGTTTTTTATTTCAAATATATATATATCCTGCCTTTTTCCAAAAATGATTCAAGGTGACTTACAATGTGCATACACACACAAATCAACATTTCTAAAACCAACCTGCAAAGACCAATAACAATACAGAAAAACTGAATCTATAGTGGATTGAATTTTACATTCATGCCTATTCATATATATGCATGGGAATATTTGGATCTTGTTTTTGATCCAAAGCATCTAACTGTGTGTGTTAATGCATAATGTTCAAATGCATAATGAAATACAGTGGTACCTCGGGTTAAGTACTTTCTGTTCTCATCCTGAGGTAAAGTTCTTAATCCAAGGTACTACTTCTGGGTTAGCGGAGTCTGTAACCCAAGGTGTTTGTAACCCGAGGTACCACTGTAACTAAACTGAGCTACTCCAAAATGATTGAACAGGAAGCAGTAGCAACAACAAAGAAACCAGCAGCAGGGAGAGGGGAATGATCTGGCAGAGCAAGCTGGAAAGGGTATTTGTTCAACATGTCTGACCCTACCATTAGGCAGAGTGAAGAAGGTGCCTCTGGCACAAAAGGGGTAGCAAGCAGTGGGAGAGATGTTATAGGCCAGAGCAGCTTGCCCTATGCTAACCTGCTGGTTTCAGATACAGTGGAGGGCACTGCCTCATTTACAGTGCCGAAGTACGATTCAGCTGCCAGTCCAGCTGGCTTTTGTAATTGAATGGAGGAAAGGTATCATTTTATCCTTTGTCCTAGGCTGGTTTCAAGCTCAGAGGGCCCAATGCCATATTTTTTTTTAAATGATTACCCTTACTTGTAGTGAAGACAAAAAGCAAGGGGAAAAGGATGATATTCCTCTAGGACAGTGGTGTTCAAACTTTTTTCAAAGAGGGCCAGATTTGATGAAGTGAAGGGCCATGGGGGCCAGCCAAGGGACCAACCAAAGTTATTGACCTTTTTTTAGGATTGAAGTTGTTCAGCTTTTTTATGATTTTATCCCGAAGTTGTTTAGCTTTTGGAGTTTTTGAGGTTTTTTCAGGATTTTACCCCAGGAAATAAACTGCCATGGGGGGCCAAATTAGGCCCCTGGAACAGCCTTTGGACATGCCTGCTCTAGGAATAGATTTCAAAGCCTTGGGGACACTCAGAACAGGCCTCTAGAGAGGGAGGAAAGGAGACCATAACACAGAAACAGAGCTCATGCATACAGGAGCTCTCAGGTTCCTTCCTGACTTTTCCAATTAAAAGCATCAAGTAGAAAGTGAGGCTTGATTTGGCCCAAAATAAATCAGACTTTTTGCAATAAGGAAAGTGATGGGGAAAGGACCCTGCAAACAAGTCAGGATGAATGCTCCACACAGAGGTTGTTTGGAAGCGGCTGAAATCTGTCTGTCTGTCTGAGAATAGACATTTATTTCCTTACCCTTTCCATGGCTGTGATTTGACATGATGTTCTGTCTACTGGATCTTGAAGCCGAGAAGGTGTACAAAGTGCCTGGCGGACACAAACCGTCAACATTTGACAAGAAAATCCTCCTGTGGACTGGACGCTTCAGGAAGGAAGATGAAATTCCTCCAAGGATCCCGTATGTACTTCATTTTATTCAACCACTAGAAACACTACGCTGAGGAAAAACTACTGCCATATTTTAGAAGTACACCATCCTTTAGTGGAAGGGAGGATAGGGGAGAATGGAAGACTTTTGAAAAAAATAAAGCTATCCATCTAGCTCAGGAATAGTCAACATGGTTTTATCCAGATGTTGTTGGACTACAACTTCCATCATCCCTGACCATTGGCCATGCTGCTGGGACTGATGGCATTGGGAGTCCAACAACATCTGGAAGGTCACAGGTTCCCTACCCCCGTTCTCCTTGTTCTGTAAGATGAACCTTGCAACCAAAACATACACCATATAGATCAAAAATAATTGCTGGCTTCCATCATTGAGTTGCACTAAACTTTCACAGATATGCACTCACGTATTTATATTTTGCTTTATTTATGTGTGATAAGAAACTATGGCCAATCCAGCTTTCCAGCCTATGTTCTTACAGCAAAAGTCAGGCAATGGGAGTGTGACACTTGACTATCTCATGGTTTGCCAAACTAGTGCTCCACAAAGCTATTCCCATCAGGGTGGACCTTAGTAATATGCCTCCCTGAGCAAGGCCAACATTTGATGTCTTCTTTCCAGTCCTCATTGTGCTGGGGTTTGGGGAAGGAGCCGTAAGGGCTCTGAAAGGGTCCTATACCCCTCCCACCTCCTTCCCAATGCTTCTCTTGCTTTGGGAAGGAGACAGGAGGACTCTAGGACTCTGTCAGAACCCTCAAGCCTCCTTCCTGAGGCTGGGCAAGTGTTTACCTGGCTTTGAGAAGGTGCCCTCCTCGGCAGGCAATTGTGTGCCTAGTTCCACTGCACCACTCTATCCGCATCTTACTCCCTTAATCCCTGATTATTGGCCATGCCGGTTGGAGCGATGGGATGTGAGCTGCTAGTGATCTACAAATAGGCTTAATCCTACCAATATTTTCCATTATGAAAATTTAAATTTTAGTTGAAGAAAACCAGGATATGGCCTTAAGGATTTTGAAGCTTAGCTTATCGCACATACAAGATGACATTTTTATTTTGCTTAGGGGCATGGGGGAAATCTGAAACACAAACTGATCAAAAGCGGATGGTGTCCGTATTTGTTTATAAATTGCATGAACAATGTGTTCTTGTCATCTCCACATTGGACTGCGAGGTTCATATTCCACTTAAAGGTCGGAAAGGAAATGAGGAAGAATGTGTGTCAGAACATGTTTTATTGCCCTCTGTAAAAATGGCAACTTTGATCACAAACACACACTTATGTGAATGTTTAGGCTTACTAACTCATGGTTTGTACTCTGTCAAGCACCATGCACGTTGACTGTGACACACACACACACACTAATAAAAAATAATGGCTTTGCATATCAGCAGGCTTAAACAATATATGTAAGTGAGATATGGGTATGGGGCAGTTTAGCATCAGACATGCACCAATGCACAGCTGAACTACACAGTCAACTTGATTTTTTTCAGCCTGATTTCTACATTGTTTACATGCCTGACATGCAAGTAAGGGCCAGACTAGATGTTGCAATGGAGTACTGCTGTCGCCCCAAATGGCTATTGCATATCTCACTTTCCTCTCTAGTCTCTGTACAGTGGTACCTTGGGTTACATACGCTTCAGGTTACATACACTTCAGGTTACAGACTCCGCTATCCCAGAAATAGTGCTTCAGGTTAAGAACTTTGCTTCAGGATGAGAACAGAAGTTGTGCGGTGGTGGCGCGGCAGCAGCGGGAGGCCCCATTAGCTAAAGTGGTGCTTCAGGTTAAGAACAGTTTCAAGTTAAGAACGGACCTCCAGAATGAATTAAGTACGTAACCAGAGGTACCACTGTACTTCTTGCATGATGTTACAACTTTCTGTGTTTCCCTGCGCCATTATGACACAAAGTAAGTTCTACTGGACGTTGTGGAGTGGGTATTGGATGCATGGTGACCATTTTTAGTGCCAGCCATATGCTTATCATAGCGTCTAGGTTAACCTTGAGCACAGGGATGGGGGTGAAATTTGATTCTTGTTGCATTTAAAAGAGAACCTACTTAATTCTCACTTCCCAAACAACTTGTGGACCAAAACAAGCCATCTTTCATATCCAAATTTCTTCCAATTCTGCAATGCAGGTCTCCAGCTAAGCAATGTGTACCAAAATGCACCTATGTGAGGAAAGTGTGCATAAAAATGCATATTATATATTAGCCAAAAGAACATACAAAAAATGTCTTCTATTGCTTGGAAAACTGTGCACAAAATTGTATTAGAAGTGTGTTTATTAGGAGAAATTTGCAGTAAAATGCAGATGGATTTTCAAGAGAACTTTTTTTTTTTAATTTGAAAAGTAAACCAATGTAGAAATGTGGAGAACTGAAGATTTGAGAAGTTAAAAATGGAGAGAAACTGGTTCAGCCATCCCTCATTGAGCCACAGAACGATGATATATTTGTTGCAATAACTGTCCTGGTGTCTGTACAATTTCATGAGCAGTGGCAGGACTTTCCCATATTCCTGCAACTCCTAGGTTATGCAAAGCAAGGTACTACCTAAGTGCTGACTCAGCCCTTAAATTTTATCCATGTGTTCTTGATTTCTGGGAAGCACTACAAGTGTCTTCAGCTGAATGCATTTACAGTCCCCTTTCAGACTTCACTCAGCGCATCAAGGATGGGCCTGGTGGGTGGCAGGATGGGAATACATTGCCCTTCAGCCCCTTCTCAGATAGAATTTAAGGCTACAAGCTTTCTCTGTTACCATCGCTTCAGAGCAGCCGCAGCCACAGCAGCAAATGATGTGGCCTGCTTGCAGAATCATAACAGCAATGGCCAATGCCAGGCAAACAACTCAAAGGCTTGCATTTCCCTGTGCTACATGTGGCCGAGAAGACTGAGGATGAAATAACATTTCTAGGGCATTTTTTCGTGTACACTCATCTACTCCCACATTCATTTCCTTGAAAAAATCATTGTTTCTATCCTGTTGAAATACAAGCATTTGATAAGCTAAATGTAACCTTTTCTGCTGGCTGTTCATCCCTGTCACCACAGAAAAGCGCTGTGCTTTTTATCTGTTTGTGTTCCTGTTTGCATGAAGAGATCATCAGCTGTAACTTTCTGACCTTTAATAGCAAAGGATTGTTGTAGTGTGCAGCTTCCCATGGCTGTTTTTATGAAAGCAGGCAAATACTTTTGCAATGACAAATGGGTCTTATGTACTAACAGTATTACTCAAAATTACAACATTTATTTTAGGGTTGCAATTTTTAGGAAGACCCCAAAATTGTTGAGATTTTTAGACAAAACCCGAAGTTTTTTGTTTGTTTTTAACAAAAACGCCAAAAAACAAACAAACCCCAGGATTTTTCAATTGACTTGCCTAACATCCAGGACAAGGCACCAGGTGTCAATTCCACCTTTGAAATCCCAGTAATATCGGGGAAAATCAGGACGTATGGCAATCTTAATTTATTTACAGACTCTATAAGTGTCCCTTTTTTCCAGGCACATCAGGGCAGTGAGATGCAAATTAGGGTTTACTCTGAATAGGGCAAACATTGGCTACAGCCCTCCACTTCCAGTGCTCCTACCATTCTATAATATTCATAAGCTGTGACATTTCACTAGTTGGGATCCCGTTTGAATTTAATTTTTAATTTAATATTGGACCACTTTGAGCCCCTCCTCCCAAACAATTGGGGGGCCCCTGAAACTATTAGATCCTGCATTTAGGGAAAGATTACAAGGAATCGTAATAATGTCTGTCTCTCTTGCTTTTTTTATGCCTCTGGTTTAAGGCACTGATCTGCTGCTTCAAAACAGTTCCAATTAGTGGGCCATAAAATAACAATTAGTTGATTTAACCCAACAAGTTCGTGCTTTGCTCCTCTCGCGGCAAGTGACTTAGAGATTAATGGGTTTAATGGGCTGGCCTGTTTTTGATTTGTTCAATTCTAAATGCATTTAGTCCTTAATACTATGAAATCCATCTGCCCGCAGGTTTATCTACAGTCTTGTCTCCCCACACTGAGAAGAGAGGAGCTCTGAAGCTTCTTTCCCAATAGTCAAGGCTGCTTTTGCAAGTGTTTTTTTTGTGTGTGTGAGGTATTATAATAACAAACATATTTTGTTTGTGATGCATTCACACAGGAATTGGGAAAAATTGGATTAGGTTTGTATTTAAAGCCAAACCTACCTAATTAGAGTTTTTCAAAGCAATACGTGTACCAAAATACATAGAAACATGCTTCAAAAATTTGCATTTCTCTTAATTTTGAAATCCAGTTCTCCAGCCAAGTGCAGTAATGTGTACTGAAAGGTATAACCTAGGATTAAATATGCATATAAATGCATATATTACTGACAACCACCTACAAAAATGCAATATATTTGGGAGAACTGATCTGTAAAAATGTATGTTAGGTAAAATTGCATTTTAAAAATCTGTATGCCAAGAGAAATTCTCTCCAAGATACTGATAAATTTTCACAAGAACTAAAAAAAAAAAAGTACACTAATATGGAAATGTGAACAACAAAATTTAAGATTGGAAAAATGAGAATCTGAAATGAACAGATCTGTCCATCCCTAAGGGACGCTGCAGTTCCAATAACTTTATTGGGAATTCAGCATACATAAAACCACATCCACATTGATTTCAATCAATTAAGTCACTTTGAGACTTCTTTGTATAATGTGACAAAAATACATAAATACTACTACTGATAATAATTATTCACAGGAGAAATTCAGTGAAAGCACAGAAGTCAGTGGTGTTCACTCCCAAGTAAGGCAGCAATCCTAACCAAACTTACTTGAGAGTAAGCTCCATTGAATTCAATAGGATCTACTTTCAGGTAGAAATGGTTAGGGTTCACAGCTCAGCAGATTACCGGTATATCCAACTGGTGGAATGAGGAAGGCAATTTTGAGCATTTTCCCTGCCCTCCCCCCCATATTTGCTCTCACCCACATAACCAAATATGGCTTTAATTACAAATTACTAAAAAAGACCCCCAAAATTTAGTCCTTCTGTATCTTTTGTAGTATAAACAAAGCAATTAAAAACATTTCAGTATGTCACACATTAATTTAGTATTCCTTAGCCTTGGGTGCTCGTCCCCAGAAGCTGGAAGACAATTCCCATAACTGCTTGCCAAATTTGGGTGCCCAAGGTTGTTGAAGAACACTGTTCTAATTGGTTCCAACCCAATTTCTTTTGCAGGCCCGAGATGCTGGATGCTGCAAGGAACAAAGCCCGAGTAAAGGCCTGTTACATTATGATTGCCCTGACAATCATGGCTTGCTTTGCTGTGATTGCCTCTGCTAAAAGGGTATGTATTGTTCCATGGGAAACTTCTGGATTTTGATACAATTTTCTTTTTAAAATAGCAATTGTTAAATTGATTTCTGCCTAATGTTACAACGGCTTCACACTAAACAAAAAACACCTTTAAATAAACTAGAAATAAAGATCAAGAGAAGTAATAGCACTGCTCTCTTCTGCCTTGGTCAGACCACATCTGAAATACTGTGTCCAGTTCTGGGCACCACAATTTAATATTGATGAGCTGGAATGTGTGTGGAGGAGAATGACCAAGATGATCAAGGGTCTGGAAACCAAGCCGTATGAGGAACGGGTGAGAGAGGCTGGGTATGTTTAGCCTGGAGGTGACTGTGATATGATAGCCATCTTCAAATATCTGAAGGGCTGATACATGGAAGATGGAGCAAGCTCCAGAGAGTAGGTCCCATGTCAGTGGATTCAAATTACAAGAAGAGAGATTCCAACTAAATGTTAGGTGGTGGTCTCTCCCTTCACTGGGTGTTTTAAAACAGAGGCTGGATGGCCATCTGTCAGAAATTATTTAGCTGTGATTCCTCCATTGCAGGGGATTAGACAAGATGACCCTTCCAACTCCACAATGCTTTGATTCTGTGAAATATCTAGCCTGATTCTGTTTACTATCTGGGCCACAGTGTGACCATCAGACTTATTACTCCTGCACATTTGTTCAGAACAAAGGCCAACTGCTGCAGCAGTTTGTTTCCAAGCCATTGCATTATGTTTTGGCACGAGGTATGTCAACGCTACTTAGGCTGGGCAGTCAACAGCAGTGCTCAAATGAGATATATTGCTGGGCAAAGGATTCATCTGCTGTCACGTCAGGAGTGAGGACAGTGGAGACTGGTCCATTTGGGAAAAAGGGGCACTGGCCCATCAACCTTGGTCTGCTCTCTTCCAGTCCCCACCTGCCTGCCTCCTTACTTGTGTCTGTGTTGCCCCTTGTAGAATTCAGCAGGTGGGATGGAGGCAAAACTAGAATTTATTAGCTCTGCCTCTCTCTTGCTCTGGCGCCACCTGCTGTTGGGCTCCCAGCCTTCCACCCTACTAGTCCCAATGGGCACAAGTTACCCCTAGGTAGACAACCTACTGCTTTCAGATGTTGCTGTACTCCAGCTTTAATTCCCTTTCACTGTTGGCCATACTGTGTGACTGATGGGTATTGGAACATCATCTTGAAGGCACAGGATTGCTCTAGGTTATTGGGGCCACCGCTTGGTTTTCATGTATTATGTTTATACCCAATTCTTTCTCCAAGGAGCTTAGAGTAGCATGCAAACTCCACTCCTACAAGGGATTGGGTAGAGAGTGATTGCTCAAAGGGAGCTTCCTACTGGTTTGAACCTAGATCTCCCTTGTCCAACACTCTGCGCTCTTACAGGTCAAATTTCTGAGGATGCTACGCTTGCAGTGCCAGCACATGGGGCACCCTATGTGGAATAATGTCTATCTTTCAGCTGTTCCTTTCACTGTGCCACTATGAAGCGGATGCTCTACTTTTGCAGGCTGTTGAACGCCATGAATCCCTCACAAGCTGGAACTTAGCAAAGAAAGCCAAGTGGCGTGAAGAGGCTGCAACAAGAGCCGAGGAAAAGGCAAAATAAGAGTCATCTGCTCTTGAAACTGGGAACAAAGAAAACACACAAAATTGGCAAGTTAGCAAAAGATATACCTTCTAGGGGAAACGCTGAAGTTGAACACAACTTACTACTAACAACTTTCATTTCCGCTTGTGAAACAAATACTGGGAGAAAGATAATTATTTTTTTCTGCCACAAGTGAATAAATAAATCAAGTTCAGTCGAAAGTTGGCTGTGAAAGGCTTCATCTGCTATTTTGCTTCTATTTGAATTTTTAAGGTCTTTGTAGTTAAAACTGAAAACACAGAATTCCATCAACCATAACAGTGACTTTTCTGACTAAAATTCGTTACTCAACAAATTTTGTCCCGGTGGAAAGTGTTGTCTTTCTTTGTCTGTTTGTTCCCTATACAGTGGGACCTTGGGTTACAGATGCTTCAGGTTACAAACTCCACTAACCCAGAAATAGTACCTTGGGTTAAGAAATTTGCTTCAGGATGAGAACAGAAATTGTGCGGTGGCAGCGGGAGGCCCCATTAGCTAAAGTGGTACCTCAGGTTAAGAACAGTTTCAGGTTAAGAACAGACCTCCAGAACGAATTAAGTTCTGAACCCGAGGTACCACTGTACATCTTGATGCCTCTTGAGATATCATTGCCAAACTTAGCATGAGGGCTGCCAGGGTGAGGGTGGCACTCTTCATTCATGTTTGACACCACCTGCCATTTTGAATCAAGATGGCAGTTGAAGAATAAGGACTTTATAGGATTTGGTCCGAATGAATTTTACAAGATTTTCTCCTGTCCCATCTGATTTTCCCAATCCCAAGTGGCATAGTTAAAAACTTAGTAAATTAAAACTGTAATGGCTCTACATACCTACATATGACCAAGGGCAGGAAATATAGATAAACTTACTTCTGAATAACCATGCATTGGGTTTGGCTGTAAGCCTTCCAGTAGAGATTTCTAACAGTGCAGTACATGCTTCTGGTCTGAAAAGTTATTATAACTTATGAAGAAATACTGCAAGTTCTAAATTCAGAAGAGACACACTGCCTTTGCAAAATACCTTTATTAGTTTTGTATTGTAGCATTTATAGTAGTAACATTCCCTAATATTGCATACTGTTCTTATTTGTAAGTTTGTTCAGTTAGAGCCTCTAGTGTGTCTTTAAAGATGCAGTATCAATCAAATTACAAATGAATGTTCAAAAACACAGTAACAATAATGACTAAGAACAACTCTTATTGGAGATGTGAATCTTTGTAGCAGTTTCATAATCTGTATTTTTTCAAATAAATTTGCAGGTTAATAAGTTAATAAGGTTCAAGCAAATAAATCAATCTGGAGTCAAATGTAAAAGTAATAATTATTTTCTGTTAAACAATCCAACTAATCATCATTTTCTAAATGTAAACCAATCATTGAATGAACACCCATTATTTCTTTACCACCCTTTTAAAAAGGCAATACTATAAATGTAATAGCAAAATGAATAAATTATTCAATGATAAAAGTGCAGGGACCCAAACACAAAACAAAACTCACATATGGTTTTGCATCTGAAATAAATACTTGGCATGGTTGCATAGACTGAGGTCATGTCAAAATGAGGCATTTATGTGAGAATCACACAACCTGCACCAGGGAAACACCATAATGGTTTAATTATACAAATTCAAAAACCCCAAACCATTTTGGATTGACTACTAAATCCAGGAGACTACAGTTGCCACTCACATGTGTTCTGATAAAAGGTTTCACCTCCAACATCCCTCTATTAAGCATCAAGACTTCTCAGTTTCATGCATAAGAGTGAATTTGAAGTTAAACCAAATACTGGTATTTAAAAGATCCAAATTAACCATATAAAATCGTACAGCTTCAGAAATGATTCTCGGAAGTTTCCAAATTCATGTTATGGACTAGACTCAAAGAGACATATTTCCAAATTACACATTAAATTCATTTGTCTCTAATATTTCTATTTCTTCTACGGTTTGTATAAAGTCTTGAGTCTGGCTCAGATGTAAATGTTTTGATGATATTATCTACTGAATTCTCCAATTAAGAGCAGGCACAACTGGCAATTTTTGTAATATAGCAAAACAATGGGATACCCTGTCAACCCTGAACATTTGTTTTTGTTTTTTTAACATACTAGAGCAATTCTGATAATTTTATCTTTTTTACTGACCACTTTCATTAACCTGTATTTGGAATGAATGATATAAGACACTCAGGACCAACATTTCCAGTTAAAACTTTTAAAAAGGGGGACAAATTCACCCTTATATCAAGTGTTACCTGTTCAAAGCTACAAACAGAATTCATAGCTAGCTGCACAATTCTTCTCCCCATGATACATCTGATTTCCAGCAAGCATTCCTGCATTTTCCCCCTAGTTGTACCTCACTATCTTTACATAAGCTACAGCTATTAACATTACAACACATCCACTGGCAAACTTTGACTCCATAACCCTTTAGAAGTGGATATTGCTGCTACAATGCCTTTGTGAACCTGGCTGCAGAGACCTGTGCGCATCACAGAAGGCCAGGCATGTATCTGTTACTGCACTTGCAGTTCTCACAACTATGGAGAGCAAAAGTCTCCCAGGGGATGGAGCAAGATGTATGTGAGATACTGAAGTGTCTAACAGCTGACCGGTACTCTGAGCTGCTTCACGCGGAAATTCCTCACAATACGCATCTGCCACTGAAGGATAATTTTTCAATAGCTATGCAAAATGCATAAGCAACACAGCTGCTTTGTCTCCACCCAGCCTGGCTATGGCAGGTCCTTGCATTGATCATGCTCATAGGACTGGAACAGAAGACGGAAAGATCAAGATTTAAACTTTTAACACATGAATTTGTTTGCAGGTACCATATAAAGAGCCCCCTTAGATTCTGGAGTGCATCTATTTTTGCTTTTGTTTAACATTTCACAATACTATGAAAAAAGGCAATCAACTGCAATTATATACAAGTTGTTTTATATACGTCACACAGAACAATACATTTGTGGTAAGCAAAATTAACCGGAGTCCTTTAATTGTGCTACCAAATAAATAAATAAATAAATATCCATGTGGATTCAAACCTAGCGACAAAATGGTCTCTGGGTCTGAATTTAGGTTATTTTTTAAACTGCCTGGCATCATATCATTTAAACACTTTGCATAAATTGTCAGAGAAATTTGCATACTCAAAACACCTACTATCATATTTACAGTGAAACCGATCTTTATTTCAATTAACTGAAAAATATGTTCTCCCAATATAGCACTGCTGCAAACCGGAAATACTCTGACCGGTCTGTTGTTGGTGGTATTTTTTTAAAAAAAACCTTCCCTAAAAAGTCGTATGAGATGCATTAGTGTATTTGGGTCAATGTAATACATGGACTGTGTATAACTAAATCATGTAATCATTGTTTCAAGAAAAGAGAATATTGCAGTTTCACACACTTTGGTAGCATTTAAGTTACAACGTGGAGTCTTCTATACAGAGAAGCCTTCCCTCATCCTCACAAGAACACAGAGGTCATTGCAAGGCAAACTAATTTTTAACCATTTTGTAATCAGGTTGCCAACTGACCAAAAACAGCCTAGCCTGCTCACGTGCCTTTTAACAGCAACTTAATGCACAAAAATCAGCAGGTAATACATTTCACAGCATGGAGGCAAACATTATCCCACTGCCCATCTAGCTGCTGCTGAACACTTGGCAAACCTATTTGCAATACCACTGAATAAATAAGAGGAAGAGGGAATTTTGCTGACATGGCTAGGTAAGGGCTATATAAATTACAAAGCTACCATCCCTTTTCACATAGCAGAGAAACCATTTTTTCCTACATTGTAAGGTTATGTCATGTAACCAGCAGTGCACCCCAGTAAGTGTTATGCTTTTAAATATAAATATATTTCATCAGTTTATCACAAAGTATCACGCATAAAACTATATTTCCCACTATTTAAATAAATAATGTTCACATTCTAAGCTTAGCTTTTACTAGGAGCTCATATATACGTCAGTTCTGAAACATCTTTCTTGCTCCAACGCAAAGAGGTAGATTTAGTGTAGATTGGGCATGTGAACCCTACAGCCAAAATTTAAAATATCAACAGCTGTTTATGCGCAATTTTGCCTTTTTAACAACTGCTTGAAAACTCAGCATCAGTTTCCAATGTCTTACTGAGGTCACTATTCAAGCCTTATTCTAAACTTTCAGTTGTGATTAGTCGGTTTTTCTGCACGTAAGACAATGGAAACATACACATATAAAAAAGAATGAACCAATACTTGTGTCTGACACAAAAACACATAAATGCACGAGTTTGCTTCTTCATCCGTCTCCAGCAAAACATTTCCACCTTTCCTGTCTTTGGCCCGCAAATGGAGACTACCATGATGAGCTACTGATTTTGCTTTAAACTGAATGGTTACAACTGGAATCCCTCCATTGGAGCTTCCTGCTGCTGGAACAAAAACTGCTGTTCATTTTCATCCACTGGTGGTACAATATTGGCATCCTCTTCTTCCACACCAAAGTAATGTTCAATAAGATCAAAAGCTTTTTGGTAGATCTCCTGGTTTTCATGACTTTGAAGAATTTCAATTTTATCTAGTCCTAAATTTGAGAGAGAGAGAGAGAGAGAGCGCACATGTGGTTTAAGATGTACATACTTTCTTAAATAGCTAAATAAACTGGCCATAATACGTGAGGATCATGTGAGTAGGCTGCAAAGAGGAAACACTAAATTCTAAACACATCTGTAATATTTACTGAACCTAAGGCTTCAATCTACAATAGAGTTACTCCAAAATAATCTCACTAATTTAGACTACTTGAAATGTGCTTGTTACGGACTGCAGGCAGCACGCATGCCCCCTTGCTTACAAAATAGTATTTCTCTCAAATATCTACCTAGTAGACAAGAAGTGAGAAATACACAGATCAGTGGTTGCTTACATAGAGAAAACAATGTACAGTTACACCCAGTGGGTGATCTCCAATGAAATCATACTCAGAGCGGAGCCCTCAAAACCTTCAATCTCAATGGGTCTACTCTAGAGAATGACTAACACTGAGCATAACCCACTAAACAAAATCCTCAGTTTGAAATGTTACTGCACTCAGTGCATTATAATTGGGCTTCCACATTTTTGTACACCACTGCTGCTCTCTGGCAAGTGTGAGAAGCAACTAGCCTGCCTACCAACCACAGAGCTGCCTGGGTATTCTCCACCTCTTTCCAGCTCGAAGACAGGAGAGGAAAGCCTGGGATTCTTTGCCTGCCCATCTGCTTAGTGCCTTGGTTATACAGCTGCCAGGCCAGCAGACTCCATGCCAATCTTCTTGCAGGGCAGGCTGATGGGCTGCTTCCCAGGCTGCTCCAAGTTGATGCACTAGCACATCTTGCCCTGGAGCAGCCAAACCAGCAAGCAACCTACAGGAAAAGCAGATGGAGCACTAGCATGTGCTGGGCTAAAATAGGCCTTAGCAACCACAACTGGCTTTGGCAGAAAAGCCAGCCAAGAATTATGACCTTCAGTTGTTACATCTTTTTAACAGCGAGCTCAAATGTACAAGAACTCCCTTCAGGGCCTTGTTAAGAAATTTGCAATTCTCTCCTAAAGATTCACAAAGAAGGGTAGATTACGTTGGGACATGTAATATTAGGAATGCTTCCAAATTTGGAAGATTTGGTTCTGCCTGTGATTCTATTGCTCACTAGCTCAATTCTACTGCTTACTGCTTACCTACTTAAATAACTGCAACCACTTCAGAAATTTTCTTAAGTTTATATAAAATACACTTCTGGCCAACGTGTGGGACCTGCCCTCACTACAGAAATTAGAGTCCTCTTGCCCACTCCTACGGATGTTTACTCAGGACTATGTCTCGGTGTTCAGTGGGGAACAGTCTCAAATAAAACTGCATAGGGCTGCTGCCCTAATTTCTAAACAAAGATTTCAGGAGAACAACAGTAACCCAACTATTCAGTGGAATTATTTTATACTGGTAATAGGCTTGCAGCATTCACACCACAATTTCTTACCATACGCTTCCTCTATACGGGCACAGTAAGGATTAACCCCAATCCCATTTTGTTTAGATTCTTGCTCTCCATGTCGCAGAATGTTTTCAAGTCCGTTCAATGCCACCTGAACTATTTTAGAATCCATCACAGTCAGAAGATCGCAGAGAGGCTTGGTACAGCCTAAAGCCACCAAATAACTTTGGTACAGTAGGTTAAAAAAAAGACAGAAAGAGAGAAGAGGCTTGGATCAGTACTTATTTGATGCAACACTGTCCCAGGATAGATGCATGAAGATACTTTCAAAAACAACACAGAGGACACACTTGACTTTTTAGAGCATATTCCTGTGTATGTACACACACATTTTAATACATGAAATACACACACACACACACACGTGCACAAGCACACACACACATTATATCAATTAGCTATACTTCTACAATGAAAGTCATGTTGATTTTAGCTTTCCTTTCTGCATAAATCTAAATAAATTATAATTTCAAGTACTAGAAACCCAGAAAAGTATTCATGGCATCGTACAATAGTTTAGAAAATGAACGGCGAAAGTAAAAATATTCACCCCCATCACCTATGAATCAATTGCAATCCATTACCTAATCTGTTCAGGAGTCCCTCCTGATGTTGCATTAGTGATGGCCCATGCTGCTTCTTTTATAGTGCGAAATTCAGCTTTCTGAAGAATTTCAATCAATACTGGAAATATATTTGCATCTATAACAGCCTAGGAGAAAAAGGAAAAGTGGAACACTGAAGTATAACTTAAAGTCAACAAACTAACCAGTGAACTTAACTGAAAAGTACATTTTAAATGCATTCCTTGAAAAGACACAGTGATCATTTTTCTGGAAAAAGAAAATGACCCCAGGGACTTTATGAAAAATTGGCAATTTATGCTTAGCAAGTTGTCCGTAACACTTTGCTTACTTTTCCCAGAACACTGGCAAGTTCAGAATGGCCTTTACACAAATCTCATTCAGATAATAAGCCATGGGAATTTTAGTTTCTTTAGAGAAATTGGCAAATTGTATCTTACCCAAGAATACTCCTGTTTGTTTGACAAGCAGTGAACTGGATGTTGTCCGCTGTCATTTTTATCTAACAGACAACTGACTTTGAAAACTGGCCCCAAATTGGAGTACAAGTATCAACACTTCCCACAAAGATGAGGGTGTGAACTGGAGCAATGCCAACATGACCGTTTGAAGCAAGGGTTAATCTTTTTTCAGATTGAGAGCCTTACTGAAGGCTGCCAACCCCTACAAGGGCTCTATACACACACACACACACACACACACACACACACAGATACCCACATAGGAGCCTCTCCTCCTGTCTCAGAAGGTTTGCCACCCCTGATTTAAAGGCAATCATGAGTACATTCCTTTGATATGATGAAGTGTTTGTTAAGATGTTCAGTCTAAGACCCTCCCCATACATTCTGGGGTATATATCCCAGCTATTCATCATAATTCATCATGTGGAAGATACAAAGACTTGCATCAGGAACATATGGAGAAGTAGTTAAGTAAAGGCAAATATGACATGGTCCACTGCTATGTCAGCGCTGTCAGAAATACCCAAATATATTACCTGAATTTGGCCTCTGTTTCCTGCAGTAATATTAGAAACTGTCCAGCAAGCTTCTTTCCGTATAGATTCCTTGGGACTACTCAGCAAATGTAAGAGACAGGGTAATGCAGAGCAATTTAGAATTACCTAAAATAATTTGAAAGATGAAAAGTTCTGCCTAAGCAGTGTATAATCAAATGTAGTCCATATATCCAAACACAGTCCATATGGTTGAAATAAATATTCACAGGTACGGTTACAACTGCAGAGTTATTTTTAAATATTATAATGCCATATGCAGTATATTTACAGAATAAGTTACAATCATATGCTTTTGAAAAAAATGTGCTATTTAAGATCCCAATAAAGTCACAAGAGGCAATATACAGCGGAAATGGAGAACAAAAACAGAATGGGAGTTTTAGCTTTAACAGAAAATCCAACAGAATCTCATTGCTACCTAAATTCAAAGAGTTGGATCTAACCATCAGTAAAAGAATTATAAATTCGCAGCCCTTCTCCACCAGCACTATAAGAATTTGCACAATGCTGCAACAGGTAAGCTGTACAGCAGGGATGGGGAATGCTTTGCAGTTTGAGGGTCATAGTCTCTTGCGGGCAACTTTCTGGGAGGCCAGAAACGAAAGTGTAAAGATCAACAGGTGTGACTTTTATTTTACCTTTGTCAAGTAGGCTACATTACTGCCATGTAAAAGCCAGAGGCTTCCACACACACACCTACATCTTTCCATTCAGCCAAGCAAGCAGCATTGTCACAGTTCAAGGGTGCACTGCAGTGAGACAACAGAGGAAGGCAAGGGGGCGTGTGGCCTGGGGAAGCATTGGGGTCAGACAGAAAGGTCTAGCAGGTCACTTGTAAGCCTCAAGGCCTGAGATTCTCCATCCCTGTTCTATAGCCATTCTCATGCTTCCAGTTACACAAGAGCATCATCACCCTGGGATTTAGTTTTGCTTTCCTTGTATGAGTCTCTGTGGAAAATTACACAACAGCCCTCTGGTGAACAGAAGACATCTTCCACTTGTCAAAAGTCGCCTCCAGTTTCAATTCAAAATGTAAGCAGAAATATGAGAAAGTGGGAATTTTATATTCCGAGGGCAGTTACAAAGTGCTAGAAAATCAGACTATGTAATTGAATTTTTTTTTGGAGGGGGTTGATTACAGACTGGGCACCTTACAAAAGAAGATTGTTTTAAAAATGGTGTTCAAGATTCAAAAAGGTATGACTGTGGAGAGGTGAGGAGCAGGCCAAGCTATAGCATGCACCATAATTATGTTTAATAATCTTGTACACTTGTTCAGGTGCCAACACCTTCTTAATTTGTACTTTGCTATAAAACCACCAAGGTCTGCTTTTTATGATGCCCTGCTTTAAAACATTCAGAATGACAAAAGTCTGACCTCAGCCACAGTAACTTTAGCATATAACTGCATTACTATTAATTATTGCTATTCTTTAGTTTCTAACTTAGTGAAGCAAGAAAATACACATTTCAGTGAAATAATGTCAGTTGCCGCAAAGAATATGGCTTTTTGATAGTTTAAGGACAGTTCTTCTGCAAGACAGGCAGATTTCCCCTCGACTATACATAAGTCTGGATAACATTCCATCTGTTCAATCAGCACCATCTATATCCATTGCAAAATATTAACAAAGTATCCTGTTGCAATCTCTTGAAACCCCCCCCCCAAAAAAAAACAAAGTTAAGCCATTACACGTTGTCACTGAAGTTTTTCAAAAAGCTCCACTGACCTGTGTTTGAATATCATCGCCCGTAACAATATTTCCTACTGCTCTTAATGCAGGCGATACCACTTTGTAGTCATTGTGCCTGGAAAAAACAAAAGTGCATAGAGCAGATTAAATTATTCTCAGACCCTAAAATAGATTACCGTATTTTTCCGTGTATAAGACTAGGGGTTTTTTTACCAAAAAAATTGGTTTAAAATTGGGGCTCGCCTTATACACGGGTAGTGCTGAGGGGTGTTTTCTTAATTTGGAGTCCCCCAAAATAGGGGGTGTCTTATACATGGGTGCGTCTTATACATGGAAAAATACAGTTATTTGTTTGGAGATGTCACAGCATGCAAGTCTCAGACACAGACAAGAATGGAAGATTGAACACACGAGCTAAACCAGCAGCTGTTTGGATTATGGCTTATTATCAATTTATATACTTTCCGGTGTTGAGTTATGACAGCTCTTTAGCCCAGAAGGGGCTACTGAGATATAAAGTAAAGGTTCTGATATGTTTGGGGGAACCCCAGGATTTACTGGGGAGGTGGGATGGAAAACATGTTGAAGATCTGTTAGGAGAGAAAGAGAAAACCAGGAGGAAGGGGGAATGGAATGGAGTATTCAGTCTGCATGGCTGGCACAGAAGGAGTTCCTACTGCAACAGTTCCTTTCAGGTCCCACTTGTACATACAAATAGCAAACTCATTCAGTGCTATTTCTTCCATAGCCAAGACAGTACTATCTACACACAAGGGTGAAGGGTTAACAGGCTGGCACGGAACTCCAAAGTATGTAGAAGTACAGAAGAACGTTTTTTGCGGGGTGGGGGGGGGGGGAGAGGGAATAAAGCAGGAAAATCCACCAAAAAAGCTGAATGAGGATTAAACATACTTAGGGGACACAGAATGCTGACTGTTTGTGGAGGGGGAAGACATGGTGTACCTTAGAAAGGGGGGAAATAACCCTCCACACTGCAACATTTTGCTTCAGGTCCTATTGCTTATATTGTACAACGTAAATCCAGTTTTTGCTAATAGATAAAAATAAACTGGACTGGTTATATGCCTCTCAAATATCTACACTTTACAAGTTTCTTTCTTAGCATCTGGCAGAGTTTCAAATGTGCCACAGAATATTTAAGATAATGCAGAGGAGGAAAGGTTGGTGCTGTGACAATCACTGCAGATGTATTGGGTGGGTGAGGGAATCATAAAGGTCCTAAGGACAGAGGGAAAACTGTTGTGTTACAGTGGGGTTCAAAAAGACTACATTACTTTTGACACATTGGTTTGAGAACACAACTGTTGATATCTTTGGCTGCAGATTCCTAGTATCATAATTCTTCTATTAAAAAGGGACTTACATCAGAAGTTCTACTAATCTTCGGCAGACTCCAGAGTCAATAACTGCTTGGATTTTATCGTTTGGTCCATCGGATAGGTAAGAGAGGGCCCAGCAAGCATCTGCTAATACATCTGGGTCGCTGCTAAACAACAATCTTGACAAAACACCTAAGCAAAGACGAACCTTCAGGAGTGTAAAAAGAAGAAGAAAATGCACATTATCAGAAATGTCCTCTTTTTAGAAATTTCATATCTGTTGCAAGCAGTTGTATAAAGAGCTGAAACCCTTCCTTTGGTATTAGTTCATTCCACAACAAAACAGTCTGACTAAAAATTGACCCACCAATTAAGACTGAAGAAAGATTGGTTTGCATTGACTTTGCATGAGGAAATACACTGTTTTAAAGCAATTTATGCTTTTTACCATTATAGCACCTCACAGAGTAGAAATTGGACTCTACCTTGCTGAAATCAGGAGGCGGGTTCTTGCCCCTACAGAGGTTTGAAAGTGCCCAGACTGCATTTCTAGTCGTCGTAAGTCTGTTTGAATGTGTTAGCAATCTGTCAAGAAAAACAAACAAATTTGAAACAGAATACAGCATCTAAATTACATAATAGCACAATCATGTGTGCTCAGCAGTAAGTGCCATTGAGTTCAATGGGTTGTACAGGAAGATGTGCATGGGATTACAGCCTTAATTATTCATAACAGTTTTCAAGCTAACCTTTTAAAACCTGAAATTAAGCCTAGCTATTTCCAATGTTTAAACATGTGTAAAATTAATATTTATTGCCAGAGATTATCAGTACTTACTGTAAGAGAGGGGGAAGTATTCCACAGCTTAGCACGTAATCTCTACATTCTGCATTGTCTCCAGCAATATTACCAAGAGCCCACACTGCCTTAGAAACAAAGGGTTAAATTAATATTAATACATTTTTTAAAGTCTTTAACTGCAACTCTTGTACACTGCTGTCTTCACATTACAGAATTAGCATTTTAAAAAAATAAAATAAAATAAAGCTCAATAACATATAACAAGAAGCTATGACCTAAATTAAGCTTATTACGATAAAAGAATGGAAAGCGCCACCCTAAGAGTTTACCTCTGCAGCTCAATCTGTTGTAAAGTTGCAACAGAATATAATAAATCAGGCAGTTCAGTCCCAGCACAACAACGGCACCTATATGCCAGCACCAAACACAATCCCAATAGCAAAGGAGCAGTCACTGAAAGAATGAATGTATCAGAAGCTTATAATGGCCATGGATAACTAGCTTGCCAAGGGAATGGAAATCTCATAATAGGCAGCATTGTCCAGGTACCTACATTGCATCTCAGGGGCTATTCAAGTGGTTCAACGTGTGCCTATTTTACTGGAGACAACTATCAATGGAGAGGGGCTAAAGCTCCATAGGTAAAGGTAAAGGGACCCCTGACCATTAGGTCCAGTTGTGGCCGACTCTGGGGTTGCGGCGCTCATCTCGCTTTATTGGCCAGCATGATGAAGCTGCTTCTGGCGAACCAGAGCAGCGCACAGAAACGCCGTTTACCTTCCCGCCGGAGTGGTACCTATTTATCTACTTGCACTTTGACGTGCTTTCGAACTGCTAGGTTGGCAGGAGCAGGGACCGAGCAATGGGAGCTCACCCCGTTGTGGGATTCGAACCGCCAACCTTCTGATCGGCAAGTCCTAGGCTCTGTGGTTTAACCCACAGCACCACCCGCGTCCCTCAAAGCTCCATAAAAGTAAATAAAATTAGTGGGCTCTATCAGGCAGAGACAAATTTGTTTTGCCTGAAACAATTCATTTCTGCACGAGAGGCTGTGGTTAAGTAAGATTTGTAACCACAGAACCAACCTCGGCTGCAGATCACGGTTAAGGGTGAGAAACCTTAACCACAATCCCAGCTTCTATCAACCCATTAAGCAAAACTCTGTGAACAAGCCTCAGGCTCAGGAAATTAACACTAAGCCACAGTTTAACATTACTTCGAAACTAGATCAATGTGTTGGCGCTGGGCCTCATTTCCAAGTTTGCATGGTCCTGTCTCCTGAGGTTCTTTGAAGCCCAACACTTTACTACTATTGTTTTCTAATTTAAGTGATAAAAAAATCACAGAAGTTACCTGTTCCTGGACATCTTCATGTTCAGAGTTCAGCAACTTGATAAAAATTGGGACAGCTCCAGTCTCGATTACCACTTTGGTGTGCAGAAATGTCCCAGATGCTATATTTGTAAGAGCCCATGCTGCTTCAAACTAAAAGACAAAAATACAGTTAAATAAAAAAACTATAAAATGTGGATTAAGATTAAGAACATAGGAATAGCCTGCTCACGACAGTGGCCAACTAGATGCCCTTGGAAATTCAGCAAGCAAAACCGGAGTACAACAGCCCTCTCTCCATCTTATTTCCTAGGTACAAAATACACTCTGTAACCACATTTTCCATTTCTTGTGATGAAATAAGCCAACATTTTATTTTGAAAGTATATTATTGAAAATAAGTAATGTTGGAGAAATATGGGTTGAAATTCCTGCTCAGCCACGAATCTCCCACTGCTAGTCTTGGGCAAATCACTTTCTCTCAGCCTCACAGGATTGTTAAAATGATACTGATATATGTGGATACCCTTTCCCGAATGGTGGGAGGCAGATGTAATAGAATAAAATTATTTCACAAGTAGGCTCTGTGGAAGAAGCAAAGAAAGACCATGGCAGCTGCCTGAGCAGCCAGAGGTCCAGTCCAATGTTGCCGCCACTTACATACCACTTTACAGTGTTTGTGTATGTATGTTTTGACATGTTTGCAATGAAACATTGGGATATCTCTCAATGGAAGTATTCTGCAAAGCTGCCTCATAGATGTACTGGGGCACAGATCACAATCTCTCTCCCACAACCAGTATCCCTCCCTAATACAGAGGAGAGGATTAGAAGCATGTGCAAAAAGCAGAATTCAAATCCTTATTTCCTGATCTCTAATGCAGCACTATTGCTCATTGCACGACTGCATCAGGCCAGGTGCTGCCTCCTTTATTATTATTTGTTTTATATACCATATAGCTCTTCATTTTAAAAAAAATAATAATCCCAGGGCAGTTGACACAATGTAACATTGAATTTGAGAAATCAAGTTAACATATACATTTAAGACCCACAAACATATTCAACACAGAGAAAAGCAATAGACCCAAAAAGCCAAACAAAACAGGCACACTTTCTTTCACCTTTGGTGGACGTGCCCAAAGATTAAGGCTTTCTGGGAAATGATATATAATGAACTGAAAAAGGTATTTAAATATACCTTCTTGAAGAAACCAGAGGCCTTTCTCCTGGGCATTGTCGGCCAATTGGTGCCAAAGAAGGACAGAACTTTTTTTATGTATGCTACAACAGCAGCAAGAATACTCATTGCAAAGTATTGGAAGACGCAAGATCTACCCACTCTGGAAGAATGGCAGATGAAGGTGATTGACTACATGGAATTGACAGAAATGACTGGCAGAATCCGAGACCAGGGAGAAGAGTCGGTGAAAGAAGACTGGAAGAAATTTAAAGACTATTTACAGAAATATTGTAAACTTAATGAATCTTAGAAGGATGTTGGATAGAAACTAAGTGGTTTCTAGCTGTAATGCTTTAAGAGATACAAAAAAAGGTTTACAAATGGGTAAAAGCTTAATGGTAAGGATTTGCTGAACTAACAAACTGAACTGGAATACAAAAAAGGGAGGTATGAGGAGGTCCGGGGAAATAAGGGTAAAGAAGATAAGCTATAGAAAGTTAACGTGTTTTTTAACTGTTTTTATCTTGTATGTTTTTCTTGATTTTTCTTTTTTTTGTTATATTTTAAAAACTTTATTCTTTTTTCTGTATTTTGTATTTTCTTGCATTTTTATTTTTTGTTTTTGTATTTTTTGAAACTTTAATAAATATCATTAAAAAAAACAAAAAAAAAAACAGGCACACTTTCAACTGGCACCAAAACTGAGCCACTGTAAGCACCTGTTGCACCTCCAGAGGCAGGAAATTTCAAATGTAGGATGCTACAATGGAATAAAAGCCCTTCAGGCTCTACCCAAAGGCAAAATTACAAGGAAAGTCAACATGGCTACCTTTAATTTGTATTTTTTATTGTGTGTGTGTATTTGTCTCTTCATGTCTGGTACGTCTCAGAGGAAAAAAACACCACCATCTCCCATCAGAAGGATCTGAATTCTTCAAATGTTGACATTTTCCTAATGCCTTAGCACATATATTATTAAGCGAACTCACCTGAAGAGTGCAATTGTCATTCTTTTCTAGAAATTTCACAAATCTCTGCACAACTCCTTGTTTTTGTATGACTTCATCTATTGGAGGATTAGGTTCTGAAAATAAAGGTTAATTAGACTGATTAAAACAAATGTTAGGCCAAAGTTCAGCCAAGGAAACAGGTAAGCAGCAGATATAGCTGCTAGGCTGCTGGGTTTGGATGAAGAATTCCAAATAACTGTCTCTGTTACTCATAGGGATATAATAAAGTTAAAATGTTGCTAAGATCTCCCTGGAGATAGGGTAAAGTAAAAATATAACAGATATATGTTTTGCCAAGTCAGCAAAGGAAATAAGCTAATGTTATCAACCAAGAAAATCTAGTTGATTAAACAATAAATCAGCTGGAAGATGACCAATCATGTACTGTATATAATTGTATAACCTCAGTGAGTGAGCACAGATGCAAACGGTTAAAACATGAAGAGGTCAGCTGGATTTGACCAAAGCTGCTGCTTGTCCTGTTTTCTAGTTATGAGACATATGTGTCTGAGAAGCCCATAAGTTCTCCTCCTTTCTTTGCTCCTCCATACAACTCTAACATTAATAGTGCCACCAAACACAGGAGATTTGTGGCTAATAGCAATTGGTAAACTTAGCCACAATTCATTTGTCCTATCCTTTGTTGGATCAATGACTAGTCTTGCAAGGTTGGGGGGAAGTTTCAAAATCACGCTCGCTCACACAGCTTCCACAAATTCCAAAAACCGGCACAGACTTATAGAAGCATGTATATATTTTTGGCAGCTAACACTGGAAATTCAGTTGGCTCAAGGGACAAAAGATGCCACCAGATGCTTCCTTTAAGCCAAGTATAAACCTCCATAATAGCTACAAGGAAAGAAGGAGGTTCAAACTTAACCCACCCTTTTGGCCAGAGCGCATCGTGGCAATTGAACACAGAGTGCCTCTGCCCCTTGAGCCCAAGACAAGCTCCAGTGATAAATGTTGAAGGTGAAAAGGGAGGGGGAAGTAGAAGCAATCTTTCTTTGTCCCTCAAGCCATTGCAGGGGCTTGATTACTTTGTGGCCATGGGTGCTCAGCTCCTAAGCCCAAAATGAACCTCTCATGGGGCCCAGCAGCATAATCCTGTGGTTGGGATGTGTGTGCTTGTGCGCAAGCAGAGTTCCAAATTATTTTTGTCACTAGTTCAATTTATGAAAATAATTTCAACACAGTTGATACAAATAACATTACTGCAGTAACAGAACACTCAACTTTGAGTACATCCAATAAAAACAATTAGTTTTAAGTCCCATACAACCAACTAGATGAATTATTGGAGCTGCAAAGAACAGTGGGATATTAAGTGAAGCGTGCAGTTGCTGTCCTGCTACTGTTTTGTTTTGTTTTCATAGAGTGAGTTTTGGCATTCAGCCATTATTTCTGAATGAATACAGGCACTCATGTGATGAAAAACACAGACCACAGTCCAACAAACTGTTTTAAAAATAAATCTGTTCCCCGCCCCCAATGCAATTTGAACCCGTGGGAATAACATTCACAACTTCCATTTTCTATGGAAAAAAATACAAATTACCTTTAGAAAGCAGTTTCCTAAATCTCTGAGTAGCTGCAAGTTGTTGGTCGGGATCTTCTGAGAAAACCATCTGCACCATATCACAGGTAATGACATCTTCCTAAAAAGTAAAAGCCGTTATCACTCTGACATCTTTCAGCTACAACTGTTTAAAATACTCTGTCTGTTGGGGGTAATTTACCTCAGGAATAGGCACTGTAGAGCTCACATCAGGATCCTGGATTGGACTTTCTTGCATTGACTCTTCATTTCCCAGTAGAGCAACATTTCTGCGTTTAAATAACTAAGAAAAAAAAATCAGGTTTGTTTTCAGATTGAGGAGGGAGAGAACTGCATTTAAAATTTGTTTACATAAATAACCCTCAATTTTAAAACCCATTTGATCAACCAACTCCATTTCCAAGTTGTTCAAACACGAAAATCATTTGCTTCCTCTGACAGCCTCTTTAAAATCAGGGATTTCAATAAAAGTTTAAGCACACACCCAGTTACATTTTAACTCAATTTGGTAATGATCATAGGCAATGCTGGAAACAGCGAGAGAAGAGCCAGATCAAATTTTGCAGAAGAGGGGAGACAATACATATAATTCCACAACCTGAACCTGATCTCAGTCTTGGCTTCCACACATATCTGAACTGGCCGTAGAAGGTTTCCAGTTTAGGCGTATTACACAAACTCCAAAATTCAACATTGTAAACCTAAATCTATTTTATCTAGTAGCTAATAATTCTCTGTCTCGAGAGTTAGATTTCGGTGGGGGAAGGGAAAAGAGGGCAAATTTACTGTGGACCAATAACTTATTGTCCTGATGTGCCCTATTGCATTTTTCAAACAAATACAGTTCTGACACCAGATGCTGAGAACAAACAGAAGACGGCAAACACCATCATGTTCTATTTGTGTCCAAATGCACCTGGCAGGCTACTGAAAAACAGCTGCCCTTGGGCTGATCCGCAAGGCAATATCCTCTACAGTTAAAATAAAATATCTTTAAACACTAACACTACTTTTCTAAATGCCAAACCCAAATATATATGCACAATAATCACTTACTGTAAACATGGGTCTATATGCAAGTAGAGGAATACCACAAATAAAAACACAGTGGTGTGTTAGCAAATAAGGGCTTTCTTTGGGTAGTAAAAACAACTGACAGTACATCACAAAAGCTGAAGTTTCGTCGGCTCCCTAATGCCTCTTGGTTTAGCAGACCACGGTAACATACTTCCATATGTATAGATGCACAGTTCTCCTAAACCGAATAATGTCACTTATTTATCTATAAGTCTTTTATTCTGCAATTCAGCCAAAAAAAGGTGGCTAACAAACAAGACAATCACTAAACAACAAACGATCACTAAACAAGACACACATTTAATAACAAAATCCTATGCACATCTATGCAGAGATAAGTTCCGCTGAATTAAATGAGATTTACTTCCAGGTAACTTGGATTGCAGGCATAGGGCCAGATTCAAATAAGTTGTTGTGCTAGAGAAAGCTAGTGCCATGACTACTCCCAGCAAAACAAGGCTTTCCCCCTACCGCTACCCCTCAAATCTGCTTGGGAGGGTCAAGAGACCCCCCCCTCCCCAAAAAAAAGCACAAGGGAGGAAAGGAAGTGAGCTCTGTCTGGCAAGCAAAAATGCTTGTGCTGATGGAATGATCACTTTTGCGTGATACTGAATCCCTCCCATAATCTTTAAAGACTTACTTGTTCTTCCCTTTTCTGTTTACGAAGCTGAATACCTTCCTCTTCTCTTCGTCGCCGCATCTCTTGAGGATTGAGGGCATTGTTTTTATAACTTTTCATTCTGTAGTGATCCTTTTCCGGGCTTGCCATGGTATCTACAATAAAGAGCAAGAGAATCGATTGCATTTTCTTCTCTGGACTGCCAGTCAAGTCCAAGGTAACAAGAGGCGATAACCTAGGGCCAATCCACACCTCACATTTAAAGAACATTCAATGCACTTTTAAAACACACTGCTTCCACTAAAGATCCTGGGAACTGTAGTTTTCCCCTTACAGATCTACTGTTCTAAGTGCCCTTAGCAAACTACAGTTCTCAGGATTCCTTGGGGCAAGTCATGTGCTTTAAATGTGTGCTGGATGTGCTTTAAATATACGGTGTGAATCTGGCCCTAGAAAGAATATATGAATATTTACTGTTCTGAATATTATTATGTCTGGGTAGGCAACATCAGCATGTAACACAGGAATTTCTGCTACTACCAGATACAGCTTTACAATACATGAACAAGCAGCTGGAGCAAGTCTCCAATGAGGAAAAATTGCAGCATTTGTGTGTTTTTTTGTTTCAAAAAAGGGCACCACTCCTGAGAGGGCACTACCACCTGTTGCCACCAAGCATACTTCAAACAGAAAGGGTGCATGGGGCAGAAGATCTTAAACAAGATATTATAAAGCGTTCCAATTTACAGGAAGTTGATGGAAATCTATGTGAATGTTTCTTACATGAATTGACATCACAGACTTAATTCAAAGACAAAATGTTCAAAACACCTCAGATACAAGGATCTTCAACTGAATCACTTCAAAAAACCAGGTGCCAGACATCAAATGTATAGTTAGGGTTGCCAGTGGACTAGAAGAAACTAGCCTTTAAGAGTTGCTTGATATACAGTAAGCAGGAGGAAGCTTGTCACAGCGCGTGCATCACATGCTCAAGTCCTCACATCAAGCTGCTGTTAACAAGACACAATTACAGAAAGACGAAAAGTTGGCACCCCCATACTATTTAAAAATTACGGGCAGCTATTGAATAAATCTGCTCGCCATGGCAAGTGAGGTGCCACCCTCTGGCAAGTGTGACCAGCAGCACTGTCTTCCCATTTTGAAGCTGCAGAGGTGGGTGGAGATTGCTGGACTGTTGCACCATGGCACCACTAGCTCCAAAGTTGGGGGGAAGGCTGGGAATTGTTTGACAGCTGTGTGGCCAAATCACCCAACACAGCCTTGGTCATTCAGGGCCAGATCTACAAGTCCCAGGGCCCCTGATTACTGACATGTCCCTGATTTCCTCCCTGAAGGAGTGCAAAGTGACAGGTGGTCCCCTTGGCAAATGTGGAAAGAGGGTCACATTGGGCGCTGCTGCCTGAAGGCTACTGGGGTGTCTTAGTCACCAGGGACCCTCCCGCCTCCCCCCCAATGGTTTGGGGGGGGCGCGCGGTGGCGCTTGACAGGCGACGAGAATTCTTAGAATTCTAGAGCGTGTGAAGAGTGTCGTTTTTGTTGTTTCCCGCAAAAAACCTACCCCTGCCCTACATCCTGCCTCAAAGGCAACCAGCAAGTACAAATCACCAAAATCAAACGGGCAGATTCCTGGGGGGGAAGCCCGTGCCAGGGGAATCCCCGTCAAAACAAGACGGCCGAGTCCCCGCCTCGTGGAGCAGCAGGACCAGCAAGTAGGGGAAGATCGCGTGAAGGAACGAAGGTAAGAATAGCACTTGCAAACCAGTTATTAATATAGACATATATATATATATATATATATATGTGTGTGTGCGCGCGCGTGCATATGCCCTATATATACACATATTTGCTCGGAAATGACTCCCACAAATGTCAGTGTGGATTACGCGCACAGGACCGCAGCCATGAGTTGCCGGTGGGCTTTCCACCCGAACGCAACAGCCCCAAAAGGGGTTGGGGAAGGGGGTGCAGCACTGTTCCGCACGCCTGTGGGTCGGGAGGAGATACGGCAGCAGCGCCAGCGTCCTTTAAAGAAATAGGGATGCGGAGGCAGCAAAGCGTCCCTTGCATTTTGAGCCACCCTCCTTTCCTCCTGCCACCCGGAATCCAGTGGCAGGAAGGAGCTCGCCCCGCGCCCCTTCACACTCACGCACCCATTGCGGGCAGCCCCCCGCCGCTTTCCCCTCCGCAGAGCAGCAGAGCGGACAGATTCGCGGTCCAAGATGGCGGCTCCAGGCGCGCCGAAGAAGCCGGTCCCTCCTCTTCTATCTCCCCTCCGCCTAGCACCACCCGCGCGCCAACGCGCGCGCGCGGAGGGGGAACGAGCCGCCAATGGCGAGAAACGGGGCTCGCGGTTCTCCCGCGGCCCACGGAAGGCACGCCCATAGAGCTAGGCAGCAGCGGAAGAGCGACACGCGGCTGTCAGCGCGCGGGTTGTCTAGGTGACGTTTTGCTCCGCCAGAGGGGAAAAAGCAGAGCGAAACAAGGCACAGGCGCGACGGAACGCGGAGAGTGCGCATCATGCGGCAGAGCTCTGGACCGGGCTGTTTGGTGATCGGAACCACCATAATAACCCCTTCCCAGCTACCCATGATAAGAGGGAGATAAAGGCGCTCTCGTGAGAGGGGTGGGAGAAGGAGTCGGTCGGTTTCTATCGTTGCAGGGAAGCGATTAATTGGCTCGCAGTGCTGGATTTACATATAAGCTAAACAAGCTAAAGCTTAGGGCCCCACTCTTGGGGCCCCCAAAAATATAAAGGGGAAAAAACTGGATGTAAATTTCCAAAATATAAGATTAAAAACATATAAAACCTACATACAGCAACTGTGTTTTGTGTTGTGTAGGCTCTTACGATGTAAATAATGGGCCATGCCTGCTAGCCTGCTCCCTAAAATATCACTGGTTTGCTCATTTCTATATATAGGGTGCCTACGTTCTGCATGGACTGGTTGCATATATTCATATAGCATATATTCAACACACAAAAAACAGCAACAATTTGTTGTTGACAAAGGGCAGCTGGACATATAAGGCGCCATTACTTTCAGTAGCTTAGGGCCTCAGCAAACCTAAATCCGGCCCTGTAAATATACACTAGTAAAGAAGGACTAACAGTGCAGTCCTAACCATGTCTACTCAGAAGCCCTTTTGCGTTCCATTACACCCCCACCTAATTATACTTTTGAGAGCTTCAAAGAGGAAACTAAATATAAGCAAGAAAGAGAACTCTGTAGGTCAGTTTTCCGCAACCTGGTACCTTACTAGATATTTTTGGGCTGCAACTGTTGCACGACTTTCGGTCCAAATCATATCCAGTAGGTTGCGGAAAACTAAAAGAAGTTTAGTTTAGAAGTTCGCTCTCTTGCTTATACTTCGTTTCCTTCGTGGAATTCCGCAGGAACCAGCATCCTGTCTCCGCAACCAGATGATGCCTACGGGAAGTCCGCGCAGTAGGATGGGAGCTGTAGCTCAAAGCATCTCCACGGCACCTCGTTGGGGAAAGCCAACATAGACTCTTCTGGGGAGCGTGCGTAAACTGCGCGTGCGCAAGGGTCGGGTTACACAGCGGCTGCCCGTGAAACGAAAGTGTAGGCTTGTTTCCCTTTTTAGTAAGTCTAGGAGTCACGTGAAAGGATAGAGCCGGGAGAGCGCGCGCGCGCGTCTGGGCGACGTATGCCGTGGGCTCTTCTCCGCTCGCGCTGGGCTCCTGGCAGCCGCGGTAGGTGTCGAGGTGTTTATATCCGCCTCGTGCCAAGGGGGCGCGGCTCCCGCCGGGAAGAGCGCAGAGATGGAGTTCTCCGGCAAAGCCCGGCAGGGACAGCAGCGGCTTCTGCAAGGGGCCCCGTCCGCTGGCGCCCGCGCCCCGCCGCCTTCTCCCGCCCGCGGTGAGTGAGACCTGGAGGGATGTCGCTTCACATTTCGGAGCTGTCTGGCTTGAAAATGAATCATTTGCGTGCGGAGTGTCGAGAGAGACGTGCGAACGCACATTCACACGTGCGAGTCGCCCGCTAGATTGATATGCACGTGGGAACCGTCTCTGGTCGGAATATGGGTCTGGCTTTATAAACGTCAGGCGCTTTTATAGTATGTAGGGCAGCAGGATCCACCGTGCTCTCGTGCTGCCTGTGAGCATGAGAGCAGAGCCTCTCTCATATATATATGCCTATGAACTCTCATGCTCATAGGTGTGTGTGTGTGTGTATGTATATATATATATATAAAAAAAAAATACGTGGGGTGAGGGGCAAAAGGAGCTTGGTCCTCAATTTCCGAACTCTCTTCATTAATATATACTGTACTGTTGTTGTTTTTCCTTTGCCCATACACAATATCTTCAAAGCACACTAAAAACAGTCTTTCCCTTGGTCTGAGTACTTCAGTTTATTCCTCACAGAGCTACAATTTTAAGACATTGGCAGCTCCAAGCCATCTAGCACTCAAGAACAGTAACTACCAAGGGACTCCCCCAAACTTGGAACTGCCTTCTAGGTATGAGCTTAGCAAGCAAGCATTTCTTTCCAACAGAAGAATATGCAATGACCTCATCATTTACTCTTAATACTTTGCTTTAATGCAGAAAATGGTCAGGAGCTGTATGAATGCCCAATGTGCCACCTTGTTTGTACTGATTACCCAATACTGCAGGAACATGTTGAATTACACTTGGAGGAATGCACCTTTTTAGAAGGTAAGGGGAAGATTCCAAAATAGGAAAGACATATTTTGTGTATTGACGAAAGATGTAATGTTTCATTCAGGAGAAGCTGGTATTATCCAAATAATGCAAGGTAACATGAAATCATATGACTTGGAGCTTCATATATCATGTTAGCATATCGTAAAAAAGTAGAAAACAATGCAGTGTAACAACAACAACAACAACACTTTCAGAATTGGTAGCAATTTTGTTTTGTATGTCTCTTTCCTCTAATGCTAGAGACTGTATCAGTAGAGACACCTAAATAGCATATATCTGTGCCCTGGGTGGATAAAAAACAATTAAAGAAGACATTTGAGGAGTCGATTAAAAAACAAATCACATATTTTTGTTTTTTAACATAGCACGGTTAAATCTGAATACAAGCATAAGCAACTTCTTAAAAGCCGAATCAGTGGCCTTCAATCAAATGTAATGAGTTAAGGCTGCCTTAAAAGAAATAACTGTTTTGGGCACAAGTGAGGTACTTATCATGGTTTTGGTACTGGGAACCAAGGATTGGTTAGTCACCACAGGCACAGAGATCCAGGCCTTGGCTCTACAATAGTGTTTGTATTTCATTGAGAGGACTACCCCCTAAGCCCATTTTGGTGGACACTGCAACTTGACCAGTTCCCAAATTATCAATATTTCCTCTCCCTAAGCAAACAATAACAATTTATCTTTCATCTTAGGAAAATAAATTGCTCTACCAAGGAATTAACTTACTGGTCCTCGCTTCTCAAAAATGCTGGGTCCTTAGCTAAACAGACAGGTACAAATGGGCTGCAATGAGCAAAATCTCCGGAGCATTAGCTACTATGCATTTGTGGGCTCAGGATGGGTGTGGAGCAAGGCATTACAGATATGCTGTGTAGAGGAAATGAAACAGAAAGCAGCAAGGTTAGACAGACATATATTTTGTTCATTTACAGCTAAATAGAGCATCCATATTAATGTGTTTAACCAATTTGTATGTATCATATCTGAACTACAAGTGAGAAGCTGGGTTTAAATCTGTGATCTAGGTGACTAGGAATGGTATTAAATAATACATTCTGCCTAGGAATGTAGGTAATTGAAGTTGCAATTCTGTACACTCTTTGCTAGACGTCAGCCCAATATAAGCACAATGGGACTTAGCTTCTCAGTAAATGGACATAGGAATGTGCTGCAAATTTAAAACATACAGGTTATTGATAAAAACCTGGAATTTTCAGAAATATTCAACATCATCAAATATGGCAGGTCTTCTATGGGAAACGTAATGTACAGCATAACCAATTGTTATGTGGCTGTACCTTCGAAATATTCATTAGACTTTTATTTTATATAATATTGCATGACAGTGGAAAGAAACTTGACTGACCTAGAATTGGCACAGCATCTCCAGAATGAGGAAGACAGGCAAAGAAGAGCAGCAACAGCAAAACAAGAAAGAGAAGATTTCCAAAAGCTACAGGTGTGATATCAGTGTTCTAGTTGCAATGTACTTCGGTATAGCTTGTAAATATATGGAGTGTTTTGTAAATGTGTGATACATTTAAGTGTTTATTTTGTGCACAAAGAATTAATGTTTATCGTTACGTGTCTCTTGGTAGCAGTTGGTTGAGCAGAGTGCCTAATGCCTTTTGGTCAGGATGCATTTTATAAGCTAGGTCAGAGGTTCCCAAACTTTAAAAGGAAAACTGTAGAGACAAGTGTGCAGAGACTTCCAGCATTCAGAGGTTACAAATAGAAATGTGAGTAATTTCTCTTCTGAGAATTCATCACAGAGAATGACTCTGTAGATAATTGGCTGTTTCTTATTATCATGGAATCTCGTGCCTAGATTTTTCAAGCTGTACTATCCTAGTTCAGAAGCAGGACAAATTGTAATATTTATTCTTATTTCTTTAGAGAAATACCATAAAGAGTGCATAAAGAGTGTGTATGTATGTATACCATAAAGTGTGTGTGTGTGTGTGTAGATATATATAATTTATTAAGTTTATTAGTCACTTGCTCTCTAAAAGGTCCCCAATGACATTGAAAAATACATACATAAATACATCATACCATTGAAAAAGGGTATTCTGGTTATAGTTACTACAAAGGTTCCGCTTAACTCTTAAATGGGCAGCTTCGTGTTCTGAATCAACTTCCATGGTTCTCTTGCATTCTCTCCTCTGTGCAAGGTTGAAGCAGGATTGCATGCGCTAACAATTCTTCTTTCTCCAGGAACTGCTAAGACTTCTTATTGCTTAAAGGCTTAAAAGTATAATATATCCTTAACAGAGGCAATACGGCTTGGATGGCTCCGGAGGATATAAGCAGCAGTCACTAAAAAATATGGAAAAGGAAGTGGCTTTTGGGAGAATGACCCCATCTGACTATCATAGGAGAAAAGCTGACATGATGGAATCTCTGGCTTTTGGTATTGATGATGGAAAGACAAAGACTTTGGGTGAGTAATTAAAAATGTGTGAGTTTCTTCAAAGGTCTGACTGAGCCATTGTTCAATAAGTGTGCTGCAGATTGCAAAATAATTTTTTTCTGCCTGCAGAGAAATAAGAGTATGGACCTTTAGACAGGAGCTAAGAATGGCAATTCCTACAATCCATATTAAAGATAATGGCTCTCATGTAGATTTAAAATCATGATTCAAAAATAGGTTATAAATTGTCTAAATGTTTTATCTAAATACCATGACAAATTTCAAAGTAGAGAACCGGCAGTCATCATGGTTTTTGCCAACCTTCGCAAATAGTAACAGGAAATATACTGCAGTTCTCTGGTGTATATAGTAGGCTTGCTATCTAGCTAAGGGTGAATGATTTCATAAAACTTTCTCAGTAATTATGACCAAATGCTGTCTTGTTTCTGCTTGGTTCGCAGTATCTTAATATATTACACCTAGTCTCCTGTAATGATTTGACACCTTCATTAAGGAAACATTCTGCTTAAATAAAGCTGTACAGTGGTGGTGACTGGCTGTTTGCCTTGTCAGCCCTTCAAACTTGCAACTTCCTTATCTGACGGCACAGTCGTGATCACAGGTTTCACATATTATATCTTTACTCTTGGCTTCAGGCAGTTCTTCCTGCGTGACTACTTTGCCACTCTTGTGGTTTTTGCCAGATTTTTCACCTTTTAACCATTGGTTTAGCTTCAAAATTGAGATAATCATTAAATTCACTCATGCTGTGTGTCACTTACTTTGCACTCTTAGTTGCATGTGCCTTAGTCTCTCTCCAGTCACCATAAGGCCTTGGACAACTTGCCTAACACAGGATAGTAAATCTATAGCTGAGGAACAGGCTTGGAGCCATGTCTTCTGTCAGCATGTTAAACTATTCACTACTTGTTCCCTGCTCTTTGTACAGTTATGTAGAATTCGGCAGTCATTATTATTACTTTTTTCATACTGGTTGCATCTTGCAAATTGTGTGACTGTTGTTGATGTATCATCAGTAAATAGACTTGCATAAACTTAAGTCTCTTTCTCTCCCTGTCTCCCCTTTTTAAAATCAGGAATTACTGAAGTACTGTGCCAGTACTATCAGAATGAATGTAAAGACATAAAGCGTGTATGGCTTTCTACAGGAGTAGATCACTTCCATTGTTCTTTAGGAGACAGAGGTTGGGGCTGCGGTTATAGGAACTTCCAAATGCTTCTTTCTTCCCTCTTGAGGAACAGTACCTATGAAGAGTGCTTGAAAGGTGGGTATTTTTGCATGGAATTGTGCTGCCAGTGGCACATTTGCCAGCCTGAGTGCTTGCTAAAAATGTGTTCCTATGCTGACGTATATTACAATATCTGCATCATATAGGTTAAAAATTGGTGGATACAAGAACAGTTTTTTCAATTTTATAGCTTGAAAATGAGCCTGCAGAATATGAACCTTTCCCTGTCCAGATCATAACTTCCTTAGGGCTTTTGTTGTTTAGTCGTGTCCGACTCTTCGTGACCCCATGGACCAGAGCACGCCAGGCACTCCTGTCTTCCACCGCCTCCTGCAGTTTGGTCAGGCTCATGTTTGTAGCTTCGAGAACACTGTCCAACTATCTCGTCCTCTGTCGTCCCCTTCTCCTTGTGCCCTCCATCTTTCCCAACATCAGGGTCTTTTCCAGGGAGTCTTCTCTTCTCATGAGGTGGCCAAAGTATTGGAGCCTCAACTTCACGATCTGTCCTTCCAGTGAGCATTCAGGGCTGATTTCCTTAAGAATGGATAGGTTTGATCTTCTTGCAGTCCATGGAACCCTCAAGAGTCTCCTCCAGCACCATAATTCAAAAGCATCAATTCTTCAGCAATCAGCCTTCTTGATGGTCCAGCTCTCACTTCCATACATCACGACTGGGAAAACCATGGCTTTAACTATACGTCCTTAGGCCTTACTCGGGCTCAAGTCTAGGGGAAGTCCTTCCCACTGATATCATTTTTTGCTGGAAAGCTTTTATGTCACACAAGAGGAAGTAATTCCCCAACAGTAAAGGCTGTCCCATTTCAGGACACTTAGAAATCTATTGTAGAATCATAGAATCATAGAATCATAGAGTTGGAAGAGACCACAAGGGCCATCGAGTCCAACCCCCTGCCAAGCAGGAAACACCATCAGAGCACTTGACATGGTTGTCAAGATTTCTGCTTAAAGACTTCAAAGAAGGAGGATCACCACACCCTTATAGTACTCCGACTGTGAATTTTTACTGTCAGGAAGTGTTCTAATGTTTAGGTGGAATCTCTTCTTGTAGTTTGGATCCATTTGCCCGTGTCCGCTTCTCTGAGCAGCAGAAAACAACCTTTCTCCTCCTGTGACATCCTTTTGTTATATTTTGAACATGGCGAATATATCACCCCCTAACCTCCTCTTCTCCAGCAACATGCCTAGCCCTCTAGCCGTCTCCTCATAAGGCATCGTTTCCAGGCCTGACCATTTGGTTGCCCTCCTGACACATTCCAGTTTGTCAATGTCCTTCTTGGAACTGTGTGCCCAGAACTGGACAGTACTCCAGGTGAGGTCTGACCAGAGGAATACAGGCACTATTACTTCCCTTTGATCTAGATGCTATAATTTGGCTGATGCAGCCCAGAATTGCATTTGCTTTAGCTGCCGTCACACTGTTGGCTCACACAAGTTTGTATCAACCAAGCACCTCGGATCCCCTACATGCACGCTCTCGCCAGTGTCCCCATCTTGTATTTGTGCTCTCTCATTTTTTGCCCAAGTGCACATTTTTACATTTCTCCCTGTTAAAATTCATCTGTTTGTTTTGTTCAGTTCTCTAACTGGGTCAAGGTCGTTTTGAAGTGTGATCCTGTCCTCTGGGGTAAGCAGCTCCCTCCAATTTGTGTCATCTGCAAATTTGATCAGGATGCCCTTGAGTCCATCATCCAAGTCATTGATAAAGATGTTGACTAAGACCGGGCCCAAGACAGAACCCTGTGGCACCCCACTAGTCACTCTTCTTTATTGTAACTTTGGTTTTGCCTTTTCATAGCTGCAACTTGAATGTTGTCCCGTTGTTGTTTTAGATAATTCATCAATTCCATGCATTCCAAAAATTCAGTCATTGATTGAAGATGCTTGGAAAGAAGGCTTTGACCCACAAGGAGCTTCTCACTTCAACAGCAGATTACATGGAACTAAGGCATGGATAGGAGCATGTGAAATTTATTCACTTTTAACTTCTCTCAGGATAAAGTAAGTGCTGCCTATTAAAGGAAGTAAAAAGGTTTTAGTTCTAAGCACATGACACCAATTATGAGAGTGATTTTATGTGAATATCACAGAAATTCAAGTTCGAACTGGTCCTATGTAGAGATGGCATTTCCAGGAGAATAAGAACATGAAATACTTAAGGGGAAAATTGTGTTTGCAATTGGTCAATCAGTTGCTTAGGAACTTCCTTCTTGCATCTTTCCTTGCAACTCTCTTTTTAAAAGAAGATTGCTACTTCCAAAGTTATTTCCATGTATAAATGGTGCAAAGTTATTGCTTGCTACAGCATGCTTTCATTTCAATGGTTTAAGTTTCATACAAAGAAAAAGTATAAGTTGTATATTTATTTATAAAACATATATATCCCGTTCATTAGTGTTTCAAATCAGGGCAAGTAACAATTAGGTAGTGATTAACATTGCAGGAAGGGTTTTTTTTTAAAGTATCAAGTAAAAGATCATTCTCACACTAGGGGGAGCTGTGTACTTGAAGTAATATGTGCTACTACAAACTCACAAATGTGACCATTGTTCTTACAGCCGAGGCAAAAAAAATATAACAGTGGTAGAACTTGGTGACTAATGCACTAAACAAAAGATGCTATCTGACATTGTAACAGTTTATAAAGGCTTCATTTAAACTGCCTTATAGGTGTCAGGTCATTGATTTTCACCAGCCAACAGGCCCTGCAGGAACACATCCTCGTTTGTTGGAATGGGTTTTCAACTATTACTCGGCAGACAAGGAAAACAGTTCAAAGGTTGTGTGTACTCCCAAGCCACCAATCTACCTTCAGCACCAAGGTCAGCAAAACTTTCCACTTCTCTCTTTTCTAAACGTTAAGCTGTGTTACTCATGCGTTACTGATGTCCCCATGTCCAGTTTTTGTTTTATGAATTATGCTTCCTGGAAGAGCAGTGGAATGTCTTCTTAACTGTAATTCTCAAATATAATTGTATTATTTATTTCATAAAATTTATACACTTCTCAGTTCTAAAAACAAAAACAAAAAAACCTCCTCAAAGTAGTTTACAAAAAAGATTGTAATTGTAGACCACAAGCTTAACATGAGTCAACAGTGTGATGTAGCAGGGGTGGAAAAAAAGCAAATGCTATTCTATGCTGTATCAACAGAATTGTAGTGTCCCAGTCAAGGGAAGTCATAGTAGTTCTCTATTCTGCCTTGATCAGACCACACCTGGAATACTGTGATCAGTTCTGGATACCACAATTTAAGGAGGATATTTACAAGCTGGAACGTTTGCAGAGGGTGCCCAAGATGACCAGGAGTCTAGAAACTAAGCCTTACGAGGAACGGTTGAGGGAGTTATGTTTAGCCCAGTTAAGGGGAGACTGAAAGGAGATGTGATAGCCATCTTCAAATATTTAAAGGGCTGCCACATGTGGAGGATGGAACGAGTTTGTTTTCTCCTGCTCTGGAGACTATAGCCCATAGGTAGGCAAACTAAGGCCCGGGGGCCGGATCCGACCCAATCGCCTCCTAAATCCGGCCCACGAATCAGCATGTTTTTACATGAGTAGAATGTGTCCTTTTATTTAAAATGCATCTCTGGGTTATTTGTGGGGCAAAGGAATTTGTTCACCCCCCAAAAAAAAAATAGTCTGGCCCCCCACAAGGTCTGAGGGACAGTGAAAAAGTTTGCTGACCCCTGCTAGCCTATACCAATGGATTCAAATTACAAGAAAGGAGATTCCAACTAAACACAAGAAAGAACTTTCTGATAGTAAAAGCTCCTACGAGAGGTGGTGGACTCTCCTTACTTGGAGATTTTAGGCAGAGGTTGGATGGCCATTTGTCATGTATGTTGTAGTTGAGATTCCTGCATTGCAGGGGGTTAGACTAGTGGGTTTTGTTTTGTTTTATTTGGTATATTAACGGATTTGAGGGGATGGTTTGTGTTATGAGCTGCTTTGAAAGTCAGAGAGAAAACGGTAGATTTTAAAAATAAAACTTACCTGAAAAAACATTTATACAAGTAATTTGTTTTTATAACAATTACAATTATCTATGTAAGCATTAAGTTATATATTGCAATTCTGTACAGCAGTTTGGGGTTTTGCTTAAGGGGTTCGTAGACCGTGTGTTAGCAGAAATGTATACTTGATGGGTGTGCTTTGGCGTGTTTTTTTTTTAAAAAAAAAATAATAGGTCATAGTCGTACTATTATTGGAATAGAAGAAAGGAAGAACAAAACTGTGTGCCTACTGATGTTCGATCCAGGTTGCCCCTCACAAGAGATGCAAAAACTCTTAAAAGGCATAGATGGGAACAGTCTCAGACTGCTTCGAAGATTTGTGGGCAGCTTAAAACATAAACAGTATCAGCTCGTGGCCATAGACGGTGTACTGTCAGCGGAGGAAAAAGTTGTGAGTATTACAGATAAGAGCCCATCTGATTTAATATCTTGGTGACCTGCTGTGGTGTAAGTAAAAGTGGCGACGCTAACTCTTGTTTGTCTCCAACTTAAGACTCGTAGGCAGGCTTCTCAGCACTTCGTGGCTCAGCGGATTTCTTGAAATTAGGAATCCTGAAGAATATCAAGCAAGCTGCAGGAGAGATTCTGGTGCATTCACACAGGTTCTTGAATGATGTACATAAACTTTTTAAGGACTTAAAAATAAACGTTGGGGGGAAAATGACTTGTTGGCATGTGATTTGTTATCAGATTGAGGAAAGGTGCAAACCTAAATTACCAAGTCATTATAGCAAACTATTTTTAAATATGTATGACAGGCAACAATACTGTGCTGCTCTTTTCAGAGTTTCAGAGAAAATATATATTTATGTGCTAATACAGAACCAGCCAAAGTGTGGCACATACTACAGTATCTGATAGTACTTGACATATTCTAAAATGGCTAACTCAGCCCTTATACTGGCTTAGTGGGATCTCTCACAACAGAAAGTTTACTTTGGCTTGAATTACAGTTGCCCCACTTCCCTTAAATGTACATTTTACCTCTGGTATTATAGGATCCTGTAAGTACCTAGGCAAGCAGAGTAAGACTATCAAGGGCTGTAAGATCACAGGGCAGCTGAAAAGTTGGTGTCAACATGTTGATGCAGCCAGTATTCCTACAACCCCTCAACTCATTTGACTGCACAGTGTGTTTAGTTTTCCAAGCCACTTCAGGCAAGAACAAAAAGTGCAGGGATTTAATAGCCAGGCTACAAGTTGCATTTAGTATTCCTTTAAAAAGATCTGAAGTACTTTGGAATGTTTAACCAAGCTGCATATGTCTGACATAGACATTCTATTAAAATAATTGCAACATAATCTAGCATCCCACTCAAGACTGCCTAGAACTTGTATTACTAGTCTGGGTGGAATTGTTCAGGATTGCATCTCTAATTATAATGTAATTCAAGTAAACACTTGAGAACATCTTGTCAACTGCAGGTTTCAGCTGCAATACGGCCATAATTAAATGGGGAGAATCTACAGGAGATTAAGTAATGCCTCCTTAGTTACCTTTGGAGCAGGAAGAAGCAACCTGTGATTATCAAGATGTTGATGAACTACAACTTCCCTAAATCACTGGTCATGCTGGCTGAAGTTGATGGGACAACAGCTGGAGGCCCATGACTTCCCATCTGTGTCTTAAAATGTTTTATTGTTTGCACGTGCTGGTTAACACATGTGCCTATAAGCATTTAGGCTGTACCGCTTGAGCCTTTTGTATCCCAGCTGTCTGTACTTAAATTTACCAGATTTGTTATTTGATGGACACTGCTCAACATGCAACCCCTCTCCTTTCTTCCTTCTCTTGGAGGGAGACAGCAAACACATGGCAGTGCTAGAAGACCCAAGGCTGGCTTAAACTTGCTTGTCACCATCCCTCTGCATTTTCCAAGTCAGCTGCTGTTTTAAGTACTAATACAAATGAGCTTCCATGCAGGTGATGATGCCAAGCATGAATTACACAACTTCCAACTGTGATTGGTATAGAGTGTTGCACAGCAAAACGCTGGAAGCAAATGTTCAGAAACTGGCCAATTGGGTAAAGAAACCTCTGTAGGGTACATGTAGCATCATTGTGAAGCATTAACCAGCTCGGCAGTTGGTAAGGGATAGTTTTATCCCTTACCACTACAGTCATTTGCTTTCTTCCCAAAACTGACAGTTTGAGGTCAGTGCCTTGGCAGGCCAAGCAAGGGGGATTGTGAAAGGAGATTTATATTAACTGGTTTTATCAGTATTGGTTCTCTAGATGGGATACAAATGTCATAACATTTTTTGCTAATGCAGTTATTACAAAACCAAACCTGGATGTAGACCAGCTATTGTTGGAACCAGTTTCTCAGCATCAAATTAAGAGATAAAGGGAGAGTAAAGTCCACAGCAGCTGCGTCATGTCTACTATTTAACTGAAACTTTTATCATTTTCAAAAGTAGTTGGTATTGGAGAGATTAGATGTAACTTACTTTTATTACTGCAAACATATCACCAACCGAAAAACAAAGGGTGGGGGAGAGCAGAGGGCACACACAATCTAGATAAAGAAAGGTGAGTGGGAAAGGTTTTGTTTCTCACCACTATTAAAATGACTTCTACCTGAAGTTGCTTTTATTTTTTTCTAATGAGCCCTTTAGGGTGCATGTAATGGAGTTTCCCCAACAAACTCACCTCTCTGTTCCTTCATCTCTTAAAGTAACACAGCAGACCCTCAAAAGTCTGAGGCAGAAAAATGCTGATATACCTTAGCCCCTTTCCTATGAAAAGCAAAGAGCAGAACTGAGGTGGAGTAAGGGTATGACAAAAGTGGGAGGAATCTCTTTGTATTTGCATGGCTGGAATATGTCCTTCAACTCTGATGATGTGCTCATGCTTGTCTGGATGGATGGAGGAGATAGGAGTATGTTTGTGCGTAAAAGGCAAAAATTAACATCCAAGCCTCACCTCTGTCTGTTCCAGAGTACATCTTTTTTCTCAAGAAGCCTAGATATGCCTTTTTAGAATTTCACACATCATTTGAAATGAAGCTTAAGACACTGCAAAGGTTTTTTTTAACCCATACCAATACATATATTAGAGCAAAAGATAGGGTGTGTACTCTCTGGATTACCTGAGCAGTTTGTGCATTTTCCCAGAGTGCAAAACTATCCTCCCTTCCTGCAGTGGGATGATCTACCAGATCTAAAACAGTGCTTGCTCTTCAATAAAGATGCAGTGATACCCCCAGGTCCTGTGTAAAAAAATTAGGGGCGGGTGGGAATGGTGTGTTTCACAGGGGCAAAAAATTGGGCCAAGTATTGCCAGCTATGACCAAGTCTCTCAGAGCAAATGCATTTAATTGCAAAGTAGCTTGTTTCAGCTACTTCTGTCACATCCAAAATACAGGAATGATGAAAGATGCACCCCCAAGTGTCAGAACTTGGGCTTATAACTGAATACAGAATTATAAGGAAACTCGTTAACAGCTTTCTATCAAGCACAGAAAGAAGATATTGCAGAAATCAGCCCTTCCTTTTAAGAGGAAAATGGAAAACACTTTTAAAATAATTTCAAATTTGGAAGTGCTTTCTATTGCAAACAACTGTAATAATAAAATAGTTAACGCACCAGCCAAATAAGTGTCAAATTGAAGTTTTCGGCAATCGGAGAAGGTTAAAGGCATAGATGCACAATACACCTCTTAGGCTTGTTTTTTTGATTTAAGTTGAGGCGGTTGGATGGGTGGGTAAACGGAAAACTTGCTAGAATAGAGAGCGAGAGCCCACTTGGGGATGGTGATGAACCGAGGTATGAGGCGGAATAAACCGGCCAGTTTGGGCATCAGCTCCGAGAGGATGTCCCGCACCGAGAGGTAGTTGAAGACTTCCCTGCCGTCCACATCCTTGAAGCCGTAAAGGCGAGCGAGGTCCGGGTTGAGGAGCACCTTCCCGCTGTGGCGCATGACGCGCGGGTCCGACGCCAGGCTCACCACGCACTTCCCGCTCACTTCGGGGGTCTCTCCCATGGAGGCCATCTTCTTCAGCTTCGCCATCATGGGCCCCGTCCTGTGCTCCACTTCCTGCGCCAGGCTCTCGGTGCGCACGAAGCCCGGCCACAGCGCCACCGAGGCCACGCCGAAGGGGCGCAGCTCGACGGCGCAGTCGGCGGCCAGGCGGTCGCAGGCGGCCTTGCCGATCCCGTAGGGCACGTCGAACATGTAGCGCAGCCCTCCGGGCGACGAGATGGTGACGACCAGCCCCCTGCCGGCGGGCACCATCAGCCGGGCGGCGTAGACGGTGCAGATGTAGTGGCCCCGCAGGCCCGCGTTGTTGATCTGGTCCCACAGGGCCGTCGAGCTCTCCCAGAAGGGCAGCCCGAACCCCTCCACGATGGAGCCCACCCCGGAGAAGGCGTTGTTGACCAGCACGTCCAGGCGGCCCGCCTGCTCCTGCCGGACGCGCTCGAACAGCGCCACCACGTCTTCCTCCCGGGACGAGTCGCACACCACCGGCACGCACTTCCCGCCGCGGGCCCGCACCTCCGCCGCCGCCGCCTCCAGCGCCTCGCGGTGCCGAGCCGTGATGTACACGGTGGCGCCCGCCCCGGACAGCTGCAGCGCGATGCCCTTGCCGATGCCTCGAGAGGCGCCCGTCACCACGCACACCTGCCCCGACAGAGGCTTGGCCATGGCGGCGAGGCGAAGCGTTGCCAGGCGGATGAGGAGCGTGCAGGCCGCAGTCGGGCTGGAGCGGCGGCGGCGGCGCCTTTCAGAGCTGCAGTGGCGGTCTGGGCGGTTGGGGAGCTCGGCTTAAAGGCCCTCCTCCTCCTCCCCGCGGCTCCTCCCGCGAACAGGCAGGGCGGGATCGGGCGGCGGGGAAGGCGCGCGCGCGCGCGCGCCATTCGCGAAGCTGCACTTCGCCTCCACCTTCGCTGCTTCACCGGGAGGGGTCGGCAAGTGCCCGGGCGTGCTCTACCCACCGCACTACCCGCTTGCCTAAGCCTGCTGCCCAGTGTTTGCAGGGGTGACAAGCCTCCCTGCCAAAGCGTGGGGAGCAACCCGCCTTGAAACAACCCGCAGGGCTTACTCCTGACAGCTTTGCCGGACTATGTATAAGCTAAACAAGCTATAGCTTAGGGCCCCACTCTTGGGGGCCAAAAGAAAATTTAAAGGGAAAAAACCTGGATGTACATTTCCAAAATATAAAATAAAAAAGAAATAAAATAAAAGTTACATACAGCAACAGTGTTTTGTGTTGTGTAGGCTTCTGTGATGTAAGCTCCTGCTAGCCTGCTCCTAAAATATCACTGGTTTGCTCATTTCTGTATATAGGGTGCCTACATTCTGCATGGACTGGTTGCATGGCAACATGTGCAACTGGCTTTAGATAACTATTAGGTCCATAAATTATCAAATAGCATATATTCAACACAAAAAACAGCAACAAATTGTTGTTGACAAAGGACAGCTGGACATATAAAGGGCCCCATTACCTTCCGTGGCTTAGGGCCTCATCAAACCTAAATCCAGCCCTGTTCCCACCACAAGTGAATAGTAAAGAGAACCCACAGAAGTGGCACTGACACAAAACCCCACACATACACTAAGTAGAAGCATTGCTGCCTGACGCCAGCCCACCCCCATTCCCCCCTCCACCTTTTCCACCTTTTCTTCCTAATGTAACACAAATGTCTCAACAAGTGAAACTGATCTGTAGAAAATGTAACTTGAAAAAAGAGACATTGCAATACTTTTGTAAACCAAGAAATATTTAATAAAAAATTATTTTTTTAAAAAAAGCAACAACCCGCAGTGTGAGAAAGGTGGAGAGTTTCAGTGTAAATAACAGACTACTTATGAATTACTACTTGGAGCCAATACTTTGCTTGAATACCTTGTTCAAATCAAGGTGGATGGAGGACACAGGTATGTGTCAAAGGCAAAAATTAGCATCCAAGTTAAATTTAGATTGGCTGCTCTGCCCACCTTTGCCTATGGCCTGTAGTCCTCAGAAAGTTGTCCAAAAGGGAATGCAGCCCATCGGATAAAAAAGGTTCCTCACCTCTAGTTAAGAATGTAAAATTGAAAACTTAATAAAATTATTATAAAAACAAACATTCCCCCAGTTGCCTGTAAATGACAGGACACTTGCTTTTATAGCCATTCCCTGGAAGGGAAGCAAACAGTCTCAGTAAGGTAGTGGTTCCCCTGCATTTTGGTTTGGTGACCCTCTGTAAGGTGTGTGCCTGTGGCAGACCAGCCCCTGCTTCACTGGGAGCTGGAGATTTGGCAACCAAAAAAGGCACCCAGCACACAATCACCTTGTACCCCAAAGTCCACATTTCACATAAATTTGGTGAGAAGAAAAGGCATTTAAGAGCTTGGTTTTAGTTAGAAAGAAGGCCATCTGAGCTCCGTCTAGGTACCTATGCTCCCAATGATGCAATATTGGATTCAGGCCACAGGCCTGAAGGGGATTTCTGTTGCCCCAGAGCAACCATGGAGGTGTACAAATCCCATCCCTGCATTTTGGTCAGAGCTGCTTCACAGATGGAGTTGTATTCCATTCCTTACACCCTTGAGCCTAAGAGAAGCAACTTCTGACACATGCTCTTTCTTGTAGCAATAGGAACTTTTTCTCTCTTTAGAGTTACGAATGGGTAAGTTTTAATAATTAATGCTACCATGCAGCCCGATAATCTCTCTCTCTCTTTTCTTACAATAAAATAAAGCTTTGCTTTAGTTTGGGTTTGGATCTTCATTCTGGGTTATATGCATACCATTCAGGTAGATTCAGTGACCTGGTTTCTCACTTGCAAAACATCCCTCTCCTCTTGAGGTGGTGTGTTTAAAGGGATATGCATTTTGCCAACAAGTAGGTCAATACGAACTTTGATGGTAGTCAGTCCCAGATAATTATTGACACACAGCCTGCTACTGAGTTTCATCCCCATAACAGTCATTGCTGGAAATCCTGACTCACAAGGATTTATGTACTACTAAATGGTATCATCCAAGATATTGCTTCACCAACAAGCTAAGGATACTCAGTTGGTAATGCAGCAATTTTCGTAGCATGAAGTCAAAATCTGGGTAATCTCATTTCCCAAGAATTGGCTTTGAGGATCCTAGCAGATGACAATGAGTTGATCTTTTTGCATAAAGACAATTTTGTGACAACAGAGTGGCTTCTCTGTTTCCAAGTAAAATGCACTTGTGCTGTGATGGCACTGTAAAGGGAAGTGGAAGTATATATACATTTTTAAATAAAAAGAAAGATGACAAATACTGCTGTATCTGATAACAACAGCCACAACAAAGCACTGGGCGTGTAACTGCAGCTTAGAACTAAGATGTACATTTTGATAATGACAACCCAGGATATTAGCAGGGATGAAATACATAATCACTGCCAAGTGCTTTCCACATATTAAGTGTTACATATTAACATAATAATAATTGTTGTTGGCATCTGTCTGTCTCTGGAGGCAATGGAGGAATGTGCCTCTGCAGGTGAAGTCAAACTGTTGGAGGGTTGCATGCCATGGCAGGACAGAGTCTCAAACAATAACATTGACCACACCTTGGCCTGCAATTACAGCATATGAAGAAGCTTCTTGAAGAAATGCACATTCATGAATAACCCTTGTGCTTGGGTCTACTCTTGCCCCTTAATTGGAAACATAATGAATCTAGACAAAGCAGTAAAAAGACAGAAAACTTAAGAGTTGGGAAAGGGTTTAACCCAGCAGAAAATAAGCGAGAAGGTCCTAACAAGGCCCCATCAATTGTGTGGGTCTACCAGGAGAGAAATGCACATACAAATCACCACCAAGCAAGACCTAGGGAATTTCTGACCTGATGGCCACAGGGCAAGCAGAAGCCCCAGCAGACCAAACACGCAAACAGCACCCAAAATTCTGTTGAAGAAGAGGAGAAAAACAGGATATGTTGCTTTTTCATGGCAAATCAGCAGGAGCAGGCAGTGTGTCCAAGGTTGTTTACTGGTTTTATCAGGTGCAAAGGTTGCCCTCCTTTTGCTCTCAAGAAGGGCCATTTTGAGCTGCAGTTACACACCCAGTGCTTTGTTCTGGGGGAAACCATTTCTGCACAGTTGCCCCTGTAGCAGACCTTTTGGGGAGACTCAAAGGATCCCTCGGGGGGTAGGAAGGGCTCCAGCCCAATTAGGCTCAGTTTTCTCCAGTCTTCATCTTTTATACTATGCTTTAATTGCTGGTGCCAAGTTTCTGCCTGAAGGTTTTTTCGGTTTCTGTAGTCTTTGTTAGGGATTCAAACCCTGCCCTACCAGGTCCTAGTCCAACACTCTAACCATTTTGCCACACTGGTTGAGGAAAGTGAGTCTTGAGCCCATTTATCTCTTCTCCCCCTTTTTTGGGGTTTCCCTCTTTTGATTATGTAGTTAAAAAAAAAAGGAAAGGACCCCTGGATGGTTAAGTCCAGTCAAAGGCGACTATGGGGTTGCGGCACTCATCTCACTTTCAGGCCGAGGGAGCCGGCGTTTGTCCACAGACAGTTTTCCAGGTCACGTGGCCAGCAAGACTAAACCGCTTCTGGCACAACGGAAAGCCAGAGTGCACGGAAACACCATTTACCTTCCTGCCACAGCAGTACCTATTTATCTACTTGCACAGGTGTGCATTCTAACTGCTAGGTTAGCAGGAGCAGGGACAGAGCAACGGGAGCTCACCCTGTTGTGGGGATTCGAACTGCTGACCTTCCGATCGGCAAGCCCAAGAGGCTCAGTGGTTTAGACCACCGCCCCACCTGCCTCCCTTAATGCAGTACACATGGTGTGCAGCACTCAGGGATAAGTGAGGGTCCACCTCCTCCCTCTCCACCCAGATGGTAGCTAAGTTGGTCTCTGTGTGGCAAATTTTATGTGGACCGTGCTCTCACCACGGGCTGCTTGATCTCATGTTCAGTTTGGAAATGCTTTAGTTCCTTTCTGAAATGGGCACTCAGAAGCTGGTTGGGCTTAGACTCGGCTGCCCATTATTTAATCACTATTTTATTTGTTGGCAGCACTGGGCCCAGTGACTGCCAACTCTTCATAAATAGTTTGCATGGAAGCTGACGGTGCAAAACTGTGCCCCACCTATTGCCAAAGGAAGTGGTCGGAAAGATAACACAAGCACAATTGAGATACATATTTATGGCTGCTGCGATCAAAAGTTTTGCAATAGCAGTTGCAAAAGAGCTGTGGGCCTCTTTCCCTGTAGCCAAACTTGGGATGCTGCTTGTTTGTGGCTGCAGAAAACTTGGTAGGTAAAGCAGTTCTCGAGACTGCAGCTTGGTATTCATTTCCATCACTGTATCTGCATATCGTGTGGAGGCGGCGCAGTAGCTATGGGAGGCCCCATTAGCTAACGTGGTACCTCAGGTTAAGAATGGTTTCAGGTTAAGAACAGACCTCCAGAACGAATTAAGTACTTAACCTGAGGTACCACTGTACATGGTTCTCCTCTCCATTTCTTTCTCACAAAAACTCTTTGAGATAGGTTAAGCTAAGAATGGTGACTGGCCCAAAGTAAAGCAGTGAGCTTCATGACTGTGTGGGGATTCAAACCCTGAATAATGGTTGTGCAATCAGTGGTGGAAGAACCCTCTCCGGCACCCGGGGTGGGGCAGCCTGTACAGAGTGTGTCTGTGCAGCATCCCATACGGAATAT